AAAAATCAATGGAAAACATACGGGCTACTTATTTTCTACTTAAAATTCCAATTCGTGTAATTGTTATTCGAGGCATTCGGTCTTTAAAAAATCTATTTGTTATTTCATTTTAACTACGTTTTCATTGCAAACCTTTATTTTCCTTTATGTCATATTTTTGTTCAGTTTCCTCATGTAGTAGTACACTTTTAGACAGTTCATAAAGAAAAGAGTTCATTGAAGGGTAAACTTATTCTCTATATAAATATATTTCTTAAATTAATAATTTTTTGATTTAATATTGAGATTCAAGTCAAGTTACATGTTCCAGTAGCGATTCAAACAAAATATCAACCGTTGTCAGAAACGCTGACGCCAAAAATTTCCAATGTTATATTTTTCCCTGGGCGCTGTGGAAAACGGGCACATCGTCCCAAGACAGATATTTAGACGTGCTTAAACTTTTCACGCTGATGACCACCTGCTCCTAGAAATTGATAACATCAAACCATAAACACCGCACATAAATTGAAAATGGTTTTGTCTCTTTCACTGAGTTTAATCTGATTTGCCTCAAGGTGTATGAAAAGATCGTCGATTGTCACTCGAACGTGCACGTGATTCTTAAGAATAAGTCAGATCCTACAACTTGAGAAATACATACAGTACGGAACGGCGAAAGTTTTGTGAAATTGTTCATTTAAACTGAAGCGTTGCTATGGAGAACTGAAATTTCTGAAACGCGCATACGCTTAGTGTTAGATAAAATTAACGAACTGATGCGATACGAATAAAACAAATCTGTATTTTGTCGAGTTTACTTCATATTCAGATCGCCAAATTTATCGCACTCGTTTATATTACATTTACTTTTGATCGACAAGAAGATTTGAAGGGATCACATTAACCAATTGCATGTCGGAGCGACTGCGCTACCAACATGGAATACAACATGCAGATGCTAAATCCGCACAGTGATTGTAAAAATTATAAGACCATGGAAACAACAACTTTTTCTATGAAAAAAGGAACTGAAAATATTAAAAATCTGAAAAAAAGGAAATTCAATGATAAACAGCGAGGTCTTAGGAAGTGTATGTCTTACGTTGTTGATTGGCTGCCTATAGATTCATTTAGTCTTGTTATTTTCGGTTTTCGTTATCATGAATTCTTCGTTCATATTTTTAAGACAAAAACATTCTGCTGTATTCAGAGTCATTGCTACCGCAAAATAAAACTAATCTGTATTTTGTCGAGTTTTCTTCATATCCTGATCGCCAAATTTATTGCACTCGTTTGTATTACATTTTCTTTTGATCGATACAAAGATTTGAAGGGATCACCTTACCAATTGCATCTCGGAGCGATTGCGCTACAAACATGGAATGCAACCTTCAGATGCTAAGTCCACACGGTGATTGTGAAATTATTAGACCATGGAAATAACTAATGAATTCTATGAAAGAAGGAACTAAAAATATTTAAAATCTGAAAAAGGAAGTTCAATGATTAAGAGTGAGGTCTTAGGAAGTATGTGTCTTACGTTGTTGATTGGCTGCCTATAGACTCATTCTGTCTTGTTATTTCGCTGTCATTATTTAACTTTTCATTATCATGAATTTTTCGTTCATATTTTAAGACAAAAACATTCTCCTATATCCAGAGTCGTTGTTACCGCAAAAAATCACTAGTATATGCTGCAGAACGAAAATCTCACCAGTAAGGTAAGTCTAAAGACGAATTTGTCCGATCTCGTTTTAAACTGGTACAACCGGTATTCGTTAAGGGATTTTCGTGAGGTGGGCCTCATATTCCCTTGAATCGTACTATGAAATAATTTCATGAATAGTGATTTCAGAATGAATCAAAACAATGCAGAAGCCACAGACTAGTAAGTGAATTTAGACCATTTCTAAATAACCATTATTCGTCAACTAACTGAGTTCACGCTAAAATCAATTTCTTCTTGAATATCTAATCCGTCGCGAAAAAGAAACAAACTTCTTAAATTTTAAATCAGTTCCTTGTTCCTTGCCTTACAGTCAAGTAAATTCTTGCAAAATTCCATGTCGCTTTCCTAGCTCAGTTTTATTAAGACTTTGATCTGCATACCTGCGTTTTTTTAAAATATTTTTAACCACGGAAACGCTCTAATCAAGATGACCTATTTCTAATTGTGGTTTCCCTTCTATTTTTAACAATATTTATTGCATGCAGAGCTCGAATAGTCCGATCTTCTAAGCGAGAGAAGTATGGGAAAGAAATGTCATCGGTAGCAGTGAATGTTATTATGCGGAAGTCATAGTCAGTCAAACTTGGCCCCCTCTTTTCCAAGAATTCACAAATTGCTGAAGACAATGAGGGCTTTACCTTTTGAATTTAATTCCTGTTTTCAATAAGCATTCTTGGGTCAAACTCGTAAATTTATGAACTTCGTGAGAGGTTTAGGCACCACTTAAAGAATATCTCAGCGAATTAGGAGAAACTTGAAGACCTGCAGCGTGAAATACCGGAAACTTCAAATGAAAGAAAAAATTCAAAGATGATAAATAAACGCGAATGGAGTATCTGTAAAATACACTGTATAAAATTTCACCTTTTTTATCATTTTTGGTTTGTGTTTCAGTTGCAATCTCCTCATTGAAAAATCGCTTTTATTTTAAACCGGAATTTCTGGTCTGATGAAAGACATACGAGACACCTTTTTTCCAGTTCGGAGTATTCAGTCTGATATATCCGGAATACAAAAAACAGCCTCCGGTCGATCATTCATTAGAAATAGGTCGCTTAAAACATATTTACTGCAAGTATTCCAAACATGTTTGTATGCATGAAATACCTCGAACAAAACATTCAGTCTGATCGGCGATACCTGCTGAGTTTCGGTTCCATCCACAAAACTGTAGACCAAATAAATAGTCAATAAATATCTTTGCAGTAAATCTACTCTTTTCCACTCCCACGACAGCTAGCAAAACAAATCTTGCACACATCACGTTAATAAAACTACATTACCACTTTTACACTGATGTAGAATTAAGGTCTTATTGTGTATTTGTAAATCCACTGAGCTCTGACATTGTGGTCCAACCGGCCCTGCAAGTTAGACATGCACAATCAGTTACATACAGCTTCCTTAAAATAGAATGCTGGCGGAATTTTGAAAGAGATTTGAGTACAAAGAAAAATGAGCAAGCGGATGTAGCAATCACCTGGTATTTTAAGACATTGTTTGCGGTCTGTCAAAACTGAGACGGTGGAGTGATTTCCGAAGGCGGATTTGAATTTGAAAAATCGTATTTCTTTTTTCATTGTATGCGAAGTGAGAGGGAAATGTACAAGAAAAACAAAGCCACAGACGTTACGGCTGGAAATTAAAAAAATCTCTCCAATCTCAGTCCTGAATAGTTTGTGCTTTGCTTGAGAGAAATCATTGGCTTAATCGCTGGCACTGTCACCACAAGTATCAAGTGAGTAAGGTCTTGTAGGTAATACAAGAGATTTGTGTATCTGCAATATTTACCAGTCATTTTCTCAACGAAACTCGTAATATTAGAATGGTTTTATCACCATGATAAATGCTAAGTTTCTCCCATGGCTCCACACTGAAAGTTTAAATAGGTTTGGTAAGAAAAAGTCGAAGTAAAAATCGTCTTTCAATTTTTGCAGGTTGAAACACGACACCGAGCTCACCCAAAAAACTATTGCCGATACATTCTACCAGAAGACTTTCCCGCGGTTACCGTCGTAAAAAAAGGTAAACAAAATTTGATATACATTTCAAGAATTTAAATGCTCCTTATTCACCTTTGGCCAGATTTCCTTTCGCTGATTCAGTTTTTTCCTTTGATGTCTTTTTTCTCCACAGAATTTCCTCTCAGCTTGAGTGCATATCGTGTCATTTTTTAAAACGACTCGAAACGTAAACATTTAATCGGAAGAGACCCCATTTAGGACTCTTTCAATTAAGAAATCTGTGCTTGTGTGAAGTAAATTAGGAATCAGTCACGAAAAATTTGGAAGTTAATTGCTTCGTTTCTGGAAAAAAGACAGAGCCTTTGGTTAGTTTATTCTTGTCAGTAACAGGTAATTGAGATCCTAACGCCAAAAGCAAACCTCTTTGTACCTAAGTGATGCAATAAACATTTGGTTTTTGGTTTGACCCAAGAGTATTTATCAGGAATTATAAAAAGACAAAATATCAGGGGAACTTTAAAATTTCGTTTTGAAAAATTCCCTTTCGCTTTCAGATAATGGTTCGGTGAAAGTACAATTTAATGAATTGCTTTTAATAACTGCATTTGTGATTTCACCTTTTATAAAAGTTCGAGCGGTGTCTATTTTAATCTTATGACTGAAATATTTCAACGCAAATTTTAACCAAATCTAATTCATCTTTCTGCCTGCTCTAGAATTTTTTCATTATTAGAAAAGAGCATTGCCTTAAATGTGAAACACTTCATGAGATAACTTTCTTCATTCAATTTCAGATTAGAAATCAGCTCCTAATCATGAACAATTCCTCTCAACACATTGCCGTGGGAACAGCGAGTTTCATGACTACTTCTGACGTCACGGCATGGTGTACTGCTTTTGCGGTCGAATCTGTCATTGTGGCAATCGGAAACTTGTTCATTATCACAGTCTTTGCCAAGACCATAGAGCTACGCAGACAACATCGCCATTACTTCCTAATGAACTTAGCCGTTGCTGATTTTTTCGTGGGAGGTCTTGCGGCGCCTCTGTTTGTTTACATCTTAGGAGGATTTTACAACTTATGGCCGTTTTCCAAGTACAAAGATACTTTTTACTCTATTAGCATATTCCTGGACATGTTCTCCGGGATTTCTTCAATCGCTTTCCTCTCCGCCATCGCTGTGGAAAGACTTTACTCAACGTTATACCCCACCAAGTATAGAAAGACAAAACGTTTCGCATACACAGTCATCGCGTTCTTATTATGGGCTATTTCCGCTGTGCTTCCAGGAATTAGAATTCATCTCGGAGAAGAATTTAACTCTCTATACACCTGGATGCCAATTGTTTGTATGCTGCTGGTTACCATCGGCTCCTCGTACATTGTTATCTGGGTCAAAGTCCTGTTCTTCAGTTCCAAGCGCTTGAATCAAAGCCGTGAAAGACGATTAAATGTAACTGTAACAATCTTAACTCTGACATCACTTTCAACATGGTTGCCGTTCATAGTCCTGAACATAGTCAATGAGTTTCACCCAGTGAGCATAGAGATAGAGGCTGTGTTTTCCACCAAGATACTTCATTACGGAAACTCTCTGGTTAACCCTTTCTTATTTGCCTTAAAAATGCCGCAGTTTAGAAAAGCGGCACAGAAAATATTTTGTAGTTTTCCGCGCCAGAAGCCAGCCTATCTTCCAAGCGAGAAAAGAAGATTGGATCATGATTCTTTCAGCTCACACAGCGAGCGAAGTTCACCGGAAGTGCAGACTACTCCAGTTTGAAAATAAAAGTTATTGTGCTTGTCTTTACCTATAATGTTGAATATAGATATTTATGACTCAATATCTCGATTGCACCAGGCAAATCTTTGGCGACTTTAGTAAATTTGTATTTGTGGGAATTACATCAGTTTAAGCAATATTTCACTCTCCGAGTAAAAATTTGTTGGCTACAACTGTGCCCTGTTAACATGGCCTTTTTGTGATTATCAAATTTTTTTTTGTCTTAACTCTTTAACTCGAGCTCCTATGAGTGACCAAGATAGAATTTCTCACTACGAAATCGTTACAATATCAAGCAGGCAACTTTAGTCGGGGAAATCATATGTTAGCTTAAAACTTTTTTGCCTGGAGCAACCTTTGAGTTCCTAAAAAAAGCCTGGCGATCGATGGTCTACGTCTTCACCTCCATCTCCTCCCTCAGTGCAAAGTGGAGTTTTACCCAACTGCCTTTGCGATAATGTTTCTGCACTTATTGTTTTGTAGGTTGAACGAGCAGTGAAGTGATGGAAATTCGAAACACGACTCCACTGAGTGATATTTTGGAAAGTGTACCCATTCCAGGAACCTTTAGCCTTTAAAATCTAACCTAAGCAAAAAAGTGTGTCATTATAATTATATAATAAGCTAAGTTATGCACGCATTCTGATTGGTTCTCACTTATGATCTATTGGAGGACAGACGTATAGATGACGTCATCATTAAAACTTTTTTTCCGTCTATTTTAATTCTTTATTATTTAAAACAAATAGATTCCAAGTTTCCGTGCGTCTGTTCAGTAATAGATCACAGAGGACGTCCAAACGTGGTAAGAACATCAGTGACACACTCGGCTGTGCCTCGTGTGCCACTTTTTTGTTCTTACCACATTTTGACGTCATCTGTGATCTATTACTGAACAGACGCACGGCAACTTGGAATCTATTTGTTACATATCACATAGATTTGTAAAAACTTACCTATGGATTACGCAGTAGCCGTTTACTGCTCTCGTGCAGCTGTATATATGGATAACACAGACCAATAAACGTCTCAGTATTTGTTTAAATTGTTCAAGTAATCCCTGTTGAACTGAACCAAAAAGTACCAACCGCTACCAACATAACTGCTCCCTCATAACCAGCATCTGGCGAATGAATCATATGAATTATTAGTCAAACAAAATCCTTCAATTACTGTAACAGGTCTGCGATAAAGGCGGTAAATGAATGAATGAATAAACACCTTTATTTAAGTGACAAACTGAAATAGCAGTAAAGAACCACTAAATGGTGACACTAAGAATAAATTAAAATTAAAAATTAAACAGTTATTATATTTATTATAATTAAAATTGATAACACTATTTACAATTGATAAAAAAAGTACGTAGTAGATAATGTTATTTACATATGCAAAGACTTAATAAAATACTAAAGTGTCTACGACATAAAATACATTCAGAACAATGAGGGTCGGCCAGTAAGGAATTTAAATCAAGCTTTCTAATACGCTGCCTAAATACAGATAATGCGGGAAGGTCTCCTATATTTCTAGGTATTAGACTCCACAAATTTGGGCTAATGTATGTGATGGAATGCTTTCCATGTGTAGTTGTATTAAATCTGGGCACGGCCAACTCCTTGTTTCTCAGTGAATATTTGGTGTTTATAAAATAATTCAAATAGTACGCGCGCTCTGATTGGCCATAAAACCATTTTACATGAGCGTATGTAAACACGGTTTTCGTTCCTCTTTCATTAGTTATTTTATGAAAGAAATGTAAAATGGTTTCCGTGTTTACATAGCCTAATGTAAATACTTGGGAGGTTGGGAGAACACTCGATATAAGCTGGAAACCACTCCGCTTCGCGTCGTGGTTTCCTACGCTTATCTCGTGTTCTCCCAACCTCCCGCGTGTTTACATCAGGCTATGTAAACACGGAAACCATTTTACAATTTCTTCATTGTCATTTGGAAAAGGTCTGCAATATGTTTCGGGCAAATGTTGTGTTTTGTCTTGTATATAAGAACAGCTGTATCATTGCAGTCGCCGACTTTTTCAGATAAACTTGTTGCTAGGATGTTTGAAGGCTAATGCAGTTTTTACGACAGGTATCGCTTTCTTCTTAAATCGTTCCCGACCGTTGTTTTGTTGCAGCGAAGAGATAGAATGTTTTACCAAGTCACCCCTGCTCTTTCCACCCAGCTGAGTCTTTTCTAAGGTTTGCATAACAGATTCCAAAAGGACTCTTTTTAATTCGGGCTCTTTTCTCCTGTGCGTTTCAAACGTATCGTGCTCTTTTAAAATATTGATTTCGGAATACGGAGAAATGCTCTGTTTTGGGTTCCATTGCGTTGAATAATGGCCCTTTGACGAGAAATCGATCGGCGGTAATTCTGTTTTGTCGTGACGTATGGTGTTTTTGAGCCACCTAGCTCCGCTCCGCTTAGCTAGGCCAAATTTCCTCCTGTTATCGAGAGAATTTAATCTATATTCTTTCTTTTGGGCATAACATTTCGTCGCAATGTCATGCAGCCCTATTTTCTTATGATTCTTCGAGAAATCGCCGTTACTTTTCGAGAGATTTCGTAACAAAGGCCGAGTTCCTTTGTATGCAGAAGGCCGTTCATTTCCACTTTGCGAAAGATCAATTCCGACGCTGAAACCGTCTGCCAGAGTACGAGATTTCCAAATTGCTGCAGTCTTAGTTACAGCTTTCAGTTTTTTTACATGGCTTCCCACTTCGGGAAGTTTGTCTCCTTTCTTTGGTGGTGTGATCCCCTTAACTGACTTTCTTTTGTCCAAGTTCTTAGCTAGCACCTCTCCTTTGCCAGGGATGTGTTGTTTGCTTGTCACCAAACTTGGCTTAGTGCGTTCATTATCTCCGGTTGAATGTATCCTTGTTTCTTCATAACGTTTCTCTTCGTTATCGCCTACATCTTCTTCACTTTGTGCTTTATTTAACCGCGGACGTTCTTTTACCTCCAGGTTTTGAGATTCATTATCTGCGGCGCCGACGTTTGAATTCGCATCGACCTGATCCCCGCCAAATTTCTCTTCATTCCCCAAAGGAAACATAAAATCGGTATCGTCATCCACACAAGGTTCATTGATGGTAATCTCTAAAAAATCCGGACCATCACCCACAGTTAAAGAACAAGAAGAAGACCTCGAGTGACCTGGGCTGAACATGGCTGAATAAAGAAAAAGTTAGCCTCCGAATGTTGTTTTAAACACCTAAGTATTTTATTCTGCAAGAAAATTATATGACAACAATCTTATTTTGGCACCTGGCGAGGTAACCTATGGAGACCACTCGATTTTTGAGATAACACTTGGAAACATAATTGTTTTATTAACAGATGAAAATAAAGGAGACTCAGCGTTGAACAAAGTACTTTAAGTGGTTTGCATACAAATTGCTTTTATCTTAGATTTGCGGTTAACCTCTTCAGTTTAAGAGGGATTTATTGCTTCAAACTCTTTTAACTTATTTTTATTGGTAACAAAAAAAAGACAAAACAAAACAAAACAAAAAAACAAGTTCATATTACCGAAAACGTTTGAATTGCTGAAATGAAAAATTCCTCCCACGTAATACAATCAAACTGAGAAGTACAAAACAAAAAAGACAACTGAAAACAAAACAAAAAACACCTGAATTGTCTTTGGAATTCTTGAGAATATTTATTACAATCGGCATTTTACTATTTACACGTTATTTTTATTGTTCATGCTGTTAAGAGACATTGAAAGTAAGGTTTGTTAAACATTTCGAGCGAATTTTGATCAAATTGAATAAAATGTGTTCTAATTTTCAGGCTAAAACTAAGAAATTGCCGCCGGTGAAAGTATCACAAATGATTCATAATAGAAAAATCATATTTTGACTCAGGAATGAGATAACAAGTGACGCCGAATTGATTTTCCAATTTTAACTCTAATCAAGATAAAATAATGTGACATTATTTTCTCTTGCTGTAATTAAAGTCATGTTGAGAGCGGGGCAAATTTTACGGGAAACAAAGAGCTCATTAACTTTTGTCTCGCTCTAAATTACTATAGTTTCTTAGCTTAGTTGGTAATAGAGCCCATCTAGTTTCTAGGTACAAGGATTCTCTTCCTAGCTCTAGCTTTCGAGTCGTGCGTTCCTTTTTTTTTTTTTCCTGTCAGACCTCTATTTCTGTAATGATGTTAACTGTCGCATGTAAGCATATGAAGATCAAGTCATCTTTTGAAGTCTTTTACATCGTTTCATTGTAACTTACCAGAAGGACTTTAAAGAGAGCATAAATTATCCAACACGACCTGTTTGTATTTTTAACGATCATAACACTTCTCTATGGTGCTTTAAATTCACAGCCGTTAATTAAACCACCGTAGAAATAAAAACAAAGCTTGCATGACGCCTGAGGGCTAGTTAGTGTTTACAATAATTCTTAGCTCAATTCGTCATCGAAAAAAGCCTTTGGCTTAAAAATCATGCTATTGTTTTGGACTCATCCGGTGGCTACTTTGGCAAGTAGTAGAACTTGTCTTCGTGGAGGAAGTTGATACAGTTACTACAATTGCGTAATGCCTCGATCCTGTAGAAGGAAAATGTATTAAATGTATACCGGCTTGTTAATAATGATTTCCAGTCTATTGGTTTTACCGCTGCATTGTTATCACGGTCCATCGAAGATACCAATGCTCCACTTGTGAAGAGTTTGTTAGAATTTATGCTTTTTCCAAATCTGTCATGTGCTCATTGGAAGTATGATTAAATAGCATGTCCTGGTCGCTTATTTCGTACACGCGGAGCCAAGGTAGCAAAATAACCTGAAGCAGTTTAAGGCCGGGGCAAGAAAAGGAGGGGGACTTGGGTCACACTGTAAAAAGAAACTTTTCTCTAAGTTCAGTTCAGTGATGTTTTACAATTATTCAGTGAAGATCAACCATTCTTTTGCGCATTTCCTTTTCAGTTAGAGCTTTAATATGTTTATCTCGATCAATAAAGAATGCTTTTCAACATGGAACATAATGATAAAAGTCTGGGAATGGACGTAGTCATGGCTTCACGACCAATTAAAGTAACTTAGCGAGATGTTTTAGTGTCTTATGTACGTATGGAGCAACACTGCGCGCGCTGTGAACGCCTCCGTGAAAATGAAAAAGGTCGCACCTATATTTCTCCAATAAACATTATACACTTAATGTACGGTCCCAAGAGAAACAGTTAGTTTTGTGTTCCCAAGAGTCCTGATGTTTCCCTCGACCTCGTCTGGAGAAACATCAGGACTCGAGGGAAACAAAACCAACTAGTTTCCAGAGATACCATACATTAAGTGCTTTGTTATATATTTAGACTTTCCCTCAAACAATCATATGGCAAAAACATGCTGTTGTGTTCGGCGCGCGGGCAACAACTGCATGACGAAGAATCAACCAATCACAATGCTCGTTTTGTTGAGTGAAAGTCTAGATATAACAATTTGAGTTCTTGACAGAATAATTAATTTCTCTTGTATTAAGAAACTAACACGTGTAATAATATGTTTATTGAGCGCAAATCAAGCATTTTCCTTACGAAAAGTTTCTGACATCACCATAGAGAAAGTTTGACAAAAACAGTTCCTGACGCAGTTGGTTACGTCACCAAGAAACGTTTAATCACGCAATTTTGTGCGCACACTGAGGTACACTTATCATTTGGTGAAAACATAAAGATCGACCAATTATATCAAAAATAAAAATTCCTCTGACTCGTTGAGTTTACGAATTTTACATGATGTATTCAGGAATTTAGTGATCTGGTCACACAATTCCGATCGATCGGCGTTAGAACTTTCCTAATGAACGGACACAGTATAGCTGGCACGCAGGTCAAATGGCGCGAGATGGGTATGCCTTTTAAGCCAATTTGGACCAACAATGGGGATACGTCATTGCTCTTTTGCCACTTCAGCACCAACTAGATAACAGAGAAAAAAGACAGAACCAAAATATATCATTTGATCTTAAGATCGCTCGCCCTAGGCAAATTTCGTCCGTAAGAGAACATGCAAACGGCTTCTCTGATCGAAAAGTCAGTCGCGAACTCATATCAACGTACAATTAGCTTGCTTCTGGGCTACCATGTGGGACTGTAATCATCTTTTTTGGAGTTTTGTAAAGTCTGTTGTTTAATTGTCTGTATCGCAACGTAGGACAATTCTGCTCACCTGCTGTTTGTACGTAATTGCGGTTAACACTGTTTGTTACTGCTGAACGTCTCTCAGTCCGAATACTGAAGTTATGCATTTGCACGCATGGGCAAAAAAAATAATTGGTATAACAAAATTAATTTGACCTATGGTATTATCTCTTGACAAGATCATAACGAAAGAACGTTTTTTTTAGCGATCGAAAGAAGAGTTATTAGCGGAAATGACAATTAAAACGTTTAAACCTGGTTACGGCTGGTTATAATGGGCTTTATTTGCTCGATACTGTATAATAGAAATATAATTAATTTTTACAAATTATCCATTTTTCTGGAAACTTCCATCATCACAACGAGAAGAATACTAAATTATCAGTTAATTTTGTTCAAGATTTGGACAGGAAGACACTTAAAATGTGTTACTCAGGTTTACTTTATACTTGTCTGTAAATATATCCAGCAGCTGCGTTATCGGCGCTTTCATGTTGACTCCGGCTTGATAGCACATGATGAAATGAAGAATTTGGCAGGTTCTCTCTCTTCTATAAATTATTCTCGAACTTTTAGACGAAATAACTTAAGGTATAAGTTAAATAACAACGTGAATTAGCGAGACGTGTTGTTATTTCAATAAAAGTGTCATAAGGTGCCCTCTTTTAAGACTCTCTGTTGCTTAGCAACTGTCAAAATACCGTCTCGTTGAAATTCATAGAAAGTTTTGAGATTTTGTCCCGCTGAGGGTTGTAGATGGTTGCGATGGAGTTTGAACGAAATTGAAAACACTTGGAGCTCATCAAGACTTCAGTGAATAGATGGAAAGATTGTACGGAGCAATAGCTATGAAGAGGTCCGCGAACAATAGGAAATCATTTATACCACGGTTTTCCGCCGCTCAACTGCGCTTTCGAGACTGTAATTGTTGAATGCAGCTTGTAAGCTGGTTGCTACTTGCACGCTTGGTACAGTCCTAATTTAAATTTCCGTTCGATATAGTTGTTTTATAAACTCTAGATTTTAAAAGTGATAACTTTCTGGAGTATTTTAATAGCACAGTGCTGATCCGTTATTACCGAGTGTGACTCTATTCCGGTGTCGCGCCGACCGTTTTGAAGTGGGGTTATTTTCTAATAACTTCTACGATAACTTTAACTCATTTTCTACGCGATGGCTATAGATGCTTGTAATAGTGGGACCTTATTGCTGCCATTTCTCGACGAATCTGGGTGGAATCAAAAATTAAGGGCGTTTGTATACCTGATAGCGCTGTTATGGTGTTTCATGGGAATCGCCATTGTCGCCGATGTCTTCATGTGCGCGATTGAAACGATTACAAGCAAAACGAAAGAGGTCAAGGTACCGAAACAAGACAATCCAAGCGAAATGGACGTCGTGGAGATTCGAGTATGGAATGACACCGTCGCTAACCTAACGTTGATGGCTTTAGGGTCATCAGCGCCGGAGATTTTACTAGCTATTATAGAAATAGTTATTCTGAATAAATTCGAGGCAGGTAAACTTGGGCCGAGCACGATTGTTGGCTCGGCAGCGTTCAATCTTCTCGTGATCACTGGAGTTTGTGTGATGAGTATTCCTACCCATGAACAGCGTAGGATCAAAGCTATCAAAGTGTTTGCAGTGACAGCTAGCTTCTCAATGTTAGCTTACATCTGGTTGTATTTAGCGCTCAGTGCAATTACGCCCGACGTAATCGACCTTTGGGAGGCAATACTCACATTTCTACTATTCCCGATTCTGGTTGTAGTGGCTTACATTGCCGACAAGGAGTATTGTTGCCCTGGGAAAGTCCAACCTCAAGATCCAGGAGTCCTCGAATTGGGTAAGTACTACTTAACTTTACTTAACAAGCTGAAATGTTCTCCTTGTTATTTTAATACAGGGATAAAATTTCAGGATTACGCAAAATTTCGATTGCTTTGTTTACCTTAATTTTGAACTGGACGATTTCTCTTTTCAACACTAACCCCATTCGCATTGAAATTGTAATTTTTTTAATTCGTGAAGGAAATCAGAAATGTGTCTTGAGTTAATGTTGTTAGTTTGCCTAGAGAACCATGTTGCTAAGTGTTTTGTCGAAAAATACACTGGTTGTTGAGGATAATCTGCAATTATCTGTTCCGTGCACATTTGAATAAAAAGTGTAATTTTCGGTTATAAAGAATAATTATTCATTCCCACCTTACGTTTAAAACAAGTAGCAATATGTTTTTTCTAATGAAGTTTCAGTTGCGATTTCATTTCACGTCAAAAAAGGAGAAGAAATTGCTAGAAATTTAAATGTGCTAAGATCTGTTGCTAGCGCACGAAAACCATTAATTTGTTCAGCTGTCATACTCAGAGTTACCTCAACGTCAAATAGGGATTATTTACATATTAGAAGCAGCTCTTTGCAGGAGACCGTTAATTTTTGCAACCGAATACCAAAATAAAACTTTTCACCAATTACAAAAAATATATATATATATATATATATATATATATATATATATTATTGCCTTTGCATTATAAATTATCAGAACATAGGCAATTTACGTTATAGGGCTCTATTTAAAGGTAAAGTGTCAATGACTAAAATTAATTGGAAAAATTGAGAATTGTTCGCATGCAGGTGCTGTAACTCTATGCAAATCCACTGTCTAGTTTGACATGACAAGGGATATTTTTTTTGTAAACAGGAAATATGGATACAGCCATTAACAGTGTGTTTCAAAGATCTGAAAAGTTGACATAAAATGATTTTGTTACAATTTTTGAAATTTGTCTCAAAGGGATAACTATGGGATTTGGTTTCCCCACATGAGATTTTGAACAAGAACACTCATTAACCAGTTGACAATCAGGATTGTTATCTAACTAATTAACAGGATCACAAAATGTGTTACCCACATAATTTGCATCATTGGAACTATCTGGTGGTTCTACAGTTTTTAAAATTGGTTTGCTTGTTACCTGTCAGTTTACTGTTTTCACCAATTTATCAAATGCCAATTTCATTTTGACAATGAAAGTGCAGTTTGACATACTTGCATATTTACAAGTCAAGGGAAAAAATAAGATATTAAAAACATTTTGTATATACATACTGTCTGTACAAGTTTGCTTTTACAAATTTTTATTCATTATGATTATTTCTATGTTGACTATGCCATGAGGATTTGGTTGTTGTATTTTGGGTGGTTGTACTTTGTGCTTGGTAATTTTTTTGGGATCTTAACTGGTGGAGGACAAACCAATTGACTTTGTACATGTAAGGTACATTTACAGAGTTTGAGTGGGATGTCTGTTACAAAAAAAGAAGAATCTGTTGAATGTCACATGGAGCTGGAGCAAAGAGCAGCAGATTCTAAAGTTTTATGTGCTCTGAAACACTCCATTAGGCTGCATCTGCTTAAAATGCAAATGATTCACAGCAGGTTCTACTGTCTTCAGTTATTTTGTTTTTCAAATTCAGTGTCCAGAGGGATTGAAAGGGTATGGATATTTACCGTTTCATTCTTTTCATCTCAGACAATACACATAGCAGTACTGCAGAGTAAGGCTCTGTTCATAATAATAGGGCCTGTGAAACCAGACTGCCTGTAGCTTCCCTAATGGCTAGGGAAAAAAATTAATTTCTCAAGAAAAAAGTTTGTATGTGTCTGAACCTATACGAACAGGTATAAAAAAATATGCTCTTTTTCATCAATTCTGCTTTAGAGAAGGAAGGAAAAAAATTAATGTAACTGGTGGATGGGGGAACTCTTTTAAAGTGTTATATTTTTTGAAATGTAGCTAACACTGTATTTGTGTATTTGCCTTATACAGCTGAGGGTGCTAAAACACTGTCCACCCCTACACATGATCCAGAGGTTGAAAGTTTTATCAAGGTAACTTTCTTTTCAACAGTTTTTTGGTGTGCCATTGAGAGTTATTAGGAAAAATATTTTTACTTTTGTACTTTAGGAAGTGAGCAGGAATCCCGATCTGTCAGAGGATGATGCAGCAATGCTTGTTGCCGCACATATTAAATCAAGGCAACCAAAGAACTACGGGTACTACCGAGTGAGTGCCATTAGGGATCTGGGAGGCAGTCATAAACTGAGACCAAAGATGGACCCCAAACTTAGAGTGGTACGTAGCTAAGCTTTTTACGGATAGAGCCTGTCACGATTCCTCTCAACAGATGTCAACAACTAACGATAAAATGCAAAGGATTTATTCAGAATATGAACACAGAAAATTAATCTAATCTAGAGAAGCTTGTGAATATTTTCTAATCCAAACTTTATAATAAGATATATTTTTTATTGTTATAACAGATTTACGAAGAATTGTCGGAGGTTGGTTTTTCTTCATCTGGAGCTACTGCCATCATGAGTCATGCCTTAGGTGAGTACAAGAAAGCCTATCCGAAGGACCAACCCTGAAATCTCCTACGAGGGAGCAATCTCCCATGGGGGAGCAAGATCCCCATGCCTTATGGGCCATTTTCCCCCCTCAGTCTAATCTTATTTCATTGATTGCAGCTGGTAAAGTACAACCTGCTCGTGTGGAGTTTGCTGCTCCGGAATTTGCTGTCCTAGAGAGCGACAAAATTGTCAAGATTGGTGTGAAAAGATCTGGAAACACGAAAATTACAGCCAGTGTAAAGTAAGAACGTTTAACCCTTACACGTTAAAAAATTCCTAGATTACGAGCAAGGAGCGTTTGCTGTGCAAATTTATACTTCTTCAATTGGCCTAAGAGAAACGTGGTTTGAAGCCCAAATCGAAAACTGGAACAAATTGATGTAGTTTTGCAAAAAATCTCCAGAAGCATTGCTCGTCCTTAGGGTTCAGTTGTTCGAAGGCTGATTAGCGCTCGCTCAAGGTTAATTCTTATTCCGGATTCCTTAATTCCTTTGTTCAAAAGCCTTTTTTAGATAATTTTTTGTTTTTCTTCTAGGGCATCCATTCATCAAATTGTAGCCAAAGAAATTGTACTGAATTTTCTTTTAAAGCTTTCAGGTCTGAAATCAGATTTCACAATTACCCTGGGTTATTTTAACCCAATTACGAACAAACCGGCCCCGGGGTACAACTTGCAATATTGAGTTACTCACATCCCGAAACTTGGATGACTAAATCAAGCTGATATGTTGACTCTCAAATTTTGCGCTCTTTTGTCAGTGAAATGTGCTCAAGTATTAAGAAACGAATATATATTGTTACTTTTTCCCACAGCTATGAGACTATAAACGGCACAGCCATGGCTGGATCTGACTACGAAGCCAAAAGAGACGTGCTTGTCTTCCAACCCGGTGAAAACTTGAAACATATCAACATTACTATCATCGATGACAACGAATGGGAAGAGAACGAAGTTTTCTTCTTGAAATTGGCCAGATTTGACTACAAGGACGACACTGTTGAGATAGGAGAACAAAGCATTACTGAAGTCACTATTATAAATGATGACGGTGAGTTGGGTCTAGAGTAAGTTAAAACGCGAATTAGCTACAGATGTGTTCATCGAAAAATGAAACACGCTATTTGCGCTCTGCAACATCAGCTAGCAAAACACATTATGGCAAGTTTTTTTTTTAGACTCAATTTCCTACACAGCTCATGTAGAATGCGCTGATATTCTTTTCGTTTGATTTTCAGAACCCGGAACCTTTTCACTGGAGAATCCAAGCTTTGTAATTAAAGAGAGTATTGGTAAAGCTTACATCAAAGTCAACCGCACCCAGGGTACAGACGGGAGGGTGGAGGTCACTTGGAAAACCACGGATCAAACGGCAGTAAACGGCAAAGATTACCATGGAGGGTCTGGCACATTGGTCTTTGAACACGGCGAACAAGCAAAATCAATTGCAATAGACATTATCGATGATAAAGACTTTGAGAAAGACGAAACGTTTCTTGTAGAACTCATCAAAACCTCAGCAGGAGCAGAGATAGGTCATATTCGAAGCGCTGCGGTCAATATTGTGAATGATGACGGTAAGCAATAATAGACTTTCTTGTTATGCTTTCTGATAGTTTGATAGATATTTGTAAAATTGGAGCTTTAATTTGCATTAAAAATTTGCACGCTATAATTATCATTACTAGTGTTTTTATCGTGATTGTTAATCATCACCATTCTACAGTTCTAAGATTGAGAGCTACACTAACGAACAAAGCGTCAATACGACGATTCTGTTAATAAAATCTGGATTTGGACAAAGGCACAAACAGCCAGCCACGATTATTCACCCATAATTCGCTTATATTATTTCAACAACTTCGTTAAAATTTATCATGTTTGTTTATACTTTTTCGTTAGCTCTTACCTATTTGTGGACAGCTATAAACAAAAAAACTAGACGTTGAGATCGGCCGAGATACATCACGTAATCTTTTAAAAGCTTTTGGCGCCGGCATACCATTTTTAGCTGTTGAATTTTACGTGACAAAGTTGTTATTTTTTTGTGTTCTCCAGAGTATCGCAGATTATTTGACCGAGTTGTTGCACTCACTCATATAAATCTCCGCCGTTTGGAGCTGGGGTCCGAGTCCTGGGCGTCGCAATTCCGTGAGGCGATGTCAGTAAATGGCGGAGATGTGGAAAATGCCACTGCCATCGATTACGTCATGCACTTCTTCACCTTTGCTTGGAAGGTGCGATAGACTTTTAACAAATCTATTTTATGCGTACAGTATTACTGTTTTCCTTTACCTGTTTATTGGTCTTATTTCTAGGTGGCTTTTTCTGTGCTTACAGTGTCCAACTGTAAGTGAGTAGTCGGAAAATGCGTGTGATGCGTTAATTTCCAACATGTAATTTTCTTTCTCATTTTCGGCAGGTTATCTTCGCCATAATTCCCCCTTGTACTTGGCTTGGTGGTTGGGTGACATTTTGTGTTGCTCTAATGATGATCGGCCTAGTCACCACCATAGTTGGAGACTTAGCCACCATATTTGGATGTCTAATCGGACTAAAAGATGAAGCGACCGCCATCTTGTTTGTGGCTCTCGGCACCAGTCTCCCAGACTTGTTTGCTAGCAAAACTGCGGCGGTGAATGAGAAGTACGCGGATGCGTCTGTAGGAAATGTCACCGGTAGCAACTCTGTGAATGTTTTCTTGGGACTGGGATTGCCGTGGGTGATTGCTGCGAGTTACCATATGGCTAAGGTAAGAAGGATATCACTATCTTGAACTAAAAGGTCGAATTTTAAGCTTCGAGTACGTATAGAATGCGGTAAAGAACTTAAAGAGAGAGATTGAAACATTGGCCCGCTAGAATCGTTCAAGTGGTCATTTACAGTCCGTGTCAATCTCCAAGCACAATAGTACTCCTTTTAATGGGAAATTGCGAGTCACCGCCGAGACCAAAAGTAATATATATGGTCGATTCAGATAACGAAAAAACCTTGTTTGAACTGCAACAAAAGCCCTTTGTTTCGATTTAGGGCTTTTAACTAGTTGTGGATATTTTCGTATTTTTAGCAGCATTACAGTACATATCACGCACAAATTAATCTCATTTTTATACGAATGGTTGGGTGCTGGCCTCTCTTTGAAAGAGAGGCCAAAGTTGATTCGGAAATCGCGTATTCTGTGCGCAAGTGTCATTGAGTAAAATACTCAAACAGCGAATAGCGTTGAAGGCACGCTCTGGTTGGCCACTCAAACTCCGGATATCCTTTTCTATTCGACTTTGAGCAACTCGTGTGGGATTTGCGCACGAAAATGTATTAATCGTTGCAGGAACAAATGAATTAAAATCATCTTTTTGAATGTTATTATCTCACTGTGTTAGTACATAATAAAATACTCCATGTCAATGTTTGTGAACGTAAGTCTGTGAGATAATTTTCATAGCCAAGTGATTATTTGCCTAAGGATGTCTCTTTGTCGTTTTTTTTGTTAATTGTAGGGCACAGTGTTCGAAGTGAAGGCAGGGACATTATCCACAAGTGTTATCACATACAGTTGTTGCGCGGTCTTGTGTTTTGTGCTCCTTTTGGTACGAAGATATTCAAAATTTATGGGCCGCGCTGAGCTTGGAGGGCCAAATGTTACCAAATACGTATCTGGGGTCTTCTTAATATTTTTATGGTTCGTTTACGTTTTAATTTCTTGCCTCGTTATTTATGAGATAATCACATTTTAAAGCAATGTTTTATTCAATGTAAATACGCAAGGATCGTAACAAAGAGGCAGTTATTTAAATTATTCCACGACACTTAGGAAATGATTAGATTCGTTATCTGTACATGAGATAACTTGGAACTGACAATAAGTCGTATTTCTTCGGGGGAGGGGGAGGGGGGCAGTGGTTGTCGTCACTCGTGACCACGTGACTGGGGTTTTACGATAGCCAACCACCTTCCTGGCCTTAAAAGTATAAAGTTATTTCTTAAAAATGTAAATAATTTCCACTTACCACTTAATGTTTTATCAACGTGTGGTGAATCCCTCGATTTAATCACCTTTTTCGTCTGTTTGCTGATTGTTTGCTAACATACAGGAAATTTACGAGCGTTTCATTTCGTTTTCATTGTGAAACATAGACATAACACGAACAGAAGGACTCAGTTGGAGAGTGAATCAAAAATCTATTTATTTTGTACAGTAACTTAAAAATACAAAGCCTCTATGCAACACAAAGTACACCGTTACAGATGCGTAGCACTTTTAACACAAAAGCTTATCTGAACAGACCTGGATACTTTATTCCCCTTCGTTTGTTTCATTATTTATTGGAAGATTTGTAAATAGGTAGAAGCGAAAATCTGTTTTTCAGTAGTTTTATATATTACGGAACAGTGGATATTTCGCTTCTTATCTTTAAAGCTAGTTTTGTGACGTTTATATTGAAAAAGTGAACCGCTAGTAAAGAGATTTTGGCACGTTAGATCTCGAAGGTACTTTGAATGAAAAAGCTTGTATGCTTGTCAGAAAAAAAATAAGTAAATGCTAAAACTGACCGGGATGCATTTGAAATTCGTAACTGCGAAAAACGGAAGAAGTTATTGCACTGAAGTCATAGCATTTTAGAAATAGTTTATTTCGTCACGTGCCGGCATATTTGCGTCACTTTTGAACGGCGGTAAGAGGTTATGAAAGGGGTTTCGTATTGACCAATTTCTGTGAGTACGTGATGTTGCATGTTACAAAAAAATGTTTCGTGTTTCACGCGACAAATAGTGACTGTTTGGCCGCAAAATTTGAGATTTAGAACCGTTATATAGAAATATTCTGAAGACGTTTTGACGAAAATAATTCAGTTTGCTTTTCCAGCAATTCGTCTTTTGGGACTTTTTTATGATAGGTGGAGCTCTTGTTTCGTAGATTGCTTCAGAATTCATGTTTCAGTGAGGAAATTGGCTCAATTTGTTTTCCTTTACTGGCTAGGAAAACTCATTTTCAACGTTCCATGGGCGCAAAGTATTCCGACATAAATTTGTGCTTTTAAGAGAAATTCAAAAAGCCCGAAAGTTGAACACAATTCCTATTTGAACTTGTGACATTCCATTACTAAATCACCATCAGAAGAATCTTGGAGAAAATATAGATTGCATCACGTTATCATTACAGAAGCAATTTAGATCTCTACTTCACATTGATTGTAGATTGACGTACCTAATAATAATAAAAAAAAGATTTATCACAAGAATTGTTTACGAGTTTTTTTGATAGTGTTTTAAGTCAGGAGTTGAAACGATGTTCTTTATCTTTTATTCTTTACACCTGGGGCTTTTGACCCTCAAAGATCGGAACATTTGAAATCAAATTTCCTCTAACTCTCTAATGTTTTCACGCCATTCCGTCAAGTAAATCTGCGTTAACAAATTGAAAGGAAACTTTTGAGTTTTTGTGAGTGACCCCGTGGGATGACCGATCGGGAGAGACAACTGTTTTGCTTGGAACAACCGAGTTCACAGCTTTTGCCCCATTAATAAAATTTTGAAAAATGAAGAAAACATAACGCGTTCTTTTTTCCTTTTGCTGCTAAACTCTGGCGCTCCCTTCTTCCCCCCCCCCAATTTTCACGCACACTTTGCCGCTGTTTAATACAACGTTTGATCAAAAAAACTACTTACTAGGCTCAACAAGCCATTGAAACATCAGTCAGAGTTCTCAACTAACAGTTCTTTCTAAGACTAATCTCATCTAGACTATCAAATGACATGATCAAGACTTGACCCTCTCACTCCCATGACCTAACTAGTAATTCTCCTTACTGTCTACCATACAACTCTTATGATGTTAGTTTGTAGAATTCAGTACTGGATCACCTAATCATCCTCTGATTGATATTTTTTCCTTTGTTTGATATTCTATTGAACTGTAAGAAGAAATTCTTTCTAGGTCACTCATGGAAATTACATGGTTAACTCAGTTCAAATTAATTCCATCCCTTGGACTTTTCTGTTCTGTTCCTCTCTGAGTTCCTCCAATGTCTGTCCTATCATTTCCCTCAGTTCTTGTACAAGTGGGTGATTTCCATGAGTTACTTTCAGAATGGCTTCTGCCTGAAGCAGTGACTGAAAACCATCTTTAAGTTTGTCCAAGTAGACTTGAAGTTTGCCTGAAAATCAGATTGAGACCTATTTCAAATCATCAAGGCTTTCTCGTGTCCTGAGGAAGTGAAATTCTTAATTGAAATCAGAGACAATGAAAAAAACCAAGAAGACACTGCGGCTGGAGCTCACTTTTCTTCCAGAGAGTAAAATTTGAATTGATCATTTATGAATTGATCATTTATGAATTGAAAGCAGCTCTGGACGTTTTTGCCTATGTGTTATCTACCATGGGCAAGGTCTGTATAATTGGATAAAATACTGTGTACTGGGGCTAATGAGTAGGAACAAAGGTCTTCTTTGGGTTCAACAGGCAATATGATAGGTCTTTCATCTTTTCTTAACTGTTTATTGACCAAAGGACAGTTTTCCAAACCTTTATTGTATTATTAGGCTACATTTGTATGACACCTTCATTAAGCCGTAATGGATACAGAGAGATTTCAATTAAATCACCTACCAATTCTGAACAACTGAATGCCAACACTTGGATGATTCCTAGGATAATACAGCTTGTATGCATCCATTGTTTGAAGTCCAAAAGCTAGGGCTCTGTCCCAAAACTCCAGATTAATGCAGGCATCCATAGCTTTATCAAGAATGCCAATTCTGCTGTAATTTAATTTATGAAAGAAACATCTCTGTTCATCTAGGACATTCTCAGCGAGGTCAAGAATACTGTTATAGTCATCAGTTTTCTCCAATGCTTTTATTTCCTTTAAAGCTTCTTCAGATTTTGAGATATTTCCTTCTGCTTTGGTTACCATTGCTTTATTGGATGCTTGTTTACCACAAGTGTTGCAAGCAGCAAAGCCTCCTCCTGCAAAAAGAGCTTATGTCAGAAGAATATTTCAAATAAGAGCATAGTAGACTCTTACACAAAAGCAAGGTTAGATGACTGCACTTGACCTTAGAGGTTCACAGAGTGGTGCTTTCCAGGGTACCTACAGTTGATTTCCATATCATGAAATGAAAAGGACTATAATTGCTATCTAACTTAGGAAGTTCATTGCAGGTCTTCATCCTGTCCTCACTCCCCTCAATCATTTAGTTTTCCCAGAAGTTTTCTTACACCTTTTTCCTTCCAGAAGGGGCAGAGGTATTGTGATGGTATAGTGTCCTGCCCCAGAATACACCACAGTGACCCCTGCTGGGGCTCAAAATCAAACCTTTTGGTCTTGGATCCAGTGCGTTGAACACTGACCACCCTGTATGTTTCAACATGCCTCACAATTCTTATGGAAAAACCCTTCTACCTGTGTGCTGGGTGATCATAAAAATTACATGCAACATGATGCAATCCTCAACCTACAGAGTGCACACATTTTAATAATCTTCTTTATAATAATGAATGGTAGCATACAGTACCTGATCACTCCAAAGGCACAAGTAAAATAAAAAAATGGCTAGAGAAGAATATAACACAATTTATCTTGGAAAATATGAATTATCACCTGCTAAATCCCTTGGCAATGCTCCATTGCAATGAGAGTTAGAACACTGCAGGCTCAACATAAGTCCATCTTCCTCTAGTGGAGAGTTACACTTCACACAATGACAATCAAATGAATAACGACTTTTTAAGTCTTCCTTCCTCTGGTAGCTTGGGCAAAGCAGTTCTGAGTAGCTTATTGTAAGTTCATCACCTTGCTTGATATTTTCTGTTGCATGTATAAGGAGTTTTGTGCCATTGAAAACAGCAACACAGTTTGGAGCACATGAGTGGTTGAGAAGGGAAGGAATTTCATAAATACCAACACCTAGAAGAGGAGTGAAAATCGTTTCTTACCTTGTGCATTTTCAGTATAGTAATATTATCCAAAGAGCTTGCAAATCCCCTGGCAGTTATAAGAAATATACCAGCAAGGCTTTATCAAAGCTACTGATTGACTGAGTAACTGCCTGAATGAATGACTAATTGATCGACTGTCTAATTGATTGACTGTCTAATTGTTCCACTGAAAAACTGACTGAGCAACTGACTGATCGATTGACTGACTTTTGGAATGAATGACTGACTGACTGACTGACTGATTGACTGATTGACTGTCTGATTGACTGACTGAATGACCAACTAACCCAGTTGACTGACTGACCCACCCACTTATTACCTCTATGACTCATACAGAAAAACCAACAATGGGAAGGATGCTGTAACTGCTTCCATCAACACTGAATGTTACTGCTTCCGAGAGAAGCTGCAAAATATTTTAATGCTTTTTGGATAGAAAATCTTAGTTAGTGTTTCAGTTCAGGAAAAGACCCTGTATAATTGAGATCGCTTTTGGAATAAAAAACAAGTTTATACTGTCACTCTTGATAGATTAATTAAGACTTGTGAATGTTGCTAGGCAATAACTTATTTTTTGACCATGTTACAAAGTTTTGATTCAAAGCTAAACTCATGGCTAGTTTTCCCTTTCTTTTCAGCTGAATTAATTTCCATGTGCTTGTTTCCAAGATTATCTCACAATACTTAGGCAATTTCTTAATGTAATGATCTCAGTTGACCACATTGATATGAGGATGCCCCAAGGAATAGGAAAAGGAAAAACAGAAAACAGATGCTATACCGGTTTGGTGTCTATGGTATGCCTGTGTATCAACCCATGAATCAAGATTCAATTCTTGCTTGAAAGGAAAATTTACAGATGGTCACATGGATGGACAGATGGATGGTTACATGAACTGCCAGCTGGATGGACTGACTAACTGATGGACTGACTAACTGATGGACTGACTAACTGATGGACTGACTGACTAATGGACAGACAAGCAGACCAACAGATTGACTGAACTACTGGCTGACTGACTGACTGACTGACTAATTGTACAGCAGACTGACATTCCTTACTTTGATTTTTATAATGAACATAGAGTCTTTCATACCCAAGGGCTGCAGTTCAGCATCACAAATAGTAAAACTGTTGCAGGATATTTTACCAAAAAGGGCAAATAGGTGGTCATCTGAGTATTTATGAAAATCGCCCTCGCCTAAAAAGAGTTTAAGAGCTACCAATATAGCTGAAAAGGCCTCTTTTCTTTGATCATCAAACTTGTCAGAATGAAAGACGAGACTCGAGTAAACAGATCTGACAGAAGAAACAGAAGGTTTAGCAGATTGTTCCTGTTGTGTGATTCTCGCCATGAGTCGTACAAGATCGGTTGGGATATTCGGTGAAATATTCAAAGTGAGTTCGCATTCGGTTTTATGATCCTTCCAAGCGCTCTTCTGGCATTCACGGTTACAATAACGTGCAAATTTACACTTAGAACAACGCTGAAGGTCTTCGCTTTTAGCAAAACAAAAGTCGCAGCACAGACCTCGCACACTGTTACATAAAACGTAGACTAAAGGAGTAGATTCCAGTACTTTATCTCCGGGTGTTAACGATTTTGAGGCTCTTAATCCGCGTCCTTTCTGCTCTCCGGAGTCAAAAATCTCGAAAACCTCTGCACAAAGTTTTGCGTCCGCCATGTTGGAAATTTGAACGCTGAAAGAAATACAGACGGCTCAATAACAAACTAATCAGGACTCGTATATGACCAATAAACTGCTGTAACGAAATCCGCTGTCTGAAACGTTTCTAGATTCAAACATGGCGGTAAAATCACACTTTTGCACTAGTTGATCTAGGAAAATGACTTTAGCTCCAAATTCGAAACAAAAATTCCGTTCATTTCTGTGGAGAATGCTTAAAGTTGGAATTCATGAGAGTTGAAACACTTTTCAAACGGATCTTGCCATTGCCATTTTCAGAAACGTGCGAAAAAAGGCATCTACCTCGTCACATTTCGAGAATCTTATTTCATTCAAAGAAAGGCGATGCTTGTAGAACTCGCACTTATCCTTTACATTTGCCTGTGAAAGATGAAGCTACTTTGTATTTGCATGTAAGTATTGCTTTTATGAATTCTTGTCCTTCTCACGTCAATTCAGTTAATGAATGTAGTCTCCAGTAGGTTACTGATTGTAGTTGTAAGTTACTAGGCTCTAATTATGAAAGAGGGTAAATTACCCAACAAAACCTTGAACTTAGTTTAAATATGATGCATATTATTAAATTACATATACGTAGTTCTTTTAAAAAATATATTCCATGTTATTATTTCAGTGGCCCTACTGCAAGCATATTTGTTCATTTTGCAACTTCAACAAATACATCAGGTAAGTCAGGTGTACATGTAAAAAAAAATCAAAATTTTTATTTATTACCTGTTAGGCATGGTAAAATTTTCTTATTTTTTGATATGATGTTACATTTAGTGTTGATGATACCCTAGTGTGCACACCAATTCTTTATTTAAACGTTCATTTTACTTGCCAGTACCATTGCAGCACACATACCTGCAACTACAGCATTTTGACTATGCCCATATGGATTCTGAAAGTTTGGTTGTATTGCACGCTGCTAAAAAGCTTTAGATCTACTCAAGCTCTACCGTACTGTGTAGACTGGATGGTACTGAAGAAATGTCTCTATGGGTTCCCAATTTCCTCAACATATCAGCTTTTGTGAATATGAAAGTGATCTTTGCGGTTATAAACACTACTTGAGCAGTAGTGAAAATAAGGCCTGAAAAAAATTCAGGCCTGTATGGGATTTGAACCCATGACCTCTGCAATACTGCTGCATTGTTCCATAGTGCATCACAGTGGTGATGGGTTAAAATCCAATACAGGCCTGAAAATTTTTTTTCAGGCCTTATTTTCACTACTGCTCATGTAGTGTTTATTACTGTGAAGATTGCTTTCATACTCACGTCTTTATCCGCAGTTCAAATAGATGACTTTCATATATTCACAGTAGTATATCACCTTTTGTTTGGTATTTCTGTGTTTCTCATGGAATAATTTTTATGTGATATCTTTCTTTGAATGATAGATATTACATTGAGTTCCATGTACTCTTTTGTTAGTTGTGTCTCTTTCCCTCTCCCAGTCTGATTTCTTTTTGTTCATCAGTTGATTAACCTGGGAAAGACTTCTCTACAATGTATGGATATCAGTTTGATTGTGTAGTCTAATCCTATGGCCCAAGAGTGACAAAGTTTTCTTTTTTCTTCTGTGTGCCTTCTCTTTCAGTAAGAATGTGGACCACGATTGCATGAGAAAATGCCTTGTGACTGAAACAGAAACCTTATTGAAGTTGTCTGGTGTGAAAAAGATTAGCTCAGTTTACTTTGGAGGAGGTAAAGTTTTCATTACTTCACTGCAGAATCCATTAATACATGTAACTTTATAGTTCTATAAAGTTACATGTACATAAAAAGTACATTTTTGAAGCATTCAAGCAAGATACTTGAAGACACCCAAAACTGACCACCCACAGTGCAATAAATGAATAAATCTCCAAATTATGCCCAAAGAATTGGTTTTCATGACAGCGTTCTTGGCTATTTTTCACTTTTTGAGCTTTAAGCTGCCAGGTTCTTTTGTTTTTTTGTTGTTGTCTGTTTGAATATTTTGTGTCTTCCTTTGGGGCTTTTCATTTTAGGAACACCAAGTTTGGCAGAACCTTCAACAATTTCTTCAGTACTTGAAGCTGTTTCAACCATTTGTTATATACCTTCTGAGGCAGAGGTGACACTTGAAGCTAACCCCACTTCAGCTGAAACTGAAAAACTCAGGTGAAATGGACAGAAAATGCATCAAATAATCATTTTTTTACTGTGGTTTTTGTATCCTAGTTTAAAATTTCTTTTCTCCCTCCTGATTTTATCAGGTACATGCCTCACAGACAGTTTGCCAATACCCTAACATTTACACTCTAACTTCCATGTGGAGAAGCACCTTGAAAACATCATGTTTTGCATGATAAGAACATAACATTAAGACTACTTGTGGGAAGTAGTCTTGCATGCTAAATATTGGTCCAGTGTTTCCTTTCTTAAGTCTGTGTAAAAACTCAGGTAGTAAAGTGCTCTTAAAAAAGTAAATATTATCAATAATTCAAGTACAGAATGGTAGTTAACTTAACTTAAGGGTTAATCTCTTGCTCTATGATTTTAGTCATTTCCATGCTGCTGGAATTAATCGTCTCTCCCTTGGAATCCAGGTATTGATAACTGAAGTTATAAGTTCTTCCTGAATTTTTAAAGTTTATTTTTTTCTTTAGAAAGAGTGAATTGTTAGCTGTATTTTTCTGAAAGCCTGTCATGTTTCCTTTTTGCTAGGCCTTCAGTTCAAGAGATTTGCTTCTTTTAGGAAGAGACAATACCATTAGAGATTCATTGAGGTAAGGTAAAATAAAATGAAATGATCAGAAACACTACAATGCAAATAAACCAATGATTATGAATCCTGAGCATTCCCAGTTCTAAACGTTACTTCAAATTTCTTGTAGCTGCTTTGATATTTTTCCTTGTTATCTAGTTACTCTAGCTGATAAACTAATAATTATCCTTGTTTTCCTCTTGAAAAGTTTTTTTTAACATAAGATTGTAAGCAGTAGTTGGCATACAATAGTGATGTTAATTACTATATATACATAACTTAATCAATGGAGAAGGGAAGAACTTGAAAATTTTTTGCCAAAATGTCAATGAATGATACAAATTAACAGTTTATAATCAGGGGCTGGTGCATGAACTCTGCAAATAAATGTTTGATTTTCTAGAGCAATACAGGCTGCAAGGTCCATTTTTCCAGGAAGAGTATCGATTGATTTGATGTTTGGACGTCCACAACAAACACTGGAGGATTGGTACAAGGAGTTGTTAAAAGTAAACAGGACATGTGGTCTAAGTTTTTTAAATTATTAGTTGTAGTGCCGTCAGTAATAAACTAGTGTTATGCAAGTGCTTAAGTCTAGAATCTAGGGATGAAAATAGAACCCATGATTTTAAGGATGTAGTATGAACAATTGCCTGCAAATTCAATTGGAATCTAACTGCTTGGCAAAGAAAATAATTAAGAGAATCCATGATGGGGGACTGGAGACAAGGTGACAACAACTGAGACACATGTATGCATTATCATATTCTTTTGTTTGCTAGAACAAGGAAACTAGCTCCCTGATGTGGTTCCAGGTTGAAGGGAAGTAAAAGGAATAAAAAGTTTGTTATGAGAAACTGGTTCATCTGTTCTCAGCTCAGTTAACAAGTAACAAGTTTGGATTCCTTATAATTGTATTTAAAACCACACATATTTTTACAAAACATCTTAATATTTAGGATGATATTACAGTCACTTTGTGAATACTGTATTTTCCTGAATGAGCACCTACCCCTTGGGCAATAATGGCAAACAATTACTCCATGTGAAAAAGCACCCCCTCCTCCCTTGCCTCTTGTAATAATAGGGACACAAAGAAAACCTTTTTTCTATAATTGCCACTTTATTTATAACTTTTTAAGGTTGAAATGAAGCAGAATCAGTACAGGAGGATAATAAGCCCCTCCCTCAATTAAGCTCCCACTGGATGCATTGTATTATCACATCATTGTCATTATAACCCTTGCTTGCCCTTGACCATTTACCAGGCATTATCTGTGTGTGATGACCATATATCATTGTATCAGCTGACGCTGGAAAGAGGCACACCACTCTATAAAAATGTCATTTCTGGAAAACAAGTAAGATTTTTAGCATTCAATATAAAATTAATGTATTTTTAATTATTAAATTTGTCTGACTTGAATCTTATTGTGAGTTATTAAAATTACTGGCTACTATTTGTTTTTTTAGTCTCTTCCTGATCCTGATTTGGTTGCTGAAATGTATCAGTTGGCAGTGGAGGTAAGGAAAAAAATTGCAATGAGTTAACCTCATGTTTTGTTTTTTTGAAGTAAATACATGTTTAATTTTGAATTTTAAATATATTCTTTTTTTGTTCTTTGTTGTTGTCATCATTACCATCATCATTATCAGACCTTGACTGCAAATGGGTTCCTCAGATATGAGGTTGCCAACTTTGCAAAATCAGTAAGTTGAATGATTGTTAGATCATCCAGTTAAGTAATTGTAAATAATCAAACTGTTTTTTTTTCTGAATGAAATTTCAATGTTCATTTGGATTAATTGAAGAAGGTAAAGTGCATGCAGTAATTATCATTTGTTGTTCTAGGATGCAGAAAGCAGACATAACCTCTCATATTGGAATGGATCACAGTATATTGGAGTGGGACCTGGTGCTCATGGCAGGTGTATACACATAACTAATCAGTTATGGAGTAGTGTAGTTTTTGTAAAGATTGCAATAGAAAACAATACTATTCATAATATTTTCTTTATTTAACTGATGAAAAATAATACTAAAACAATGTGTGTTACTTAAGAAAAACAACAGAAACAGAAGTCATGAACCCCAAGTGGTGTTCCTTTTTCTTTCCTTTTGTAGATTTATTCCTTCTGGAAATGGCAATGGATTGAGACAGGCAAGAGTGCAAACATTAGAACCAAACCAGTGGATGAAAGAGGTATTAACTTTCTTTCTAAGTTCTTATAAGTTTTTACAACAGGTCATGTAAAAAATTTGTTGGTACTTCAACACCTGTATGTTGGTTTTAAGGTTGAAACAAGAGGGCATGGAACTAGAAAACAAGTAACACAAACAAAATTTGAAATGTAAGTACTAAACATTTGTTCTGGAAAATGTATTATTTTGTCAGTGGGTCAAGGTGGTGGGGTAATGGTTAGTGAGCTTGACTCTGTAACAAGAGCTCTGTTAAATTCAAGCCCTGATATAGAAAATTTTGCTACATTTCTGAGCAAGACACATGACTCATACAATGCCCTCAGTGGAAGGCTTACTCCAAATTTATGTTGTAGCAGAGGTTAAAAGAAAACCATGTGAAGTGCTGCTAAATCCTGGGTGTGACTTCAAGGGGTATAGCTCTCCAGAAATACCTGTGACAAGCTGTTCAGCACTTACTTAAAGTTGGTTTTAAAATGGTGCAGTAATGAAAGTATTTTCTTTGATCTCAGATTCGAAGAAATTCTTATGATGAGTTTAAGGACTGCTGATGGTCTAAGTTCTGAGGTATAAGTTGTTATAATAATAGTAATAATAATAAAAAACCACAATAGATCTAAATCACTGAAAATACTTGTAAATCAAAGGAGTTTAATACAGGTGGCAAATGTCTGTAGATGCTGAATTTTGCACAGAAACCCAAATGTCCAACTATAGTCAGGAAATTAAAGTATTTCAAGCTCTGGCTGTAAGGGATATGACTGGAGTACAAGGCTTACTTAACCCTTTAACTCCCAAGATCTGATTGTTAATTCTCCCCATTAGCTGCTACACATTTCCTTGTAAATTGGTTACAAGAATTTGGTGTTCAATCAAGATAATATCTTGTACCTGATAAGTTTGAGTATTCTCATTACCTGTTTGCTAGATAATGTATGAATATTATAGGGAGAAGTTACATGTTAATCACTTCTGGGAGTTAGAGGGTTAACTTTCCTACCAATTGTGGTTCTCTCACTTATGGATGTACGTAAGGTTACTTGTACTCTAAAACTTTGTGAATGAGAGCCTGCAGGTTTGCACCATCGTCAATCTCTGAGGTCTTCCATAGAATTGTCTTTCTTCTTGTTGATTTGAGTTTAGAATTGTTTCGAACTAAACGACGCTTTGTACGGAATTAATCTCTTTTTTCTGTTCATGGTGCAGAATTGGAAAATCTTCTCCCCGCTTGGTTTGTCTTTGTATGATACATTCAAAGATAATCAGGACGTCAAAGATCTCATTCAACATGGCCTCCTGTCCTTAACAAAAAGGTATGTAAACTTAAAACAGATAAAGCTTCAAATATTGTCTAAAGTTTTTCCAGAGCACGTTGGTTTTGCTTTACTTCGTTCTATGATTGGTTCAGAAAACGTATCCCAGCCTCCCAACCAATCAGATTAAAAAAAAGCGAATGGCGACTTGGTCACCGCGTTTTCCCGCGCTTAGGGGCATTTTCAGGTATTTTTTGTTCTCATTGGCTCCCAATAATTTTCATCCTTTTTTTTGGCCCGTTTGAGTTTCGGTTTTTTAAAGGCACGGGAGGATGTGTGTTGATATAACGTATTTTTCCTTTTTCAGAGGCGTCAAAGCTACCCCTAAAGGCCTGTCTATTGTGGATAGCATAATTTCGACATTATTACTTCATCTTGATGGAATAAATAGGACTGTTCTAAAATCGGAAACATATTGAAAAAAAATTAGAAACTTGGAAGCTTATTTGAAAATAAGTTGTGGCCAAAAATAATATTCATAGAGGTGACACGGAATACATTTTGAGCTAATTTATGTCGGCGTTTTTTCCTTTTCAATGGCTGTTTTTCCACAACATCGATAAGTTAAAAAAATAAATTTTAATTAACTTGATCTACATGAAATAATTCATTTAAGCTTTATTGGTTTTATTTTTCTCTCCTGATTTTGCTCTTGCCTTTCACTGAGACATCAAACAGCAAAACGGTCCCCACACTCCTCCCACACAAGTAGTCAACCTCATCTCCCAGGGGTTTCTCGGTCGACCGGCAGTCGTTCCGAGAAACCCGACCTGTAAACGTCCCCCCCCCCTCCCCCACCATCCTTAGGTCAGGTAAACGTGTGATTCCTAGCCAGTGGTATACATCAGACCAAAAATGATGTTGGTGTCAAATAATTTTCTGCCTCTCTCCACATGCTGTTTTGATGCTCATTTACAGAAACATTCCAGTGCTCGTTCTGAGTTATGAATTTCATTCAATGAAAATTGGTCGATTCGAGTCTTTACCAGAGAAGCCAAGCGCTAAATGTGAAATCAGGAAATGTTTCATCTTGAATTACGGCCTCTTGCCTTGCTCGTGTTAATTTGTTCTTTGGAAGTTTCGACTCAGTCTCTCCACGCGATCCGAACATAGCTGAAATGGACGAAAGTAATCCAAAATCGAACAAATATTTTGAAGATTCGTTAGGGCGAAGAGCGGAATTGTGGTTTGAGTGCGCTTTCCATACAGAAAGATGGAGCTACGCTATTGGTGGGAACATGGTAAGGTGAAAATCACCAGAGTAAATCAGTTGAATGGAGGGCGTTCGTTGATAACGTTGGGATTAAGAGTGCCGATTTGAAAGGTAGGTTTCTGTTTAAGAGTTTACCGTCCTTCCGAAGTTCGTGGATGAAAGGAAAGGCCGCAGACTGCCATTTGTTGCTTAGAACGACTGCAGAAATTAAAGTGTCTGGCGACTCAGTTGGCTGCTTCTTTGCCATTTCACCTAAGAGTCACGAATATACAGCCTCAATCATTTCTTCAATGCAAATGCATTCAAACCTTGAATTTCCCTCATTTTTTGTTCAAAATATTAAAAAAGTTTTATATTTTTGATATTTTACAAGAGTATTTTGCTGTGGATAGTGCATATACAACACAGGTGAAAAGTACCTTTTGTGCGTGCTGATTGGCTAGTTCGGGAGTGAAGAGCTAGTAATATAGCTCCATGCGAACAGCCGAAGGGAAAAAAAATCGCGCATCAAGAATTTCCGACCATTTGGCAATGCGCGCAAACACGGAAAATACCCCCAGCACTCTCCAAGCACTCGTTTCCGAAGTTCGTGATGTTCGGGATTTGACGAAACTTCCGAGTACCTACGACTTGTCTCGCTTTGCGACAGTGTGCCAAATTAGGACACGTCCGGAAGATTTATTATTCATGTCGTCGTATGCAAATTTACCAAAATAAACTGTTCTCGCAGAACGGATCCGTAGAAACCAGAGATTGGATCTTTCAAAATCCACTAAATTCTGGTCCATCTCTCGTTTAAAATGTGTTTTCATATCCTAGTGATTAAGCTTTAAGATAGAAAAATATCTTAACCTTGATTTTGGCGAGTCCTAGCTGCAATTGCGTCCACTGATAGATTCTGGTTGGTGAGGATTCGCTTGCTGCCTCAATTTTACATGACGGCTGAAAGGACTCCATTTTGATTTGATATAATTTTACTTTCGGGTGGAAGAATGGAGTTGCGTGTTGGGAACAAGTATCGCCTTGGGAGGAAGATTGGTAGTGGATCATTTGGAGACATATACCTTGGTAAATATTTTCTTTCTCAAAGCTGTAATCGTTTTTTTTGGGTATTTTCCTCTACATTGAGGGCTTTATGCGTAAAGTTTCATGTTTACTAGCTTATTATTTTAGCTTAATAAAGTCTCAGGATCTGAGTGGTCTCGACAATAATTTGTTGATTATCGACGTTCGATAGCAAATTTTTATAATTTATTGTTAATGTAAGTAAACCAAGGTTAAACATGAATGTGTTGGTTTTTAAGGGACGAATATTTCAACTGTGGAAGAGGTTGCTATAAAGTTGGAATGTGTCAAAACCAAACATCCGCAACTGCACATAGAAGCGAAGTTTTACAAGATGATGCAAGGAGGAGGTTTGTTGTTTTCCATTTTCAACGTCCGATAAGTTGGACTATGGCTCCTTACACCTTTCCGTATTCTCTTCACCGGATTACTAAGGAGATCGAAATGATATTTACAAAAACTAACGATAGTATAGATAGACGAAAGCTGGACTGTAAAAAGCTACTGTGGAGAGTATGAGAACCTGATCAAGTTCGTTTAGGTTCGAGAGTCCTTAAGTTTAACAAAACCTACTTTTAGGCTGAAATGATTTGTAGGGTTCCACGCATCACCAGGTATTTAGCTCACTCACTGTGGGATGCAACATTCTTGTGGTCAAATTTATGATAAATCTACTTATAGCGAAGAACTTGTAATTCGTGTTTACAATCGAGGGTTGTTATGGCATCCATTTTTCTAATCAGTTAAAAAAAAAAAAAAAAAAAAAAAATGACAAAGTTTACACGAAACCAAAATATTAATCCATATGCTTAATTACACTCATCTATGCTGCTTTTGCACCAATCACATTGGCACATCAGGATATTTATATCGCACCAATCATATGACAAGATTGGGATATCTCGCTCCAATTACAGTGTTGGGGTATTGTTTTCTTTCCATTGAATTCATGGAGTCAAGAATGACATTAACCAGAAATTGTGGGCCCATTTTGTAATTGTAATGGTCGGTAGTCTTTCTGAGTGCCCAATTGTTTTAGTTAAAGATATGTTGGGATTAGAAAGGGTGGCAGGTAATTTTTTGCATCATTTTTAAGTTAAAACATTGTTTTTTTATGGCTCCTTTACTCGCAATGCATCAGACAAAAAACTTGCATCCCATCAGGTACTATGACAACAATGCCCAAAATCCAAACAGAACATACCCAATCATTACACTGCATAAGCATTAGGCAATTTTTATTTTATTTCTGTTGGAGGAAGGGCAGTAAGTGTAGTCTCCTTTGCATCTGTTGTTTGGTCATGCATCGTGCTCTCTCTCAAATTGGGGAGAGAGCGCATTGTGTAGCAAGACTAAATAACAGCTTTGAAGGAGACTAATGATGCAGTCTATTCTTGCTTAGAAGTACTCAGACAACAGAGACGATAGACCACAAAACACCTTTGTGTGAGTTTATTGCAGATAAATTGGAAGGTTTTTCTTTCTTTCTCTTAAGCTAAAGTAATGCTGTTCTTGCTCTTCTGAAAGTTATGTTCTTTTTCTTTTACGAAAATGAAAACATCAATTAAACAAAGTGTCGTACTTCAACCCACCCAGCTGGAAAAAATAACTCTTGCATGGGTAGCATACCAATGTTTTTTATTTTAAGACATCCAAGGTATTGTGAATTTTTGCAGTGTTTTCTCAGAAATTTGAGGAGTAACTCTGGAATTAAGTCTAGAAAATATGTATGTAGTGTACATTGGTGTACACAGCTACACATGAGAATGTTATCTACAGCTCTGACAATATTTAGTAAACACCATGGATCAAATGGGGTACTGTAAAAAATAAATTTGGGTTCTACTTCTGGTTGGCTGTATCTTCAAGCAAAAAACTGCAACAGACATTATGTCAAAAAACCTCAAAGATCTATTGTATAAAGAACCATTGATGTGTGCTGCTATTGGCATAGCATTCTGAGTGATATGTTTGGATATCACTCTGTCTGGCTATAATTATGTTGTGCTCATAAACATATGACAGTTGTCTATGCTAATTCTTGTTATGAAATACATGTGGATGTGGGTAGTGATTGTGCTACTTTTCTGGTGCTAAGGAATCCAAAGAACTTTATCATTTATTCATGATAATGAAGAAATTTTATTCTACATGTTCATGCATGCGTGTTATTTTTCTCATTACCATGTGAAGGGTTTACTGTCAAGCAAAACAAATGTTATAAAGGAATCCTATTGTTTAAATGTAAATCACTGTAACTTCTGAGAGATATATTGCAAACTTTTGTTAATAATTCAGGGTTGGCACAATGTAAGGTTTGCAACAAAATACTACAATGCAGGTAACATAAATGTAATACACATGTAGAGCTGAATTATTTTGGTATTGTTGACAGTTGGCATACCTACTATCAAGTGGTGTGGGACAGAAGGTGATTACAATGTGTTAGTGATGGAGCTACTGGGACCCAGTCTGGAGGATCTTTTCAATTTTTGCAACAGGAAGTTTAGTATAAAAACAGTGCTTCTCTTAGCTGATCAGATGGTAAGTAGTGCTACTCAAGTTTTGCAGTTTTTTTGCCAGACAGTGTACATTGTCAAGTTGCAATTTTGTGTGATGTTTTGTGTACACATGTATTCATTAATATGGTTCTTGTAAAGTAATGAAAGTTTTGAATATTCAACCAGCAAATCAGAAGGTTGGAGGTTTGAATTATCTTTATCTATGGACGTATATCCTTTACTTTGTTTATTGGACATCTTTCTTTCCTTATTTCTTTCTTTCTCTATTAACTTTTGTTATTAAAAAATCAGTTTATGTTTTGGATTCTTCTCTTGTTGGTTTTACCCAGACTTCCTACTGTTTTTTGTACATTGACAGGTTGATTCTATGGGGTGCAGAATTTCCAGGGTGCAACATGTTTAATTTCCACTGATAGAGTAAGAAAATTAATTTATTTGATCAATTCTGTTTGTTTTTAGATCAGCAGAATAGAGTATGTTCATTGTAAAAATTTCATCCACCGGGATATCAAGCCAGACAACTTTTTGATGGGACTTGGAAAGAAGGGGAGTCTTGTGTACATCATTGACTTTGGACTAGCCAAGAAGTACAGAGACCCAAGAACACATCAGCATATACCATACAGAGAAAATAAAAACCTCACTGGAACAGCCAGATATGCCAGTATCAACACTCACTTGGGAATTGGTAGGTTGGAACCAGCATTTCACATTCTGAACAGACTTGTCATCAGATAAAGTTGTTGCTTTTTGGCCAGTGATTAAAGAAATTAAGGCTACTTCCTCAGCTTTGAATAATTTGAATTACTCTGTAATGGGTTGCATTGTCTGTTTCATTCTGTAAGGTGAAAGACTCTCTCTCTCTCACTCTAACCAAGAGTTAAGTCGAAGTTTCAGGGAATTGTGAGGGATTTATGAAAATTGCTTGGGTTACAGGCACCCTGTTCACCTGGAATAGAAATATGCTTAGTCACAGTAAGTGCTAAGGAAATGGGTGTATGTTCTGGTATGGTTGGCCATGAGTCTTACAAAACTCAGCACAACACATCTCTTTAATATATATTTTTCCAACTGTAGAACAAAGCAGAAGAGATGATTTAGAATCACTTGGTTATGTACTGATGTACTTCAACCTGGGTAGCCTTCCATGGCAAGGCCTTAAAGCTGCCACCAAGAAACAAAAATATGAACGGATCAGTGAAAAGAAAATGTCTACGCCCATTGAAATCCTCTGTAAAGGATTTCCATGTAAGTGTTGTTATTATTTTTACAAAGAAGTACAGTAATGATGTCTTCATGACATGTTGCTCAGTTTAAGAAGAAGGAAGGCTATTATTTTTTTTATAGATAATTATGTTTGTTCTCATGTTAGACTTAAAGTTGTCACTGTGAAAGAAGTAAAGTAATTATTGCAGTCATTTGACTGTAATGATTTCTCATGATTTTTATGAACAATCACAATTTTACATTAGTGGATCCTTCCTTTATCTGGAAACCAAAATGATTTGTTTGATATATGGAACTAATCATGATGACAAAAACTTCCTTTGTTCTCCACATTTACAGTTATGTTTCACACCTTTGTTCTCTGTGTATCATCAGTGATCTTTTCTCATTTGCATTTGATAATGGTGACATGTTGTTGCCAAACATCATATTTTAATAGCATTGCTTTTTATCCTTAAATTTTCATTATCAGTTTTACTGAAAACTAATATTAAAAAAAACCTCTACACTTTTATTATTACTGGGAAAGTTAATGGTCTGAAGTTGGTTAGATGTTTGTATGGGTGAGGGTGTGCAAAGTATCCCCATTTTAAACAATATCTTCAAAGATTAACCTTGATGAGATTGTCGCAGATGTGTGATAAAAACAACTTGAAAAAAATAATATAAAAATGGGACCTGAGTGTAGTGACCCCCTTTTGTTATGTTTTTCTTTTAATTTCCTAAGGGTTTGTTTGGTGAACGAAAACTGTTAAAATCTACTAATTTAAGACCTCTAAAATATTATTTGAACAATTTTTGATTCTGCAGCTGAATTTTCCACTTACCTCAACAACTGTCGGTCACTACGCTTTGATGACAAGCCAGACTACTCTTACCTACGCCAACTTTTCCGCAACCTTTTTCACTGTCAAGGATATGTTTATGACTACATATTTGACTGGAATCTTCTCAAGTTTGTGAGTAATTAGTTTAAAAACTTGTTGTTTCTTTTAACTAAACAACATCCTCCCCTCTCCCTTGATAATATCAGCAACAAAACAAACCAAAAAAAAAGGGAGCGGAAATGAATAAAAGGAACAGACTTATACAATTAACATTGCTTGCCATTGCTCCGTGCTCGTCGCCTGTCCAACTGTATCAAAACTTCATTATAAGTCAAATATCACTGGATTCTTGACTCTTCTGCCATTAAATTCGTGTGAAGGGGGTTAGGTCCTTAGTTGTTGCTACTTCAGGTGAAGTTTGTGTTTCTCTTATCGAGTTTCCCAAGAGACTGAACAATCTGGGTGGTAATCTTGTGGTGGATTTGGCCTCCATCATCATGTATGATTATAAGTTCTGGGTGAAGTGTTTTGTTGTACAGCTGATTGGAATCAATAGAGCAATGGTTGCAACCAATGACTGCACCCTATAGAGCAGTGGAAATGGAGTCTTACCTTAAGCAAGAGAAACCAAAATTTAAGTACTGGCTGAAGTAGGCTATCATTATTACGCTTTTATCGACTACACTGTCAAAATTAATAAAGTTCAGCTATTTGCATGTGAAGGAAACTTGAACTCTTTTTATTGCATCGTTTTGGAGAGCTTTAAATAGTCAATTCTGTATTCTGCCTTAGGGAAGTGGTCGGGAGCCAGATGGTGGCGCTGAAAGACCAGTAATGAGAGGAGGTGAAAAGGCACTAGAGAGGGAACGTGAACCCAGGGAACCAGAACGGAACCATCGAAGCTCCACTACCCGTGCTGTTGCTGGTGGAGCATCTGGTCGGCTCCGAGATCCAATGAGTGGTGCTACTCCCTCTCCAGTTGGTAGGTTTCAGATTTTTACGCACGCGCTCTGTTACCGTTTTCGTTTTCTAAGTAAACTCGTGTAGTGGTATAACACCTCTCTTGATCATGATTACTTTGTTCTCTGCCCCAAAAAGGTGCACAGAGACCAATTTCACGAGCTGAAAGAGAAAGACGGATCACTCGCCTTCATCGCGGGGCCCCAGCTGATGTCCAAGGCGGGGATCTCCCTAGGGGTGACATGTCGCGGATGTCCGGCGCCCACGTTCGCTCGACCCCTGTGATGACCCCAACGTCCTCTGGGACTGGACTGAGACGCGCCAGTGGAACCAGGCAACAGGAAAGGGATCCTGGAATGATGGAACTCTCCACTGTACGTCATTCAACGAAACATTTCACGCGTGCCCCAAAATGACTTGAAAATTCACCGTAATCAACATGTCTTTAGATAAGAGGCTAACATCATTGTGGTCCTGAAGTAGGAATCATCTTGTCGTTATCATTGCTTTAATTCCTGAGAAAGACGTCTTGCGTTTTTGCTCTTAGTGGAATAGTTATGCTGTGTCCGTGATAGTCATGCCAGTGCATATCAATTAATAGGAGACACTTTTTCTCTCCCTTTTTTTGTAATAACTATTGGTTTGGTGGCCGGAACACCAGCTGTGACTTTATTAAAAATAGTGTAGTGTTATAGTTTATTTAATTCCCATTCAAATGCCAGACACGAATCTTTCAATTGATTGAAAGATACTGATATGCTATAACTCTTTTTATATCGTGTGACCCAAGTCAACTTCATAAAAATAGAGTGGTGTTTGACCATCGAGCGAAAGCTGAGAATGAAAAACAACCACTAGTCGATCTCTTTCACAGCTTTACACTGGTGCAGTGAGAATTAGAGTATTGGAATGTGGGATGGTTTCGTTTCGAAAAAATGACTAACTTCCATTAATCTCCAGCCACTCTAAACTATTGTAAAGCTTTACGGTAGTGCGCTGAAGACTACGAATGAATATTGTATAAAGTGTAAAATGAAGAAAGACAAAAGCTTTAAATCTCATTGTGTCAGGTTGTCACTGTCTTGCTTAGAGAGTTAAGAATTAAACGAACTTTGCCTTTAGACAGTAACCGTGATGATTCGATGTAGTGACTGGGGCGCTTATTTACTTTTGGTACCTCAAGAAAGGCGCTTATTCGAAACAGGGTGCTCGTTAGGGACAGGACGCTTATTTCCTCTTTTGAGGAACGGCAGAAAGTGCGAATTAAAGCTTTGATGTGTATTTAAAAAGAATAGAAAAGACTGGGAAGCGGACTTGTGTTCCTGGATCCCTCCTGGCTAGAACGGACTGCTGAGCAATCGTCTCGAAATTTTGAAGACGAGATCAATCGTTCGAAGGAACCATGCACTCGGACCTAATGGTTGAGAGACTGAGATGTAGACCATTGTTTCCGAGATGATGCTTTGAGTGAGATAGTAAAGGGACGATGAACCTCGATTGATATCCAAGTAGATGTTCACTAGTAGTGCTAGCACTGAAACAGAACAAGGGCCCTTATCGAAAAGAGAGTGCTTACTCAATAGGGGCTTTTTTTTTTAGAATAAGGGTGCTTTTTAACAAAGACCAAACTCAAGGACGCGCTTACTGGAACGTGGGCGCTAAGTCGAATCAGTACGCGAAAATGAAGAGCATTTCGATTGACTGTTGTTAATCAGAACAAGCGTAAATATCGAAATTAAACCACGCTAAGTTCCTGAAGCACAGGAAAAGGCGGGTGACCTGCAGGTCGAGTTGGCTTTACTCTTGGATCTGGTTGGTTGAGAGTATGATAACAGTTTTTTAACCACCGGTAATTATTAACCATGGTTTATTAGTTTTCCTTGACACGGAGGTAACGTAGGTGCTACTGGAACACCTTCCCTCTTATTCCTCCTTGTTCAAAGATTCTCTAAATCGAGCTCTTTTCACAAGAACAAATCAAATCAACCGCCTATGTGAGCCGGGTCGATTTCTCTTTATCCCGCTTGTTCAGTGTCCTTTATTACTGTTCAATTTAGAGAAAAAAACAAGTTCAAATAGCCTTTGACCGTACGTGCAAGTCCAAAACTTCAGCAAGGATGTTGCGTCAAAAAGAATGAGTGATTCATTGATTGACAATGTTTAAGGAAACCTGCTTGTATGAACCCGATTTCGAAAATTCATTTTCAGTTGAACAGTTAATACGAAACTATTTCCATGAAGGAAAGCAATTTAAGAGTAATAAAGAACAAGGTTCTTAAATAAGCTATGATTATACACATGACTCGTAAACTGTGTTCCTTGTCTCTGTTACAACTCTCCATTCTCTCCTGTGACTACTTCTTGATCTTGAACTTAAGTTCCTGGTAGTTTCGCCGCTTATTTTCCTTTCTAGCATAGGTGTCTTTTGCTTAGCGAATTTTTGGCAAGGTGCGCAGAGAACTGCACGAAAACCCTTGCGAAACTTATTGTTCATGAGACCATAGATAAACGGATTGCAAGAACTGGAAAGGAAAGTTAAAAACGTGCTCATGGCGTTCAAAATTCGTGGAATCGATTGAATGATGCCAAAACCGTTCATGAGATTAACAATAATGTGTGGGGTCCAACAGGCTACGAAGACACAGACAACCACAAGCAATAATTTTGTTACTTTGAAGTCTTGAAAGGTAGAACGGGTTGCCTTTCTGAAACTTGCAGATATACTGTTGATGCTCATTCTTCGGCTGTGACCACGGATAAAACGAAAGATCCGGTAGTAAGGAACTGTAATCAAAATATAAGGCAAAATAAACACTACAATGGCTAATATAATTGTGTACGGGAAGTGCTCATTTAGGTTGAAATAGCACGTTGATTTACCGACTGTAAAGACATATTTAGACCAATCAAATAAGGGTGGCAGGGCACAGAGAAGCGACAGGATCCACGTTGCCGTGATCATGGCCAAGGTTCGGCGGCGTGTAAAAATGGCGGAGAATTTACCAGGCTGCACGATACACCAGTATCTACTAATGCTAACCAAGGCAAGAGACCACAAGGCTTCGAAGAGGAATAACGAGTTAGTGAAACCTGCGATCTGGCATACAAAATCAGTCAATACCCAACGGTTATAAATGACAGTTACCAAGGAAACGGGGATGTTAAAGAGACACATCCCCAGGTCCGCAACGGCTAGATTACTGATAATCAAATTTGTGACTGTTCGAAGTCGTCGCGTTCTCCGAACCAGATAACATACTAAAAAGTTCCCGGGAATCCCAGTAAGAATAAATAAGCACATCCCGATCCCTTGAATAATCCTTAGCGCCAGGAATTCTCCTTGGTCGTTATCAGAGTTACTCGTGCGATTTAATGGTGGCGTGGAATTAAAATTCGACATGATTTGCTGTATCTGGGTCAAAATGTCTCCACAGTAACACAACTACTATCTTGATAAATGTTACCGCTTGGATGATAACTCAGCAGAATGTTTCAGCAGGTTGTCCTTGTACTCCTTTTTTTCTTGTTTTACAGCTGTTGAAAAGCAATGTGGTGAAGGAGGAGCTGGAAATATTGTTAGCGATAACCGAGCAATTCTCGCTGGAAAAACAAAGCCAACCTGGCCACAGATATATGAATCTTGACTTTCTGAAAATTCACTAAAGAGAAAATGATTTCTCTACCTTTATGGACGTCTTACTACCGAGATGACAGACTTAGATCCGGCAAGAACCAAGCACTTGTTACAGTTCCTCTTCCCCGTCGTGATGAAAGTTGTTCTTTCGTCTATTCGCGCATTTAAAGTCCCTTGATCGCGGAGCAACCCTCTTGCGACGTGTTTTCGCCCACAAAGCCCAGTGGCTAATTTTTCTTTCTCCGAGTGACACAAACAATAGCGAATCAATGCATCGTGTGGCAGCAGATGTTTTTATGAAGTTGCGTTTAAAATCAAACGGTGAACTTCGTTCACCTTCCAGGGGGGATTAATACTCTTTTTTTTTTTAGTGACCAGTCCTCAGATCGACGCAGAATGGTACTTAAATCTTTCTCACGGACAATAATCGTAAAAAATTAAACGCAAAGTAGAATCAACACTTCTCATTTGGAGCTTGAAGTTCACATTTGCATTTGCATTAATTCAATTCCTGTCTCTTTTTCGCCTTGGTTAATGAAAAGACTTATCTATAAACATCTGCCACTGATATTGAATTCCGTTTGGATCGGTAGTATTTCTGATATTCGCCTCTCTAAGCCTTGGCAAGGAAAAAAAACTATGGCTTATTTTGGGGCGTATCAAAAATTGTCGATATTTCTCTTCCTCACTGAGGTATAGAAAAAATTTTCTAGATTTTCCCACCACGGGAAAGCTCGAAAAACATACATACATACATACATACGTACGTACATGCCCCCATTTTTTGCGTAAAACTGCATTTACAATAGATTTTAATGTAAAAGAAAAATGCAAATTTTATTGGCTGTTAGGGCAAGAGACCATTCATGTTAAAAACCTACGGAGGAAATATTGCAGGAGACATGGAAACTATACCTTTGGTCCAACAATTTTTATATCTTAGACAATTTCAAGAACAAATTCAGAGATTTAATTCAGAGATTTAACCGTATCGACGAATTTTAAGAGCACAAAAATGCATGTAGTGGGTGTTTGTGCGGGAGGGATTTTCTCGGAAGGAAATATATGACAAAAACTAAACACACTAAGGTGGCTGTAAGCCGGCTAGGCCGACGCTAAACCAAACTTGCCCCCTCTTAATTATTTACGAAAAAAATCACCTTGAAAAAAAATTTGCACGAAAACAACCTTGACCTTTCCAATTTGGGTCTCGTAACAGTTTTACGATTCTGACCATCTTCCCTGTGGTTAAAAAAGCTGGCAAACTTATTTTTTCCGGACGAGGTAAAACAGATCCGGCTGTAAAACGCATGAAATCAATTTTTCGTTGATTCGAAAAGGTAGACTCAGAATCGGATTGCCCAAGCTTCGTGTGGAAGGATAAAATACCAAAATTTTTCTTCGCCTCGCGATAAAATATCCATATTTACACGTTTAACATGAGCGAATGGTTGAAGAGATGTGTTGTTGTAGACCAGTGTGGTAGAGCGTACAGGTTAATCACAACCTTCCTTTGGTTCAAGGGTCAGAAAAAGATAATAGATAGTTCACTCAACCGAAGGCTCTAATTTTTATCAAAAATAACATTAAATTGATCCGTCATACTCTTAGCAATGACCGCCATCGTCTCAGAACTCTTTTAAATTAAGGCAATCAGTACACCCTCCTCAGTCACAAAAATAGTTCCAAATTTCCGATAACTGTGGGGTAACTAACCATTACAAGCAATTAAAGAAAAGACGTTAGAAACATGCAAAAGTTTAAAAAGGTTTGGTCGTCCATTTTTCTGCAAGAGGCTATCCGTAGGCGAAATACTCGGCAGCTGTTTCTGTCTCTAAGAAGATTTCCATGACATCCTGCTGTCGAGTTTTTCAAGGAAATTGAAAACTGTCACTTATCCCAACCACATTGTGTCAATCATGTTTCTGCGATAAAGACTTGACTTTTCACATGGTATTGCCTTCGCTACGCGATTTTTATGCCTGTCATTCTAAATCGAAATATTTCCAAACAACTCATTATTTCGTAATTCCGAGAAAAGCAAATCGAAAATCTTGGATTATTTTCAAATCTTTACTTTTTTCTGAAAAAAAATTGCACCTGCATCCTTCCTCCCACTGAAATTGTATCCTTTCAGTTAATAAACGCCATAGAGATCAGTCATTTTCTCTCAAAAGATGAGGTTGAAACACGAAACTGATGAACCATCAACTCTAAAAGAGTGATTCTTTTTATCACCTTTCAGAAAGCTTTCAGAATGAAAGCTGATTTGCATTGTTAAGTAAGTAATTATCGCTCAAAATGATTGCCGCGTATTATTATGGTAAATGAAGTATGGAGTTCAAGTGAAAAAGCGGAATTGCTCGGTAAGAGTTAAATGGTCTACGTGACGATGCCAACCAAGGTGGCTTTCGTGCATGGTTTGCGGAAAAAAAAAAATTTTCAGAATTAATTCGGCTTTGAAAGAGTATAATTTACTTCCTCGAGAGGAAATAAATCTGGTCTTATTGTTTCATTTTCAGCCGTTGTATAGTGAGTCGTGATGCTCGTTTGATGTGGCACAGTAAAACGCGTCATTCTAAGTAACGGATGGAAATAGTACACTACATTTTGGACTGGCGGGTCTAAAACGCAGGTTACGGGACAAGGGGTTGCGGTATGAGGGTCGCACGCTGCTGTTAAATTATTCTTCATTTCAACGATGCAAAAACAAATTACGGTAATCTAGAAACAGGTATATGTGGAACGTAGGTGTTGATACTGCAAATTACCCCCACGTGGATGAATGCAGGCTGGAAGAGCATCCAAACGCATCCAAAACCCTCCTTGGTTTGAACCCTTGAACTAGGAAATTGTGATGGAAAGAGTGACTTCCGATTGGGAAACTGGACCGTGACTGTCTCTTCAATAACATGCTGAGAGGTCTTGTTTGAAATTAAGGGATGAATACCAACTTGTGGTACTCTGAGACATCGTAAGGAATCTTCGGCAACGCTAAAAAGACGAGAAAATTGCCCTCTTTAAATTACATGAGTCATTGCATTTTGTTTTTCCTTTGGAAATTCGGGTAATATAAATATGGAATCACAAGCATTTAACCTACAGGAAAAGTTGACAGGGACAGGACTTTACCCTAAGTTTCGTTTGAAAATGAAAATGGCAAACACGCCAATTTGTTTTGCCTGCGTTTGGTTACCAAATAAGGACAACTGTCAATAACATGTAAGATTACGTGACATCGTGACACTTACCCTTTCAGTCCGGATAGTGACCAAAAAGGAATTTCTTCCCACAATACCTCTTTGTGAGAAATCATTATATTTCACGCAATATCCACGTAGCTGCAGATTTAAGAAAAGTATGGTGGACTCTTCATAATAGAAAGAGGGTGCAGTCTTAGAATACAAGGTAACGAAACACAGAGAATAACATACACTTAAAGCAATTTCATTGTCTGCGTCTGACAAATGTGAGATTGATATATGTTTTTGCCATAACGACCTTTTGAAAATAATGTTCCTCCTGTATTTAACAATTTTAAAATGCCTTCGGTTTGAGAGTAGTGGGGTAAAATACATTACTATCTGTCAATACTTGTCACTTGATTAATCAAGCTTTTTGAATCTCTCCTTTGACTAAATCATATGGAGGGAAGCTGAACGAGTAATACTAAAGCTATCTGCTTTGTGCCAAAGCCGATCTAGCTAGTTTGCTATTGATGATCTGTCTGCAATATCCATGTAGAAATATTATGCACCTCCCAAGCCAGTAACGCCGTGCAGGTCAGATTGGCCAGTCCAAAGGCTAAATCCAGTCCAAACACAGTTTCGTCCTCATTGTCGGGCGGAATGTGAATTCTTCTCATCACCAACCGCCGTATCTTCTCTAAAAAACGCCCAACTATTAAATTAAATAGAAATGCTACAAAAACAAGGAAAACTACTAAAGCTACTCTCTTCATGTAACTCGCACTTTCCACTTGATGTAAAATGTCTGAAATCCGGCTGAACAAAGATGAGTCCATCTTTCGAAAAGGCCAACTTTTAACAGCTGGTTCTCCAATGTTGTTCAAGCGTTCGTGAACCAGCATCGCCAAAAATGACTAGTCGAAAGTTCATTCCTCTAGGGAAGTGGGCTAAAAATCATGGATATTGCATTGTGGCCCTGTGACAACATTTTAGCGAGTTAAAGGATGGCGTCTGACGGCCCGGTTCGTCCACTTTACTTTACCGAGCCCGCAGTCCAAAACATACTTTATGTATGGAATACGTACTTATCCAGGGCCCAGTTGTTCGAAGGCCAATTAGCGCTAACCCAGGGTTAAATTTTAATCCAGATTTCTCCACTCCTTTATTCAAAAGCCCTTTAGGAACAATTTTCCCTCTTCTCTTTTGAACATCTAATGATCAAATTGCAAGCAAAAAGATTTGGATTGCATTTCAGACCTGATATGGAATTTCACACTAACCATGGGTTATCTTTACTCAGCTTTGAACAACCCGGGCCAAGGGAATATTTTCAGAAAGGGTTACGAATTACTAAAAACATGGCATTGCATTAGCCCTTTCACTCCTACTAGTGAACATGAAACTTCCCCCTATAAGATCCAAACATTATCAAGCAAAAAGGTAATAACAATACTCAAAATTATCTCCAGTTGAAGTTCTGATCTTCATCTTACACCAAATTTTTGTAACTAATGTATAATATTGCAAGAAAATGTGTAAGCCCAAGAAGGCAGAATTGACAATCAAATCTTCTGAAATAAAAGGTTACAAAAAGGGGTGAGAAAGGGTAGAATGCAAGGCGGAAACATTACTGAACAACTGTAAGCAATAATGAATCAATAAATCTCTGTATTTATCAATATATCTCAACCCCAGATCTCGACCTCAGAGGAAAGTAGATCCAATGATATGACAAAAAAGATCACAAAAAAGAGTTCTCAACAACTTTTTTTTTTCTCTTTGAACTGAAAATGGAAATAAGAAAGCCGACTGGAAATCCACAGAGATGTACATACACATTAACCTTTTTTTTTTGAGTGACAACACTACATGTCTTGGCTATGTTTTTAGCTGTCCATTTTCAAGTTGCACCCTTGGTTGCCAACCCTTTGAACAGGAGTGAGGCAAAGGGTGACCTTGTTCTAATACAAACAATGCTGCTTTTTAAATGTAAATAGGCCATTTTCAATTTATTAAAATAAAAACTTGGCTTTGAGAAATATTATGCACCCCCAAGCAAGGTTACCTTCACCCTCACTCTAAAGCAAAGGCTTGTTAACTAAGTACACAACTGTAAAATGGCCTTTAGAAACTGCAGCAATCTTTAACATTCACAAGTTTGTAATTTCCAAGAAATCACATCGAGGTTGAGAGACAAATAATTTATTTCTTATGTTTCATTCCCCCTTACCTCAGAGCCATGTCAGAATTTTAACATATTAAAAATGGTCTATTACTTTGTTACCATGCCAACTAGATACTTGTCTCCATCACAACAAGGTCACCTTCAGCCTCATTCCAAATCAAAGGCTTGGCAACTAAGAACACAACTGTAAAATGGCCTTTTGGAAATTGCAGCCACCTTTAACATTCACAAATTTGTTATTCCCAAGCTAGAAAATGTATAGAACATTACAACCCATCTTATAAACTATCCATCCAACATGTACGACTAACTGTTTATCAAAAATTTTTGTTTGTAAAAAGTTGGTGTGATTTAATTGACTGTATTTCTTTCAATAGAGAGCTGAGACTCCAAGTCACTCAAAATTGTAGTTTGATGCATTTGTTTGGCAAAGTATGCTGCACCACCAGTACAACAAAATGAAACTGCAAAATATCCTGCCACTTATCAGGTGATGGAATAAAAAAAGCCTTTTATCACACTTAATATATGCAAAAAATCACTTGGATGCAAGTTTGATGTGATGTCTCTTTTAAGTCTTTTGCACAAATGACTGTCTTAGATTGGAGCTCTTTATTCTGTGTAGGGACTATTAAGATAAACATGGATGTGAAAAATAAATTCTTGATAAACACTTGATCACTGATGATTATTTTCTCTATTTTTTTGTTTTTTGTTTGTTTTGTTTTGTTTTTCTAAACTACAAAACACTTTAACTAAATTAAGGAAGCATTCTGCAGTTCCAAATGCCTACTCTATGGTCATGATTGTTAACTAATAAAATACATTAATTTTATTACGGAAGGTTTCACAAGTAATATTCTTATCCAAGCCCAACATCTAGAGACATCATTACTACAAAACCAACAATAGTTGTACATGAAGCTAACCGTCCATTACCACTGCAAAAAAAAGTAAAAAATTATTAATTAAACCTTTCTTTTTAAATGATTTATGAATGGTGTCACCATCTCTCTGGCAGTTTACCTATTGCATCATGCTACAGTTATGTTGTATTTGACTTCCTGTCATTTGCAAAACGAAATGAAGCGAAAGGAAAGAAACAAAATGAAAATCTGTAATTTACAATTTCTATTTTGCAAATCATTAGTATTTTCCATTTTGCAAATTACCGATTTTCATTTCATTACCTTTCATTTCGTTTCATTTTTCAAATTACAGTAAGCCTTGTATTTCTACAAGTCTTTTAAAGAAAATTCTCTCATACAGTGTTTAGTTAATACATAAACCTACAAAACTTCAATCAGTTGCAAATTAAAGTATGGAGCTGACTACAAACTTTCCAATTTTTAGAGTGAGAAATATATTCTAGGCAAAAAGAACTGGTACTTGTGGAAATTAAAAACTTTTCAGTATCACATAAGATATAAAGAACCACTCTTGTCAAACCTTGTCTGGGCCTCTGGTATGATATCATCAACTACAACATACACCATTGCACCAGCCGCAAATGCCAAAGCATATGGCAACAAGGGCTCAGCAACCTAGAGTATAATAAATAAGTCACACTGTTACACATAAATGAGAGCAATATTTTAGCTTCATGTAAGCAAAGCACTGTCAATAACTGCAAACCATATATTAAGTAGCATTGCACATGATGTAGATAATGTTGACACAAAAGAACAAGGCCTGAACCAAATTTGTTACTAGTTTGGACATTTTGAAAAATTTGGTGGAAAAATATTCTAGGTTTGCTAGTTTAAATCTCTGTCTCCCTTCAATGCCATCTTTTAAACTCCTAGTTTATAAGGAAATGAACTTTGTTCATTTGTCTCATGACAGAGTCACTTTTGATACTGATCGCGACATTTTGATTTCCCCCGTCTGCCTGTTCCTCAAACTTTTCCATGTAGATGTTAGCTATAACTGTGGAAACATGGCTTCCCATAGCTGCTCCGTTTTTAGGTTTGCAAGCAACATTTGCTATTGCCTGTTCCTCAGATTATTTCATGTAGCTCTGTCTTGCTGTTCATAAATCAACCTGTTGTATTTTAGTTTATTGTTTTGGGGGTTGTTCACCATTGCAAACTATCTATTTTGAGCTATTCTCTCACTGAAAGAAACTTTTCTGTGTCAGCAAAACAACCCAAATATAGCTGGATACATACTGATAGTTTCTTGAAAAATGGCACCAGTACTCACCACTACTGCAAGAGCACCAAAAAGTCCAGCTAATGGTTCTACCATTCCACTTAGCTGACCATACCTCAAATAAAATATTAAATGAATGTTATTTTATGACAAAGCAAAGCAGGTGAGGAAAGTTCAATAGTCAAATGTAAACATGCTTAGCTACAGAAATTAGAGACAATTATTGTTTAAGTTATTAACATGAGTGCCTGCTGTAGGCATTGGAATAATGAAAATGTGATTTGGAAGAGATTTTGTAATCAACAATTCTCCCCACTGACTGGAATACATTTCCATGTAAATTAGACCACAGATTATTTGGTTTCAGTTCAAGTTGGCTCCCTCTAGCTAATAGGCTTAGAAGAAAAAGAAATTACATATAACATGTGTTATTCACTTGCAAGAGTTAAAGGTTTAAGCCAGCCACGATAAATGTTCAGACTTTTAAGTTGTACCTAAAGTCATGCTAGAAATTGATGATAATCAGAAACATACACTTACCAAAAGCTCTTCCATGAGGAAAATCCTGCCCCTCGAAGTGGGAGACTAACAGCAAGTCCTTCTGGAAAGTTCTGAATTCCAATGCCTATTGCTAAATTCCTGGATATAGTATGCAACAGACACATAGTTGAGTTCCCAAAAGAAGAAAATTTAAGAGGAACCTCTTATTGACTTACATTTTGAATAATAAAGTTTAATTAAAATCTTTATGTACCTTGCATTTTCAAAGGTTGCAGCAGCTGTTTTTCCTATGGCACCAAACCCTACTCCAACAGCCAGACCCTCTGCAAAAGAGTATAATTTCAACATTTAAAAGAAACTTTTTGACCACCTCTAGAGCTGCCCTAAGAATAATCATCATCCTTTTCAGTTGAAAATAGTGTCATGATGAAAGTTTGTCTGCCATATTTACAATGTTAAAAATTGATTGTACTGTAGTGATGTCAAGAAATGTCACTTTTTGCAGTTTTTCAGAAGTGACTACCCTTGAGAGAAGGCAACACGTACCACTAGATCAAAAAACATTACATACTTGTAATTTTCTGTCCAAAAGGTAACTAAAATCCTGTGTTATGGAGTTGCATGCCTGGATTTTCCTCCTTGGCCATCAATTCTCTATGTTATAATTATATTATTGGGTGTTCTCTTCAAAATGTTACCTGGAATATTATGAACAGTAATTGCTATGATCAATAATAAAATTCTCCTCCAGCTGGCTTTTTGCTCTTTTGATATCTGTCCTTCATGATCAATGTCTTTATTACTAGAATCATGTAAATAGTCCTTCTTTCTTTGTGTAAGCTGTGATGTATCTCTGTTGTGTGACAAGTTGTGGATGGAGATTTCTGTGTGATGGATGTTATCCTTTGATTCCTTCTCTTTGCATGCATTACCATTCTGAAAATCACCAGTTAGGGCCTCAGCAAAATTAGATGATTCCACACCCTTAGAAAAAGAAAATTATGGCAAATTAAAAATTGATGCAAACAGGAGAATGATGCTAAAATAGAGTTGTGTTCACAACTAAATCAATAAAATACAAGTATCTATTTACTGCGATATAATTACCAGAAGTGGCATAAGCTTGTCTGCCCCATATACAAATACTGCTCCAAGAATGAACCCTATAGATGCTGGAACAAAGGCAAACTTGCCACCTTCTCCATAACTTCCTGAAGTTTCTGCCATTTCTATGGCTGGGGCTAATAAGGACCAATATGAAGCTGCCAGCATGACCTACATTGAAACAATCAAAGATATTAGAGATATCATGCACAAAATACATAAACTTGGGATAGCCAAAATGAAGGTTGCAGTGAAACTCAAAACGTTGAGCCCTGGAAATAACTATTGAATGTGACTACGATTTCACTGTCACATCATAAGTTCTTAAAATCTGATTAACCTCTGCAATTTATGGGTGTGCTTAGATGTACCAAAAGATATGATTGGAAAGAAATTATAACAATTATTATCTAACCAATGGCCAAGACTAATGACTCAAAACAAAATAAATGTACTCATATCATAATATCATTTCTAATATCAGAAGAATTTAACAGGGCTGAGATATGTTTAATTTTAAAATTTGGGAGATCTGTTTACGTGTTCTGATGTTTATCTAAGATAAACACGTCATTTAAAACGATTATGGTTAAAATATCGTAGTTTCACAATCTCTATCTTACCCCCGCGGCAAATCCCAGGCTAGCATCGAGAACCTTTCTCTGAAATAGTAAAAATAAATTTATCATTAAGCTCGCGATTGACATAAATGCGAAAGATCAGCTGAAAGTTACAGCTTCGAGCCATGTAGAGGGACACAGAAACCTTATCCTACCTGTCCGCTGTTAAAAACGAAGACGAGAGCAGATCCAAGAGCTGTTACTCCCCATGTAAACAACGTCCCTAAAAGAGCCTGAACAACAGGATTAGAGTTTGGGATCATCAGAAACTACTTCGCTGTCCAAAATGGAGATATTTGACTGAAGACCCGGTGTCACAGTGATATGTGTACCCCCGTGATATGTGTACCCCCGCACACATATCACTAGTGATATGTGTACCCCTGGTAGGGATACACAAAACACTGAAGCTTTGCACCCGGGCCTTTTAGAGCTTCAAAGAAAACATGGTGGCTACGAGGAACAAATTTTGTGGTTTTATATTTTAAAGTTTCCGATCCAAAATATAAACGGAAGAAGATCACAATGCAACTGAATAACAAGGTAAGAGGTGTTTTTATATTTCCAAAACCTTTAAAATAGTTACATGGATTTCAGTCGTTTCGCCAGCATTTAATTTAAGTACCAACGATTAGTTCGCTCGAGCCACTGCTCGAAACTAGCGTTTGTCCTGTCGTTTGCGACAACTTAAAAGTGTGTTTGCGCAATAAGTTGTTTTGGTGGATAAAGGTCTAGAACTTTACCGCGTTTGGAAACTATTTCGTGTTCACGTTCCGTAGTTCACATCAATCACTCACTATACATCAAAACCATTTGAATTCATTTTTTAAACGGGGCTTCTATGTTGTTGATATTTTTTTTTTGGTTTGTTTTTGTTTTGAAATCTGTACGGCCCTGGACAACCAAGTCCTTATCATGGTAACCGAAGTCTTGGTTTTCCAGTATTTGCCAGTATGGACAGCCTGGATATTTTTCTGCACTGTTTTTGTTGTGTCTAATAAGTGCTCATAAAAACAACAGGCCAACTAATTTGAACTACATGCGAAAGATCAGGTAATTTTATTGATAAATCAACATGGTTGTATAGATTATGAAAATGATTGTTAACTGATAATATTAATCTACTAGTAAAGTGATATCCACTGCATGGTAAGCGATATCTACTTGCAATGTTTCAGTGTTCCTCAAATGTATATGTACTATCCAATAAATATTTCAGAGCAAACTTTTGTTCTACTTTATAAATGTCACATATTCTTGTAAAATAGCAGTAACACTACAAAAAAACTTAACATTGTTTCAAAGCCTAATAATGCTGATGAATTTGTGAACAAGCCACCTGTAAATCAATGGGCAAACTCTAAAACTGGGTTTGTTACAGAAGTGAAACCTATCAGACAATGCAAAAAAAATATCAACAAACTCCAAGAAGGGAAGTACCCTCTGGAAAAAGGCATTTATGGATAGGCTTGTTAACAATGACTAACAAAAATGGTGATTTTTTTCTTTTTCAAATTGTGATACTTTTTAATGATTTATTCCATGGTATTGATTTCATCTGTAAAACTCTTGTATTTTATGTAGTTGACAATTAGCACCATGGCTTCATTGAATTACCATTGCCAAAATCATTTACTTTTCCTTTTTCTTGTGCTAGTACTTTAGCCTGAGTTGTCATTGAAGTGTTTTGGCCTGACATTTTGTTGAGTGGTGAGACTTTTTCAGTTTTATGAGGTAGGGGGTTTAATAGTCTTCAGAGGGGTCATGCCAGAACAGTTGGTTTGAAAGTGGAGCCAACCAAATAAAAATGGTCAGTTTGGAGAGGAAGGGGTTTAACCCAAATAACTACTCTTAAGTGTCACACAATTATGGTAACAAGGGGTGGGGGCAGGGAAAAATTTTGATGAAAAGGGGAAGTCATCACATATTATAGTGACTATCTACCACCCCACCACATAAAAATTGACAGTCCCTAATATTTTCAATAACCATTTGCCTTAAAAAATAGATGTCTGTATCTAAGCAATTTGGCAGTTATTGCACTCATTGAAACCTTTTATACTTGAAAACTTTGTCAGGAATTTTTTGGCAAGCTTGATGGAACCACTTCTTGCAATTGGTGCATTCTGCCATCTGGTCTTTGGTTGGATTGTATGGGAGGCGGCAGTCACAGTACACTGGCATGGCAACAGTCTCTTCATAACCAATGCTTGATTTTTCCTCAAAGGGGAATATACCAATGTATCAATTTTTAAGGGAATCTAAGAGATGTGCCCTTATTGCCCGCCTGTTGAACTTAAGTGATGTGGGGTCCATATTATGGCAGAGTGCTGTGGCAAATGCAATCACAAAAACTCCACAGTCTGTCCCATTTGTTTGCTGGTCAACAGGAGGGACACAAATTTCAATAACATTGCTGTCTTGGTTGAAAAGAAGGGCACCAATCTGCTCTCTGGTGAATGGCGCAATTCCACTATAAAGACTGTCATAGAGTTTCACTTGGTTGTTGTGGCTGCATCCAATATTACTGACACAAACCCAGTGATTACCACCAGTGTGTAGCACTTGAATGAAGCTGTTCCGCATCACTGGAAACTGTTCTGCCTTCCCAATTGTTGGAGACAGCAGCCCCTCGATATAAGGAAATTGGCGATGCAACAGTTCTTGGGCCATTTGTATTTGAAGATCTGTAAGCATTGCATTTTTTTGCCAATTATGTCTACATCTTCTTGATTCAGTTTAAATGTAGGCCTTTGCATTTTAGCAATAGATGCTTCGTCCATCCTAGCCTGTTTCAAAAACTGAACTTCGTCTTCAGCTTCTTGGCTCCTTGCATTTTTTCTTTTCGGGCTTTTTTTTCTTTTCAAGAACTTTCCTTTACTTCTTTGTTCTATTTTTTGCAGGAATGCATCTGCCTCATGCTTTCCACCACTTTCTAGGAGATCCTCAGCCTGGTTGCGTGTAATTTGTAATTGCTGACAACATAGGGTAATTAGAGCCTCTGGTAAAAGTACCTCCATTAAGTACTTTTGACTGACCTTTGGGAAGTGCTTTGCTATTAGAGTTACCATGTGATATGTTTGATTTTCCTCAAAGTCCCCAAATGGCACATTGAACTTGAGATCTACCCTTTCGATCATCTCTTTATCCCTGTCTGATAATATTCTTCCATGGAAAATTTCATGTCGCCAGCTTTCCTTGGTGCCACTGAGTACTTCTGAAAGGTGATCTTTGATTACTTTGTCAAAGCAGGAAGCAATGTCCTTCTTTGAAATGTTCTGTATTTTTTGTTTGGTTCAAAGGGCTGGTATTTTGCCGGTTGCTGAGCCCCTGGCAGATTAGGTGGTTTTGGCTGCCTGGAAGGTGCTTGCTGATTAAGTGATGTTTGCTGTTTGGAAGGTGCTGGCTGATTAAGTGATGTTTGTTGTTTGGAAGGTGCTGGCTGATTAAGTGATGTTTGCTGTTTGGAAGGTGCTGGCTGATCAAGTGATGTTTGCTGTTTGGAAGGTGCTAGCTGATTAAGTGATGTTTGCTGTTTGGAAGGTGCTGGCTGATTAAGTGATGTTGGCTGGCTGGAAGGTGCTAGCTGATTAGGTGATTTTTTGCTGGTTTAAAGGTGCTGGCTGATGAGGTGATGTTTGCTGTTTGGAAGGTGCTAGCTGATTAAGTGATTTTTGCTGGTTTAAAGGTGCTGGCTGATGAGGTGATGTTTGCTGTTTGGAAGGTGCTGGCTGATTAGGTGATGTTGGCTGGCTGGAAGGTGCTAGCTGATTAGGTGATGTTGGCTGGCTGGAAGGTGCTAGCTGATTAGGTGATGTTGGCTGGCTGGAAGGTGTAGGTTGATTTGGTTGTGTTCGCTGGCTAGAAGGTGCTGGCTGGTGATGTTCTTTTGGCTGCTTGGAAGGTGCTTGAAGTTTGGGGCACTTCGACCGCGGCATTGGTGTTGGCTGATTGGGTGGTACTTTTGGTTGGGGAACCTTTGTCCGTGGCATTGGTGTTGGCCGGTGGTGTGGTGCTGGCTGTTGGTGTGGTGTAGGCTGCTTGGATGGTGCTTGTTGGGATGACATTAACTGCTGTATTGTGGCCGTTTTGGTTGGCGATAGCTGCTGGGATTGTTTTGGCTGCTGCAATGGTGTTGCAGGCTGCATAGATGGTACTGGCTGCTGCGATGGCGCCTGTTGTTGATGTTGGAGTGCTGTCGCTGAATGCTGAGAAGAACAGTGAGGATGCTGCAATGGTGGTTGTGCTGTCTGCTGAGCTGTGGATTGAACCCTGTACGCTTTGAGGTCTTTCATGTTCACTATCCTTCTTAGTTTCTCGCCACTTTTTCCACGTAACCTGCAGGTTCCCTTTTGTAAGTCAACCTCTTCTATGGTGTATGGGCCAGTCCACTGGTCTTCCATTTTGTGCCCCTTTTTTGTCTTTTGGAGCATATTGCGGCGTAGAACAGCATCACCCTTCTTCAATGTGCAGTCGAAGCCTCCTTTTCTTTTTAAGAACTGCTTCTTTTGCTTTTCTTGTGCAGCTTCTATGTTTCCCTGCACTCTTGGGAAAAGTGCATCTCTTGTGGCTGTCATTTGTTGCACATGCTCCTGGAGGACATCCTCTGAGTTTAATTCCCTTGCCAGTTTTTCAATTTCGCTGGGGTCGTTATCGACGTGCTTTACATACTTTTGGACTTCAAGAGGCAAACGTGGATGCCTACCATACATTAAATAGAATGGGCTGAACTTGGTGGTGTTTGATCTGTTGGTGTTAATTGCAAAAAGAGCACCATCCGTGTACTCGTCCCAATCCTGATCGTGGTCATCCGCAATCTTCCTAAGGGTACTAAACAAAAGTGACAAGTGCAGTAAATGGCTTGAACCCAGGGGTAACATGTGAAAGTGGAGGCTGATCGTCCGGGTGAGTGTGGTCCTGAGAAGGACTGTTGTCGTTGGTAGTGACTGACGTTTCGACAACCTGTGCGGAAGTCATCATCAGAGTCAAGTGAATGATTGTTGTCGGTAGAATGTTCTTATTCCAGTTCGTGGAAAATGATTGGCACCAACCATTTTATACGAACTGGAATAAGAACATTAGGTAGGTAGTAATTAGATGATGTATTACCTGCTCTTGTAATTCTGATAATATGTAATATTTAACATCTTTGCATTCGCTTCAGTCCGTAGTTTTAACACTGGAATCCCAAGCCATTACCGAATGGAAATAAACTTTGAAAGCACTAGCTTAGCTTAATGATATTTTAGGTAGCATGTCATGCCCTCTTTCATCTCACTGATAGGAGTTAAGAGTTATTTTTAGACAGAAAATGATTGCAACGCTCACTTCTTTATTGACTGGTTTGATCTCTCATCTAGGCCATTAGACTCCGGATGATATGCTGACGCGATCCTCTGGTGGACACCAAATGTTGTCATGAAGCGCTCGCACACCTGCAACAGAGACAATGAAGCAACGTCATGCAAGCCCCTACACAGATGTCTGTCAAAGGTTTCCGTTGTATAAAACGCTGACCTACCTGGTTAACGAATTCTCTACCCTGGTCTGAAATGATGTGAGCAGGGGCTCCATGGCGACAATATGCTTTGTAAAGGCCCTTTGCTACGCTTACGGCACTCTTGTCTGGCAGAGGAATTGCCTCTACATACTTGCTAAAGTAATCCGTCATTGTCAGAAGATAGCGGTTTCCTTGGGCAGAAACTTTGCCGGCATCTATTAAATCAATACCGACTAGGTACCAAACTTTAGAAACCACCTTCACGGGATGCAGCACGTCGTAACTTTTGCTTTCACTGGTATTACGTTGACACCGGTCACAATTTCGAATCTGTTTTGTAAGAGAAGGCCACACTTAGAGAAGCATTGAGAGAACATAGAGAAGCCTATGATTCTTTTATTACAACATCTATTGGAAGTAAAGAAAATTCATTGTTTTATAAATATTTTACCATTATTGTTGTTAAATGCCTTTTATTATATGGCTGTGTCTCACAAGTACTGGGAACTACAGAATTCACAAATTTGACTGACTATTTCACATGGCTGATCTCGCTGAAAGAATCATGCTCTTTACTTGAGCCCTGCTTTTTGCAAAACCGCGACTTTTCAGGCCTCTTTTTTTAAATAATTGCCACTGAAACGCTAGTGTTAAGATGCATGAATTGTGACAGACCGTGATGGTATCAAATGTTATTCAACACCAATGCCTCTACGTCTATACATTTTATTAAACTTACCAATTCAACAGTATCCTTGTAGTAAGAGGGCCAGTAGTAGCGCTCCTTAATTTTTTGTATGGTGTTGTCCCGCCCAGCGTGGCCCGCAAAAGGTGAAGAGTGACACTCGTCGAAAACTCTTGTCTTTTCCTCCTCTTGAATGACCATGCGGTTAAAGGTTAATCCATCGTTACCACGGTCGACGTAGAAAAGCGAGCCTGATTGTACATCAAACGTGAACTGTTTCGAAAGTCTCCGTAACACTCCTTTTTCACGCTTGCTTGCGCCCTCTGGATACTCTTTATCTCTCAAATAATGAACCAGATTTGAATATTTTGTGGCATCCATCTTAATAATTCTCGTAAGATGCGAATTTCCCGCGAAAGAAAGGTCATAAGTATACAAGGTCCAACTTCCTAATTTGGGCATTGTTTAATAGAGGAATTTCCGGTGGGTAGAAGCGTTGCGTGAGAACAGTTAAATCAACGTAGCATCTACGCCTAATGGAATAATTTGTTGTATTTAAGAAAGGGTTCCTGGTTCTATAAATATGCGCCCATGGGTGCGGAATTGAAATATTGATTAGAAATTGTTTTTGGTAAAGTGTCTAGCCAAACAAAAGCGCTTACAGGCCAGGGATACCAATTTTACTGCGATCAACGTTCACTGATATGTGTATCCCAACATATCACAAACGTTTGCTTCCCACTGTGCCTATGAGTGCGATTTTGAAATATTTTATTGATTAGAAATTGCACTGGGCTAGAGAGGCCAGGATACACACATCACTACTGAATCACCGTCCAGTGATATATATCAATAAACATCAGGGGATACACGTATCACAGAAAAGCGATCGCAGTGATTTTAGATCACACTTCTGTTAATTTTGACTCAATAATACACTTACAAGCCATACTTAGCCAGTATTTTGCTGGACAGATAAAAACGCTTGCTTTAGTAAGGGATACAAATACTAACTACGATTGCCGTGATATGTGTATCCAAAGTGTATCCACAAGATATAATGGGGATACACATATCACTGAACGGCGATCGCAGTGATATGTCTATCCCCGAGTAACTCGCTGTCGTCTGTCAATTTGGAATCAATAATACACTTACTAGCCATATATAAGCTTAGGTAGTAATTTGCTGGACAGACAAAAGCGCTTGTTTTACCAAGGGATACACATATTGACAGCGATTGCCGCGATATGCGTATCCACATTGTATCCCCAAGATGTATTGGGGATACACATATCACTGAACGGCGATCGCAGTGATATGTGTATCCCCTGACTAACTCGCTGTCGTCTGTCAATTTGGAATCAATAATACACTTACTAGCCATATATAAGCTTAGCTAGTAATTTGCTGGACAGACAAAAGCGCTTGTTTTTACCAAGGGATACACATATTGACTGCGATTGCCGCGATATGCGTATCCACATTGTATCCCCAAGATGTATTGGGGATACACATATCACTGAACGGCGATCGCAGTGATATGTGTATAAAAATTGCTGTCAGTTGGTGAAATATTTCATGCACTTACGTACTAGCCAGTAAAGGAGCTAGTAGCAAGTAATTTCAGTGCTAGACAGGCGACAAAGCCGATACGATTGTAGTCACCAGTGATATGTGAATCCCTAAGATATATTTTTGTTTAAATGACAATTTCGATTCCTTTATATTTCCAATAGATTGTTTGATGTTTGCTACTGGCCCATAAGAACTGTCGGACTCGCGAGTCGTGTCTTTACAGTTCTGATTGTGGAAGATGGTTCAGTGAACGATTTGCGTCCATTAACACAAGTTAGCCGTAATTATTTATTTTTTGGAGGGGAGGGGGGTGGGGATACACATATCACTGGCCGCCATCTTGGAGGGGGTACACATATCACTAGTGATATGTGTGCGGGGGTACACATATCACGGGGGTACACATATCACTGTGACACCGGCACTCTCAAAATTTTAATGAAATTGGACTGCGGCTGTTCATAAGAAATAAACCACTGTCGATGTATGCTAATTTTGAAGGTCCACGTGTCAGATAAGGACATGGTCGAAGAATTTCGCGGAGGTCACTAGAATAACAGTTTAAACTTCTATGTTGGTGGACACTGTGCGATCGTTAACCTGACTGAACTAAATTGAGCTATAAAATACAGAGCCAAACCCAGTATAAAAGCCTGTTAGTGTCAAATCCCTTTTAAAACGGGTTTTAATAGTAAAAAATGCTCTTAAATTTCCAAGACATGCACTGGTGGTTCAGTGGTAGAATTCTCGCCTGCCACGCGGGAGGCCCGGGTTCGATTCCCGGCCAGTGCACAATAATTTAATTTTTTTTTTCTTAAAATCGGCAAACTACATTCTCGAGTATTGAATAGCTGACAAATATTTCTGAATATTCATTTCAATAAAGCACTCTTCTTTGATCTGTCCATTTGTCAGCTTGTCCTTTTGTCTTTCTGATGATTGTGATACAATAGGATTATGATGGTATTTAATACTTGTATTCTGAGACTTTCTTGAAATTGATCACATGATTTATTTATCAATATATTACTAAATGGTGTTGTACTGAGAGATGGAGACAAAATGTTGCCAAAAATACTGATTATAAATTTAAATGTGCACAATATGTATATGAATTATCAACACACTATCTAGCTTGGACTAAGTTCATATCTGTAATTCGTCAATCATTTGAAAGAGTATTTGCCTCCCCCTCCTCCTCCTCCTCCTCCTCCTCCTCATCATCATAATTCCCATCACTTTTTAAATACAGATAAGTTAGTCTCCATTTGTACCTTTTTTCACAAAATAATTTGATTTAGATGTTGGTGTGACAAAAAAGTCAAATTTGTAAACAAATGTTTGGTAGATAAAAAAGTTGCTGCCTGCCGGGGTTAAAAGAGTTATCAAAAACACAGTATACATGATAGTCTAAATACATGCTGATAGTAGCAATAATGTAAATACAAAACTTATTTAAATAGCTAAACAGCTTCCTAAATAATGTATTTCCACTATTATATTATAACTAAAGTAATCAATACTTTATCAAAAACTATACAACATAGTTTAAGATGATTTCTTCTTGGCCTCTTTGTCAATAGTATGCTTTTTTGGAATAAAAAAAGGAATAACAATAAATGCCGCCATCACAATGTGTCCAACAAAGTACATGCTCTTCCATGCTTCCAGGCATGGAGCAAGTTGAAGCAACATAAATCCACAGCCAAGATACTCCATGCTACGGTAATGAAAAAACCAACTCAGCCAATCATACCAGTAGCAAAGCTCTGGCGACAGGTACGGCTTGATAGCTTTAGACATTTGAACTTCAGCAATAACTGTCAGTGGAACACACAAAAAGGTCAGGTAATAACCTGGGGCCACACCATGCCAGAAGGCACTGACAAGAAGAGTGGTGAACATTCTGAAATAAAGTAAGTGACAATTATATCCATAGTTTACATCATACATTCTTGTATCTATAGAGGGCCTTCTTTAGAATGGAAGGGGACTTGTTCAAGAGGGTTGGTAAGGGGGGTTTAGATAAGGAGGGGGGGAGTTATTAGAGAGGGTTAATTTAATAATAATAACAACAACAACTTTATTTAAGGAGGGTAACACACAACAGTAATTCAACTGATGAAGTAGTGGCCCTTGATCCTAAAAATACCATAACAGAATTAAAATGCATTTGAGGATTTTTAAACTGGTCAACAGGACTATAAGAATATAAGCTAAAAACTAGAAAAAATAAAATATGCTGCTTAGGTCAGGTTAAATTGCATTTAGAGTGAAATGCTCTACTTCATCATATCTCATTAGAAAATGTCTGTGAAGAGCCTTTCTGAAAGAAGCAACTATTTTCGCCTCTTTTTTTAGGTTCATGGGTAGGTAGTTAGTTCCACAGTCTTGTTACAGATATGCTAAAGGTCCTACCTCTCTCTATTTTGTGATTGAAATGAGGGGAAGGCAAAATTTAATTTACTATAACGACCAGTTAGTGTGTGTAGGTCTGCATTAAATTTGGAAAGTTTATAGGAGAGGGTGGGTACCCATACAAATGGGGTGGGGCTCATTAAAACTCAGTAAGAGCCCCTGTATGAGTGACATCTAATAACATGTACATGAATTGAATGAAATTTATGCGAACGCTCTTCTCTGGTTGAAAACCTTACAGAATTTAACTCACAAACTAAATGAAGCTTTCAAATATCAGTATGTTAAGTTCTAAAATGCTGCTACGCCAAAATGAATAATAATACTACAGTAAACCTATCTGCAAATTATTACAACATTGTTGCAATTTTGTCTGGCATTTTTAAAAATAATCAATTATAATATTTTATTTGTGAAGCACCATTTCCAGTGGTGTTCAATTGCACCATACAATGTAAATTATGTAAATTCAATTGAATTATGATGCATTGAAGACAAAAATTACATTTAGAAGCTTTCAGAAAATGTCCAAAACTTAAAATGTCTAATAAGTAAAAAGTCTAAATGAAATAAAATATCAAATTCTATGAAAAACATTTTCCTATGATTGTATAATTGTAGAGTTTTTGTTTAGGGAAAGGGAAAAAGGGAACACTAAAGAAGATACTTATTAGGGAAAGAAGCTTATTACAGCATACGTGTGAGCCAAAAAAATCAATTTTTTGTCAATACATTAATACATTAATATTAAAGTAGAGACCAATAACAATTACTTGTTAACAGACAGATTAAAAAATTTGTGATGTTTATCTATCACTAAGCACCACAATAGGAATTTGTTACTATGCCCAGCACATGATTGTTAATAGTCTTTTATATTTATGTGATTTTCATTATTTTCAGTATTTTGTAATTGCATGTGTGCATTGTAAACAAGTATGCTGAATGCTCCTCGGCACTATGTGGATAAATAAACTGTCTATCTATCCTTCTATCTATGACTTGCATTACCTTAAGCTTTTGTTTTTAAAAGGAGTTTTCCTGTGTATGTAAGTTGCAATCCACCATTGAACAGTCATGTTCCAATTCTTCATTGTATTTCCCATAGTAGGTGAAAACTCCACCTCAAAAATGTTTATGTTGTGGATTGTCTCAAAGCTGTAACAAAAGGGGAAAAAAGCAACACAGGATGACTTAAACAAGATATTTTGGAAAATAATTGATAATGATGAACTACTTCGAAGGAAATAAGCCTAAAAAAAGTTAGGGAGAGATAGGAATTTATTTCAAAACCAAGTAATTTGCATTTGAGAATTCTAGAATTTTGGATCTCTGGAATGGAATAATTAGGATAGCTCAAGTTTTGAGGTAACCACTGCATTTAATATAAATGTACCTGTGCGTGTCTTGATTACATTCTTTGTTTTGCTCAGGAGTGGTCTGATTAATGATTCCATTTTTTTCTGTATTAGGTTCACTTTGTTCTGGAACTGCTTTGGTAGGCCCTAACCCAGGCTTTGGTTCTGTTTCAAATGGGTATGCCCCCAAACCAAGAGTCATACAGCAACTTTCAGCAAGGAGCCAGCCTATGTAAAAGCGCCAGCGAAACCCATGAAAGGTTGGGACAAGATAAGCCAGTTGGTACAACACCCCCCAAGGATGACTGGTGTATTCTGGAGTCCCAATATGACTGATTGGAAAGTAATGGTTTAAAATAAGGTATATCACACCATAGAAGGGTAATGTCTGAAGATTTCTCATGGCAGGGATGACGGTGGAAATCTTCTCAGGATGTTGTTGGTTAATCATGTCCTTGAAAGTCTTGTAGCGATAGTAAGGACCAGTGGTGAGTCCACAATAACAGTAGGAGTAACTAAGGAACTCATAAAAGGATGGTCGCTTTGACTTTTTAGATTCTCCTTCACTGGTTTCTTCCTCAGACTCAAATATTTCAAATGGCAGTGTACAACACTGGAAAGGGAAAAAAAATCGTGAATCTATAAATGCATGAATTACTTCAATTTTCAGTTGAGTGAGATGTGACAGAAATTTGGCAACTGCACCTTTGTGTGTTTTTACAGTTGGTGATCGATGTACAGCTCTTGACATTTGGTTACTATTGGAGGTGAGAGAGGTTGCCTCTAACAACACTATTATCTTAATATTCAAAACTCCATTACCAAACTTTTTCCAAACCTCACTCAACTGATAATTGTGGTAAGCTGTGAAATTAAAAGATGTGGAATATAGTGAAATGTTATTAATTCATATTATTGATTAATTATACAGAATCAAGAGCTACCATTTTTTTTTTTATGAGTTAATGATTTTATGTTTCTGTCAATTTCAATTAAGTTCAGGTTTAAAATAAACACAAACAAAAAGCAAGGAAAAGCAGGCAATCCAGACCCCACAAGGTAGCCTCATCATGCTTGTTCTGGTGGTCAATCGCATATGGAATTTACTTCACGTTTGGCTCTGGTAGAACTTACCAAACAATCAATATAGCTTACATTACAAACTCACCCTCAAGGTCACCAACAGCTGAATAGCATTGCTGTGTTCTGGTGGTTTATCAAATCCAAAATACTTGCATGTGCGGAAGAAAAAAAGATAGCCGAACACAAACAGGAAAGCTACCCACTCACATCGCCTGCAAAATAACATAGTAAAAGAATATTTCACTCCTTCCATCCAGAAAGCCTCGCAAATCGTGGGTTGATAACAAGAAGTTACCAAACGGGGATGTTACTGATCAAATAGCCATGAATTATACGGGTAATTGACTCTCATCAACAATTTCACCGCACAATTGTTTCAGAGAATTGTGCTGTCACGACATACCCACTGACGAGTGATCGTTTTCACTAACTGTTTCAAAAGGTCGAGAGGTGATAAGCAAACAAACCATTTTTAACGCATTCATGCTTAGCTGTTGTTGAACTGACAAGATGATTTGTTTAAAACTATCTAGAACAGCAGGGGTACAATAGGACACGATGCATGCTTGCACACGTTGATTTCCCAACAATGGCGAATTCATTCGACACATGTTAAGGACAAGCAATCTTACCTTGGACCAAGAGAAATAACTATCACATACGTGCCTAGAATTGTCCAAAAGGAGTGAAGAATTCCCCAAACTCCGACAAGCGCGAGTGACAAGCTTACACCAGCAACAGTGGAAAGGAATTGCTTTCGTGAAGGAGAACCTGATAATTTGACCAAATGGCCGAATGGAATAGATCCTAATAGCATACAGAGATAAAGTAAGTCCGTAGTGGACATGGTGTTCCCCCACACGCGGTATATATTACTTTGTCAGACCGTAAAATCAATTTTCCAAGCAAGAGATCCCACCGCTCGAGTGATATTCGGGACAAAAGCATGTCAAATATCAGCCCACCTAATAAGGAGTAGAACCTGGGAACTACGGTGGCTCACAATTGTCACGGCCAAAGAAATAACTTCGCGGCGAAAACAAACGGCAAAAGGAAGAACCTGAAGGCCAAAAGGAAAAGATTCACGGCAAAAGGAAAAACCTCACGACAAAAGAAAAAACCTCACGGCAAAGAGAAAAGACTCACGGCAAAAAAAAACACGGCAAAAGTAAAAGACTCATGGCCTCACGGCATTAAAGAGAGCCGTGGAGGCTGGGAGGTTTTTTCTTTTGCCATGAGTCTTTTTCTTTTTTCCGTGAGGTTTTTTATTTTGCTGTGAGCCTTTTCCTTTTTGCCGCGAGGTTCTTCCTTTTTGCCGTGAGGTTCTTCCTTTTTGCCGTGAGTCTCTTTCTTTTGCCGCGAGGTTATTTCTTTTGCCGTGACAGTTGTGGGCCACCGTAGGGAACAACTTTTTACCCGGCCGGGGGTTCAAGTATAGGAAACGCTGTGATAAAAAATTGTTAAGTCCTTAAAGCGTACAGATACTTTCGCATATAGTCAAGTTTCCATGTAAGATCGGCCGCAAATAAACAAATGGGGAAAAAGAATAAACCCTCAGAGAAGTTATGGCTGTTATTGATTTGTCTGGCATTTTGCCTCAGTCTTTTGATAGATGCACATGAACGCTATATTGTAAGCTAGGTCCTTGGTCCAATGGGGCGTTCAGATCAACATTATTTAGTTTTTGTGGTGCCCATGTTGAAGGCTACGGCCACTTTGATATTAAAATTTTACTCAATGAAGCCTCATATGTCAAGTTGTCTCAATGAAAAAAATCAGAGAAGTTTCTGTGATAAACAAAGCAGAGAGGCGTTTTCTTAAATATATCCCTGAGCATGATAACAAATTAGAAAAAAAAATGTGGCAAGTTTTTCGTGAGCTATTTAACGAAACAGCCTCGTTATTCTCCAAATAACTTAAAGGGTTCAACCGCTCTCTTCTTTTCCTGATTGAATCCACAAAAAAGAGCGGGAAGGCCTCTAAAATCTCTCTAAAAAACCAATTCTAGCTCATGTTTTGGAAGAAAATTGTAATGGATTTTCCAGTTTAATTAAAAAACTATAATTTCCATAAACCCTCCCACGGTGGGATTTTGACTTATATCACTACTTTTACATGCAGTGTACCTCTGTGTGAAGAAGTTTTGGCTACGCAAAATAACATTTTCGAGAAAACGTCGTCTAATTTAAGTTACTGCGTGTGTTCAAAATTCTTCTAGTAAAAGTATACATTTTTAATAAAAAGAAAGATTCCGCCTCGTCGTTTTCGAATCATGGAGACATTCTTACTAATATGATCGTACCTTCGCATGCGTCGAGACAAAAAAAAAAACCTACAGGTGATTTGATAATTGCCTTTCATCAAAGGTTTCCATTCGTTGTTTTCCCGGCCTGACAGCAGTCGTTCGTAAAATGGAAACCATCCTAAAGTTATTATGGCTGACGGTCAATTTGAAGTGCATGAGTTTTTATTACCCATGCATTTGATAGCTAATCGTGCATGGTGCAAAATATTTATATATAATATCAGATTTAGAAATCTGGCCAGAATTCCCCAAAGAAAATACGTCTTCTCTCAGTTTCTTGCCTGAATTGAATTCTTATTCAAATTAAGTGATCATTTTCAGCTGTCTGCTTTAATTTTAATATATTCATTTGCCGGCTTATCATTCTGTTCTGCATATTCTTATTTACTAACAATACCCCTGTTATCATCGCCTTGATGCATGATCAAGCGAATAACGCCATTCTTCCGGTCGTACAGAACCAAATAATTCTCCATCCTATGCGTACGTCACCGACTGAACGAGTTCTTAAACTTGAGATATTTGCAGTTAAAAAATTCGTCAAGAGATTGTTTTACTTGTACTATGCGCCGAGTAGCAACTTAATAACCCGAGGAAAGCAGATCTGAAGCTGATGTTCATATATCTGAGCTGAAATAAGCGATATTTCGTCAACAAGTAAGTCTAGCGATCAAGTTTTAAGTGTAGAAAATTTCTTCAGCGCTTTCTAAATTTATAAATGTTTCGATTTTCGACCTTTTGCAGGTCATAAAAAAACTTTGCATTTGCCGAGGTATTATATAGAGTTTTCATAATTTGATCATTCAGTAAACAATTCGGTTGCACCATCAAAACAGTTTGTACGTCAGGCTGATATATGAAGCCCATGCACGTCACTTATGATGATCTATGCTGTTTCACGCCGACAGATTTACAGAGGAATATGATCCTTAAGTAGAATAACACGTTCACAAAATGGAATTCTGTTTCCTTTTTTTCCACTACTTAAAATTCATGTTTTGAAATGTGAGATCATTTTTTGGATTAAACTGTTACAAGCAAGCAGATATCGAAGCTCTATTTTTGTTTTGAGCGCTGATGCGTGGAGTAGACAAATCCAAAGAATCTCATTACGTTAGCTGTTTCTATTGAGTTCTGTACTGTTCCCTGAGAAGAAAGATAACTTTGCATTTAAGTTAGCACGATTATGATTCGGAGAATTATTTGTTCTGAAACAGATCTGCATGTCGAAAGCTAATTCCTCGTGCACAGTTTATTTATAAAGATCATCCAATGTGGTTTTCTAAGTCAACAAGCGAAAACGTAGTTAGCACAAAATATCACTCTACTCGTACAAGTTGACGCAAGAAAGTATATATGATATTTTAACACTTCTTGAAAGAGTGATAATTTTGATAACTAAGTATGTTTTTTTTTTATTTTCACGCCAAATTTTGTTCCTTTACACAAAGTTTATGTTTGCCAGTTAAAATTGTATCATTAGGTTCGCTGTCTTTTCGACTGTCACTGCCTCAGCTGGAAGGGGACATGAATGTTTCATGATGGAAATAGTTCTTTCCGTGTCGTTAATTAAACAGTCGCACAGAGCGGATTGCTTTCTTGTCTTCGCCCTGACAAGTTTAAAGCTCGATTATGCAAATTCACATCCTCTAAGTTTTTGGAACAGGTGGACTGAAAGTAACCGAAGTCCGTTGTAAGTCTCTTTCTTCTCCATTTACTAAGCGCAAAGTTAGCTATTAAAAACATAATTTTTGGAAGAATTGTTCTCTGACTCAATGCTCCGGGCAAAAGGAGAGGAAGATAAATCCTTGAAAACGTGAAGAAAGGATGGACTCTTAAGCTTTGAAAAAATGTGGCCTAGTTGAACATAAAACAGTAAAACAGATCGCGTACATCGCTTGCCGGAGAGTTCTTCTTTAATAAACAACGCTAAACAATAGAGATTAACCGATTAACTTTAGAAAACCGGCGAACTTTAGGCCAAGCACTTTGTTGTTGTTGTTTTTTTTCTCAGAGAAGAAGAACCTAACGTCTAGAATGGGTCAGGTTTATCAATTTATGACATCGTGAACCGTGTTTTCATGGATAGATCAGGTGTATTTAGGACGTTTTGACTGCAGATGCATTTGTAGCTTGCAAGACCAGAGACAGCAATATTTACCAATCTTTCATTGTGTTTGGCTACTATTTTAAGCCTGCTGTCCGTAAAAGAGGATGAAGGAAAACGGAACATGCTTCTCAGAAGGCGTTTGTATGCCGAAGGCTCGGCTGTCATGAAAAGCAATCTGCAGGTGTTATCTTAAAATGAGAACCATCGTACATGCTTAATTATGCTGATATTCTTGGCTTTTTCCCCCTCACTGAAAACAAAAAGTTTTCATGTCTCCCAAAAGGGTCTCTTCCTGTCCTCTTGCCCTTCTGGTGGAACTGCAGGTCACGTGAAACCTCAAACTTGTACAGAGCACAAAGGTATACCCAATATTCAGTGAAAAATTATATCAGTTAATTAGACTTAACCTTAGCGATGGAGAGTGTAAAACTTTCATCAGTCAAAATTATAATGAGCAGAGGATCATAAATATTTTACTAAGGTTAAGCAGAAAATCGTAAGAGACATTTGAACGCAGTGAAAACTCCCTGACTTCCAAATAACATGAAAATGCAGTAGGATTCTTCAAAAAAATTACTCAATTTAAGCTGCAGCTTTACGCTCGCTGATTGGTGCCTTTAAAATTTTAATTAAATTGAGTTGTAAGGTATGGCGTATTTCACGAAGGTGTGCATCCCTTTGTTAAAGCATTAATTTTATAATTTTAGCTAGTTCTAACGGACATGAAAACTCCTTAATATTTCTTTTTGGCTTCAGAACTCGAAAACAGTTCAATTCTTCCTTGCCTGATAATAGTCTTGTTAAAACTTTTTTCAGTTCCAGTCTTCCCTATATTCCAGTTATATCGTTTTGAGATTACTATATAAAACACTGTTTTATCTCTAAGGTAATGGTCCTCAACTAAAATAACTATAAAGAGCCTGACATGCGCCATGGTAACGTTTATCACGCAACCATAGTCATGTTTAGAAGTATATGTCAGGTAAACTAATAATCCTCGTGGATATTGATCATAAACGTTTGGTAAAAAATTAATCGGGGCAAGGAGTTTTTTTTTCTCTGTTACACACATGCTAATGATGTACATTTCAATTTTCTCCCGGCTCTTTACTGATCTGTTTAGTTTTGAATTATGTTTAAATCCCTGATAAGCTCTTCAATGCTGACCGTACAAAACTAGAAAACTTGAACCTCAAATGAAATTTTCAATTTCCAACTGAAAAAAACGCAAATGGGAAGTCTCAATTTAATATAATAGGTTTGGAATATTAACCGCAATTATAGTCAGCTTTTAACAGCCAGGCCTCCCTTCGTTCAGATATGAAGACAAGCTTTGTATTTACAATCATAATTACCATTAGTTTCTGTAGACTTTTATTCGAGTGGGATAGCTTTTTTTTTTTAATAAATTTTTCGACAACTCTTCCCCGAAAAAAATAAAATGAACATTTTGTCGAATTCAGCCCTTTAGTGGGGGAAATAAGGTTTTAAATGCGCCTTAGGAAATATCGCAGACAGCTGTTGTCTTTGTTAAACACCAAACTTACTTAAATGCCCATTAAAATTCAGGTTAACTGGCAAACCGGTCTCGTATTTGTGTGAGCGGTTTAAGTCTTGTAAGAGTGCAGTCGGCTTCACAGGGCGACATTTTACGACGTTTGCCACTTTTAATCGTTTTTCCCTTTGGACTGTTGCTTGACGCTCAGAAGTCCAATTCAAACAAGTCAACCACTTCTGTGTTTTGGTAGGTTGTCAAGACATATATATTTCTTTCACGTCGAAAATTTGAAATATTGCGTATGACGCACATTACACCGGATGCGTGAAGCCACTTCTGTCGTTTGGACCAACACAGTTATGGAAAATCACTTGGAAATTCGCAGATGTGACCGCATCGTGTTCATCAGAGGCGAACTGACTGAATAAGCAGATATGACCGAGTTATAGCATCAAAGAGAGATCACCATGTGTCTTAAATAACCGCATCAATGGAAGAAAACACGGAAACACACGAACAACGCACAAGCGATGTTCCAAAAAATGGGAACGTCGAACACAGCGCTGAATTTGAAACTCTTTCGTGTTTTTTTATCTCCAAAGACAATAAAGCCCGGCGATGGATGATTCAGCTCATAAAATGGCCATATCCTTTTGATAAAACTGAGCAATGAAGTTTTTAAATGTATCTTTGACAGGTTCAAGGATTTGACCAAAGCGTGCGCTTACCATGTCAAATTTACATTTGTTGTTAATTTAGATTTGGTAGATACATAGCGGTTGAATGTGAGTCAAAATTGAAAGGGGAATCAATACCAAAGTTTATCGATATCAACAACCACCTTCGGTCGATAAACTTCGCCATAAAGAATATCTGTCAGTTTATACTGATCTAATAAAATTCGAGGACAAAGAAACACAGATGAAAAACGGAACAATATTTCAGTGTTGCCCTCGTTTGAACAGAAGCAAAAATTGTGGATTTCGAATTATTTCTTTAGACAAACATGTTCTTATAAACAAGAAAATTAATTTTTGTATTTCTGTCAAATTGCCTTAAAATTTTTCCTCGAAGAAAGTTTGTGTAAACGAGTTTTTACAATTGAGACCTAAAATGCAAAGGTGAATTCACAAAACAAATGTACCACATAATTGCGGAGACGTTTTAGTTTTTGAATTATTTCTAATAATTCTGTTTTCTTTGCTGTGTAAAATAGTCGTAGTTGTCAAACGTAGCGAGGGCAATATTTTAGTTTAAAAACTTGATATGAAATAGAATTTCTGATTCTTCTTTATCAGAACATTATCGTATTCATTTTTTATCGGCTTTGTTACAAACTGTTAATGGTACATTGGGTTGGCATAAGCCAAGAGCTGAAACAAAAAGCCACAAAAAAAATTTAAAAAGTTTTACAATTAACGTCATCTTGGCCATGTTCTTGGATGGCGTGCAATTCCCTCAGCTTTACGATGCAGATACCAAAATCATGCCGAAACCATCTCGATAACTTTTCTCTCAAGTGAAATGCGCATCATAAAACTTTAGCGGGCAAGTGAAGACAAATGCTTAGACTATGAAAATTGCTTCCTCATCATCTGTCTTGATCCAACTGTTTTGTTCACCAAGAAATTATTTCAATTGTATTTCAATAATTTAAAGTTTTTCTCTCAATAGTCAGTTTAATTTGTGTCGAAGTATGAACAGTTTTTGACCCGAATTCAGTGCCAATAGAGAAACTTTGTTTTTGTCTTGACAATTAATGATTATAAGCTGAAAGTATTTTGTCTTCTTGGTGCAATTAATGAAATACACAACTGAAACAGGATGCGTTCACGTACGCACATGTTCTTGTCGGATCAACCTAGTTTCGCGATGTTGTGAGAGTGGATAGACTTAAAATTTTCACCAGAGTAATAGAAAATTGGTGAATATTTTCAATTTTCGTGTCAACGGTCAAAATACGAATACACGATTTTAATATATTTCCATGGAAACCACAGGTATTTGGATGACGCGTGACATTTTAATAAGATTTTCCCATAGGAACATCCATTAATTATCACTTGACAGGGAGTGGGTGGGGGTGGGAAGATTTTGGGTAGGGTTACGCTGTTTTTTCAGGGGGAGGAGAGGGAAGATCAGTCGTAACTAACAGAGTATAAAGGGAAGGTTACTACAGGAAATTGGTTTCCACCTAACTGCCAATGACGGGGGTAGTGATATTTATTGTAAGGAAGAAAGAGTTATTAAGTCATTGAAGGGAAAGGAAGAGGGGGGGGGGTGGGGTGGGGTTGTAGAAAGGATCATTAAATAATATTTTAGAGTCTAGAGGCTCTGTAAGCGGAAATCGGGTAAATTTTATCGTCACATAGCCAAGATCCGCCCGCTCCCTTTGGGCGATATATATTGGTCTTTAAATGATGCAAAGATTGATTCTTGAGACTTTTCCTTAATTTTGGTCTACATGGTTCGAGCGTATAAGCATGTTTGTTATATTCATCAACTGCGTCACATTAGCGATGTATAATCCGCTGGATAAGGACTGCAGATCTACTCGGTGCCAAGTTCTGGAAAAAGTGGAAATCGTGATATTTTCTTTCTTTTCGGCTGAGATGATAATAAAGATGATAGCGATGGGTGTTACTGGCAAGAAAGGTTACTTGCAGGACAAATGGAATCGCCTGGACTGCTTCATTGTGATCATTGGGTAAGGGCCTAGTAGCGAGAGTGAGGAAAGGCTTGATCACGTGAAATATATACGACGCGGGGGCCTAATGACTAGCGCTCAGGACTCTGGGTCGAGAGGGCTTGGTTCGAGGCCTAGCCTGGTCGATGATTTGTGTGCTTGGACAAAATAGTTTATTCTCACAGTACCTCTCTCTACCCAGGAGTATGAATGGATAGCGGTGAATTGTCGGGGAAACCTACTGACATGCAGGTGTTACCTTGCATCTTACGTCTCATCCAGCGGGGAGTTGTGATACTCCTGGTCGGGATAAGGTCCGGCTGGGTTGGCCACTTGGCTAAAGAACAGACTCAACCCTGACATGGGATACATTTAAAATACGAAAACGTGATTTTCTTGAGCCTGTTTTCGTGTGCGTTCTCATTCTATCAGATTTAATAATCTCGATCATTAAACTCAACCATGACAATCTATGCTCTTTTCTTCAGGGTGATCGAGAAAGCCGTCCGAGTCAATGGGAATTATCTTACAATTATTCGAGCCTTTAGAGTTCTGAGACCTCTTCGAGCTATCAACAAAGTTCCAAGTATGTGAAACATATTAAAGTGAAAGAAGTTTTCCATTGATCAGTAGATAAACAGATAAATAAATAAATAAATAAGCGATCTTCATCTAATATTTTATCAGTTTGATGATGTCAGTTCATTACTGAACCTTTAAAAAAAATGTTACCTAATGGACGAGGCTTGAGCGAGAACGTTTTTTCAAGGAGTCTCTTTATAAACATACCATGACAGCTTAAAAAGTATTTTCTATTTTGCAGGTATCCGGATCTTGGTGACTCTCCTTCTTGATACTCTTCCAATGCTGGGGAATGTTCTTCTGTTGTCCTTTCTAATTTTTTTTGTGTTCGGGATCATTGGAGTGCAGTTATGGCAGGGAAAACTGAGAAACAGATGCTTCACTAAATTGCCTGAGAATTCAACTTTTTTTACGAGGTAAGCTGCTTCGTTTCTATCGTAGCCTGGGCCGTAGACTTTTCCAGATCCGTTAAAAAATGCAATTTTAAAAATTTAGCGTCACATTTTGTAGCACTTCCGTAAAGATACCGGCCTTCAGATTAGAAATGCTGATTAGTAATGCGAGTAACGACCACAGGGAACCCATGCAGATGGTATTCATTTCAGTTTACAATCGGAATGCAAAGAAATCAGGATCTGATTGAATGCAAAGCCACAAACAACTTACTGAATCTATCATCTTTTCAGATTTAATCAGTCGCAATTTTACCAACCATCGTTCAGTAATCCAGATTTCGTCTGCGCCACTCCAGAAGATGACGGAACCCGTTTGTGTTCTGATATACCAAAAGAAGAACGTGTGTCCACGGAATGCCCTAATTCGTTTGGGAACTTCTCAGCTGCGAATAATTCAGTCCCTTTCAACTGGAATCAGTGTTACAGCGTCTGTAAACCGAGCGATCAAAATCCATTCTATAACACAACATCGTTTGATAATATCGGTATTGCATGGATCGCCATATTTCAGGTAAAAAGGATCTACCAAAACGACATACATTGAAATTGAGTCATTTTTCCGAGCGAATTAACGTATTCAAATCGAGCGGCTCAAGTCGTGATTGAAGGTGATGGAAATATTTGACATAACCCCGAATTATAACAGTGGCCAATAGTGCACAGGGGAGCCATATATTTGAAGCAGCCTATATAATTAAAAATAATCGTTGAAACCGGCCTAAAGTGTGCGAAAGGGTGGGCAACGAGGGCGTGATTGTTCCTTGTTTAATATCTGCTTGGTGTGGTTTCTTATTGCCCTATACTCACCGAGGTTGGATGCATCATTTAAGGTATACAACTTGATTTGATGTCAACAGGTGATCACTTTGGAGGGATGGTCAGATATCATGTATTTTGTCCAAGATGCTCACAGCTTTTGGAACTGGATCTATTTTGTTGTCCTCATAGTGGTAAGAGAAAGATTGTTACGAAAATATCAGACTTGGATAATCATGCTTTCCTATTTTATTCCTTCTTGTCTCTCACCAACTACCCTCGCTCTCCCTTCTCTCTCCCTTCTCTCCATCTTTGTCTTCATCCCGGTCTTTCTCTTACCCTGCCTGCTTCCCTCAGTCTCCATATATTTCCGCTCTTCCCTTTCAACTTCCTTTACTCCATACGATATATTAGGTGATGAAGCAAACGAAAGGCACAGTTCACGGACCTAGTTAATGCATTTTTGTTATTCTCCTCATTTACAGATGGGCTCATTCTTCCTTGTTAACTTGTGCCTGGTCGTGATCACCATGCAGTTCCAAGAAACCAAAGCACGTGAGATAGAACTGATGGAAAACAGCAAAGGCGAGCTACCACTTGAGCCAACAAAGCTGCTAAAAACCTTAATAAAGTATATACAATCTTTTTGCAGTTTCAAACCGCAGGAAAAAGAAGAGGTCCATCACCATCATCACCACTATTTTCATCATCATCATTTCCACCATCATTTGTACAATTGCTTTGTTCCGGCCTCTCCAGTTGTTTGCACCGATCACGAGGCCGCGTCAGGTGATACCAGCTTTTTCCCTTATGGGACCAGCCTTCCAAAAATTCAGGTTGAGGGGAGAGAAACGATCTGTTCTCACTCTAGTGTCGAAGAATCTCCGGTATTCCAAGATTTCCTTGCACCACCTTTAACTAGACAATCTTCCAGAAGAAGTTCCAGAACCTCTATCTGTTCGCATACACTTTCAATTCACGCTGAAACGTCCTCAGCTGTTTCCATCGATGAAATTGTGACACAAGCGAAGACGAGCGTAACGTTAAATATTCCTTCATCACCAACAGCAACTTTCTTCGCGCTCTCGTCAGGCAACAGTGCAAGCAGGAAAAATTCAACTCAATCTAGAAAAAGTGAATTTTCCGCGTCCACGCTGGTGTCAGCAGAAATTAATCCACATCATGCGCGCACAAGTACACCAGAGGGTGAAGACGTTTCTTCAAAGGCATACAAAGAAGCCACCAAATCTTCACTTCAGCAGAAAGATGAAGAGCTCTTTAAATATCGTCGATTTAGCCAGCCTGCACATGCCAAGTTAGCTCGCACCCCATCATCCAAACGTTTGGACACCAGAGAACCTGATTATTACAGAGAGAATGAAGCAAACTCGGAAATTGTAAAATTTGATGCTAAGTCTTCGTTAGAAAGCGACTTAGAGAAAAGCGACGCGAACAAGGACCCAACATCAAAGGATTTGGTTAAGGTCGGGCAAGTCGATGATTGCCAAATCGGTGATGCAGTAAATACAACTCTCAAAAGACCTTCATTACAACGCCGTAATATTTCTGCACAGAATGAAGATGACATGTTCGAAAGCCTGTTTAACTTAGGAAAAAGTGCGACTTATGATGTGACAGGAAACCGTAGTGCATGGCAAAGGCTAAGAACCTTCTGTAGAAATATAATCGAGAGTAAACAGTTTAATTTTTTTATCATGGGCGCCATTTTGTTGAACATGATTTGTATGGGCCTTGAGCATTACCAGCAGGTAAGAGTTAAGAAGTCAAAATCTGTTCGAATAGAGGGTCAAGAGAGATTAGTTTACATGATTTTCTTTATAGCTGACATTGCTTAGTGAAACTCACATATAACTTCTCTCGTTATATCTTACAGCCTGAAGGACTAACCCTTGCCCTAGAGACCATAAACATCATTTTTGTATCCATTTTTGGAATGGAAGTGGTTATTAAGTTGCTTGGTTATGGTTTGACCACATATCTTAGCGAGGGTCAGAATGTGTTTGATGGACTCATCGTTATCGTTAGGTACACGAAGTTACATAAAAATAGAACAAAACTGTGTCTTCTTCGTTAAATATATCCACGATCTCTTTATCGTATCAGAACTGGGGCAATTCTGACAATATAAAAATCTTTAAGTTTTACTTTTACTGATAATTTTGCAGTGTCTGTGAAATCCTACTCACCAAGAAAGATTCCTCCCTTTCAATATTCCGAAGTATACGGTTACTCCGGATCTTCAAGCTCGTCAGACCAGTTCGATACCAATTGCTGGTTGTCGTCAAAACTATGACGAGTGTAATGACGTTTTTCGGATTACTGTTTCTCTTCATATTCGCATTTGCTATCCTTGGGATGAACTTGTTCGGTGGAAAGTTCATATTCAAGAACGCCGAGGGAAAGGAAGTAACCTCCCGAAGTAATTTTGACAACTTTTTGTGGGCTATGGTATCCGTGTTTCAGGTACGTTTAGTCTTTATGTAAAAAAAAAAAATTCATTCGCAGGATAAAAAATATTACTATCAGTTGATTAGGTTTATTAAAGGCTTTTGTTAAAGACAACGGAGTTTATGTTCTGAAAGGCGTTGTTGTCATTGTTGTTGTTTACTCGCCCAGGATTCTTAGATACATGAAAAACTGAATTTTCTCTTGAAACAGATCCTTACTCAAGAGAACTGGAATCTCGTAATGAATGACGGGATGCGTGCCACGAGCCAATGGGCAGCCTTGTATTTCATCGCACTGATGGCTATCGGGTACTATGTATTATTTAACCTACTGGTCGCTATCCTCGTGGAAGGATTCACAAATCCTGGGGTAAATTAGTGGAACTGAGTTTATTTTTTAGGATATTAACAGTAGCAGTTAAAGTTAACAATGGCATTTTTGACAGCTTCATCACACAGGATTAGATAGCGACAGATGTCTAGATTTACAATATTTCTCGCTCTGAACATTGCTGCTCATAACAGCAAGCTAACCAACGAATCCTGTTAAGCTCTGGCGGCGCATTCGACTCCATAATCGGTAGATCTTGGGCAATCGTTTCTTTTGAAGGGCCCCAGGATAGAGTGCTTTATTCCATTCTTCAATACATTTGTTTTCAACGCATCCATCGAAACACAAGTAAATTTTACTTGACTCATTAGCTTGACTCAATGCATTTTCCTCCAGAAAGGTAAAACTACTCCAAAGAACAAACAAGAAGTATCAGACAACAAAGATACACCCAAAACAGCCGTTAAAGAAGTTGAAAAGCCTCACATTTTGATCTCTAGTAAAGATTCTGAGGAACCTTGCCCCGGACATTATCACCAGGAACCAATTCCAGAATTCTGCAGTCATGGCTTGAGAAATGCTTTGGGGACGACATTTCAACTGAGTTCGAACTACACACCGAGCCTCACGTTAGAAACGTTGGAGCCATTACAGGAGAAGAGATCCCCAACTGCTTCGCAGCCAACGGAAGCGAACATGACCATGCCACAATTAAAGCGTATGCGTCAGGCGTCAGCGTCAATTATACGAAAAACTGAGCAAAAAGCTCATAGGGCGAACTGGAGTTATGACGAACCCAACTTCTCGGCGCAAAATAGAGGCTTCCTTAGTGAAGATAGTGAAACCAGAGGCAAATTAAATCTTGAGGTCTCTGAAAGAGAGATGAGCAACAAAGCTTGTGGTAAAACACTCGAAGAAATTGTCTCTCCGACCATAGCAAACAGTATGTCGTTTCCTAATCAATTGGAAGGACCAACAACGTCTCGATCTCGACCTGAGTCACCCCAGATGATCTTTCAAAACAAAAGCAGCGATGAGATGTACCAACTGCGGGAATGTCATCTTTCCGAAACTCAGGTACTACCAAGCGATCTTTCTGGAGTTTGAAGTTAGCCATATATTAAGAAACCACGTCTTTGCATTTTGGCCTTGAAAATGTTGTTTGGGACGTGAAAGAGATTGGAAAGTCACTATCAGAAAACCTTGACCAGATCAGTTATAACTCAATGTCAACTCTATCGAACTCCTTTACTTGATCATGTTTTATTGGCATGAAAATGAGTATGTTATTTGCACACTGTCGATGATAAACATTTTAGGGGCAGTCCATTTCGTATGTGTTTAACCTTAAATTATCTTTCTCTTGGTAGAAGAAGAGTTCAAGGAAAGTTATCAAGATAACAGACAAAAGATCTGACTGGTCTCTTTTTCTATTCTCCCCCTCAAATAGGTAAGCTGCTTTTTCACTTATTGGCTTTGATTTCTCCAATTCGACGTGGTATTTCTATAAAACGTTTTAAAGTACATCGGGAAAAGCAGACATAGTTTGATGCTACTCTGGTTTAAAGATTTAATGTATGTAACCGTGGTGTTACAATTCATAAGGTCTATGAATTGTAACTTTACGGTTATATTGATTAAACCTTTAAACCAGAGAAGCATCAAACCATGTCTGACTGTCCACCTGGTTGCCTTGTAAACTTTATCATATCTTACCGGGAAACAATTCTAAGAAAAGGCCCTATCGCGAACGCTTTCAAGCCGCAAACGGAATACAGACTTGCGTATGAATTAAAGATTAAGCTGACTTCGTCAACGAATTTAAACTCCTTCGACTTCTCTGAGTTTTATGATTCGCCACTAGAAAGAAATTATTTAAAATAATTATCAAATGCCTGCAAAAACTTTCCTAAACAGATCACACTTCTGGATATCTACGATGATCGGTTATTTACTGCATTATCACTAGATAAAGCCATCTCTGTTTTCCTTCCTTATCAGCTTGCGCCGCACCGTAACAGGTGTGTGTGAACACAAGTATTTTGACTACGTAGTTCTAGTTTTTATCTTGATAAGCTGTGTGGTCCTGGCACTAGAGGAGCCTAACATTCCACGAGATAGTAAGGTAAGCTTTGGTGACTTGACTCAACAACATTTTGTGACCATTCTAACTTTCCACCAACAAAATAGCAGCCGCCTTCATACCACTTCGAGTAACATTTATTAATTCCAGTGAATATTCATTTGGTTCGTTATCTTTTAATTTATCAAGATTTTCAATTTATTTTCAGAAGCGTCAAATAATCGACATCGCGATGCTTATATTAACAGTCATCTTCACCATTGAAATGTCAATGAAGGTACGTTTTTTGATTAAGATTCATGGTGTCAATTGATATGTAATCGATGATGGGTAGTCCGGCTTGAATCGTTCGCAAAAGTTCACCCACTCACTCACTCACTCACTCACTCATACTCGTTTTGCCCGTCAAATTCCTTTGGGAACCGTCCAAAATAAAGCCTGTCAAGTAAGTAAACCTGAAAATTATACAATGTAAACCTGAAAATTATATCGCATAGATCATAGCCCAGGGCTTTCTTCTGGGGCCTGGTACTTACCTAAAGGACAGTTGGAATATCCTGGATGGCATACTTGTACTTTTCTCATGGATTGACGTCATCATTACGTACAGCCCCGCCAATGCACCGGAAGTACTTGGAGCTCTCAAAGTCTTCCGGGCGTTAAGGACTCTGAGACCTCTGAGGTAAGTCTGTTCATTCCATTGGAAGGCACTTTACTCAATAGGCAGAACGTTCAGGAAGACACGGTCTGTGAAAGGGGCCATTTTATAGGCCAACAGTACATAGGAAGGTAGGGATTTCTCTGGGTGAGGTATGGAAAAGGGTAACGAAAACTGCAATCCTCTTTCTTAAACGGGTGTAATGGGAGATTTAAGATAATGCCTCGGAGAAACCTCGCTTAATCTTTTTTTTTTCCTTTAAGAGTAAAAGGTATCTGAGGGATGAAATGTTTTACCGTAGGTACACAGACCTGATTTCAATTTTGTATGGAATGTTTGCTTGTCTTACACTTACTTACAAGTGGAACATAAAAGGTTGCGGAACCCACTGCGTATAATCTCTGCGTAAAATTCATAAATAACCCAGCTGAAAAGGGTATCTGTTACAGCGAAAACTGCTTTGGATACCGTGGCTGATACACCGCGGATGTAGAAGGTTCCTTTACATCGCTGATAGAACTTAGGCTTGGGAACGAAACAAATGACATAAGCGCGAATAAATTTCATCTTCATTGATGACCTCTTTCCAATATATCAGGATGATTCGCCGAGCTCCAGGGCTTAAGCTGGTCGTTCAAACTCTGTTATTCTCCTTGAAGCCGATTGGAAACACTGTCCTAATAGCTGCCATTTTCTTCGTAATGTTTGGAATCTTAGGAGTCCAGGTAAGAGTAGTTTTTTTTAGGAACAAATTCTTCGTTTTCCATAGTTTCTCGTAATGATATGACTGTCGAACTTTCCTAAAAATCTATCTTTGGGATACAGTTTTTCCTTTCACATGCTCAACCAAGATACTTTTAAGCAGTCCTTTACGATGCGATGTTATTTCATAGTAACATTTTACACACAGGGTAGAAAGGTTAAGAGTTTAAGTGGAATAATATTTTTCTTGTTTTATTTTCTTTCTTCAGATTTTTAAGGGAAGGTTTTATTATTGCGATGGAGACAGTGAGGTGAAGAACAAGGAAGAATGCTCGGCAAGAGGGCAAGGGGTCTGGAAAAATCGCATGTACAACTTTGACAACCTACTAAATGTAAGTATTCACTTAAATCATTCTTAGTTTTTCGGAATATCGGTTCCCCACGAGTAAAACATTGAGAGTTGGTAATGTTAAATGTTGATTGCCAATCGTAGCAGAATATCAAACCGATTAACCATGAGATCTTTACCTAATCACACACGATGCATGGTTTTAGTCAAGTGTACAATTTAATAATCTGGTGAATAAAGTGAAACATTTTGTTTTCAATTGAAAGTCGTTCTAACCGTTCTCTAATTTATAGGCACTGATATCCCTTTTCGTGTTTTCCACACGGGATGGATGGGTAGAAATTATGCACCATGGTATCGATGCCGTTGGATACGACCAACAGGTGTAGTATTTGTTAACAAGCCTGAGGCTATCTACAGGCCTTGAGTGATAACATCCGAGGCGTGTAGTGCCGGTCTTATGCAAGTCATGCAATTTGTCCGATACTTACTCATTCGTCGAGATGGAATGAATATCTGTCACCTTAAAGGAAGCTTGTCTAGTCCAAAGGCACGACATTACGCTTCAGGAACCTATTCCAGTTACGAAATTAATTCCAAAAAACCCCAATAATCTGTTTACTACATGTACCCAAGGTTTAAAATTTCATTTTCCTATACACATTCTTGGCTCGGTAAACATAGGGAGGGGGAGGTGTGTCTGAAATTTTTTTGTTGTTCTTTATATTAGACGAATTTTTCTTTTTCAGCCCATCAAGAATTACCGCGAATGGAGACTAGCATATTTCATTCCCTTCCTGATGTTGGGAGGTTTTCTTGTTCTTAACATGATTGTGGGGGTCGTTGTGGAGAATTTTCAGCGTTGTCGAGAAAGACTAGAGGACGAAGAAAAGCAGAGAGGACGAAGAAAATTGCTCGAGAAGGCGAGAGAGAAGAACCAAGAAGGTAAATTTAACTTCTTCTTTTGGTGGCCTTGACAAATGTTAGGAGTATTTATCATTTCTCTTCAATCAACGATCCTCCGTGTTTTAGTCTGTCCGTCTATCCTAGTCCTGATCCTGGGCCCTTCTTTCATGCACCACATTAAGTCTTTAATTCATGATTCATTCACTCACACATTTCGTCTGTCTTTTTGTTGGTCTGTCCGTCCGTCAGTCGATCACTGAATCAGTCAGTCAGTCAGTCAGTCAGTCAGTTAGTCGATCAGTCAGTCAGTAAGTGCGTCAGTCAGTCAGTCAGTTAGTCGATCAGTCTGTCAGTCAGTGCGTCAGTCAGTTAGTCCGTCAGTCAGTCAGTCAGGCCATCAGTCAGTCAGTCCGTCTGTCAGTCAGTCAGTTCGTCAGTCAGGCAGTTGGTCTGTCAGTCACTGAGTCAGTCAGACTGAACCCATGCAATTCATCAGTGGTCATTCAGAAACACAAGTTGTACAGTAACTGATTTTTTTTATTTTTCTGAATCTTACATCATTTATAGAAGTTGACCGAACATATTATGAGAGTTACAGTCCTTGGCGACGTCATATTCATGACATGTGTCTTCATCTGTACTGGGATGTGGCCATCGCCATTGTGATTTGTTTAAATGTCCTCTGCATGTCCCTCGAACATTACCAGATGTCCGAGGTGAGAAATATCAGGAACCTGGCTTACTTTTCCTTATCTCTTTTCATATATTTATTATAATGATCGTTCTGAACTATATATCATTCATCAAAGAAATCCTTTACCCTTGTTTGCAACCTGGTAGTCTTCGATCAGACTGAAAAAACTTCCATATCGACTCTTAGAGATGAAAAACGGATGACGGTTTAATCTTAAACTCTTGTTACTCGTCTCGCGAAGCAAGCTGAATAGTTTTATCTCATGACAGTTTAGATGACTGTGTTTATTTCGTATTTTCGCATTTCAACGTCTTACACTTGCACCAAATTTCGGCAAAAGACCACCGCTAAGGCCAGTTCTTCCTGGAGAAGATGTTAATGATATATTTATTAGCATATCCAGGTTTTGATTTTTATCCGATTTGTGGGTTTGTGGAACGCTTGGGAACATCTTTTTATCGATACATGCCCGCTATAGACCTGTATATTATCGTTAATGACATCCCCATATGATTTTCATTTTCAGGTGTTTGACACTTTTGTGAATACCGCAAACTATTTTTTCGCTTCCGTGTTTGTGCTAGAGGTGATATTTAAATTTATCGCCTTTGGATTCGTGCGATATTTTAAGGATCGGTAAGTGTAGTTTCCTCGTGTGCAGGTATCAGCCATGTTTAATTTTTTTGTTCCGGTTTTGTTCACTAAGAAACGGAAACCTTCAGAGGGTCTCAATGAGTTGACGATAAGAGAATGTCGATTGATATTCTCTTGGTTGATGGCTTTTACGACTAACGGTTAAAATTTTTCAATTTTTATGCCTAACAGTTAAACTTTTTAGCCGTCTTACAACTAACAGTGAACCATATTGATATTCTCCCCTCATCTTTTACGACGCCAATTTGGAAGCTTATCTCATGAGGGAGCACTAAACGACCAAATCAATTTTAGCGTATATGTGACGTGTTCCTTGTTTTTGATAAACTTCACTGATTGAATCCGCAGGTGGAATATCATTGACTTAGTTATTGTGCTTATTACATTGACCGGAATACTTATCTATTCCTTGAGCACCATAAAAGCCACGGTGCCGATCAATCCCACTGTTGCACGATCTCTGAGAGTACTACGAATTATCCGAGGTTTGTACAAGTTTTACCGAGCTTTATCAATTAATTTGTCACTCAAATGCAACATTTCAGGGTTTTTTTTTTTACTAGAATCACTGAATCTACCTCTCCCTCCTAGAAGAGGTGACCTTTGAGAATTGGACATAAGTGATCTCAGTCCCACTCCCAGGTTTTTTTTGGGATTCCCAAACAGAGAAGAACAAAAAAACTTCGCGGTCGACTTTTTCCCTCTTCAGGACCCCTCTGTGATCCTTTGCAATGATTTTTCTTTCACCACTTATGCTATGCTGAATTTATTATTTGTCCCAATCGACAAATGCATACACACTCCACCAAGTAACAGATGACTCGGGAAATGGTTTTCAAGGTTCTGAATCAGTGGATGTCAAAGTTCGGTTAAACTATTTCATGCACACAGCCCACTAGCATCACTTAATGTTCTGCTTTAATTTGCCTTCATTTCAGTGCTCAAGCTCGTAAAACTAGCAAAGGGAGTCCGCTCGCTGCTGGACACCTTGTTCGAGGCTCTTCCTCAGGTTAGCACAAAGATTATCAACTATGATTCTTAGCGTTATGTCTGAAGACAGCCAATTAATCAGCACATTTAATTACTTCGTAATCATTGTACTATGATAATATTTCTGCATTAAGACTGACCTCATTTCAATGACAATGTTACCTTTCTTGTCAAGAAGTTCGTGTTCCTATCTGCTTACGAACGTTTAGCGGAATAAGTACGAAATTATTCCTTTCATTATTTTTCTTATTTTCCTCCAGGTCGCAAACCTTGGGCTGTTGTTCCTGCTTTTATTTTTTATCTATGCCTGTTTAGGTATCCAACTATTTGGAACATTAGGTGAGGAAATAATTCATCCAAATTTCTATCTTACAACATTTAGCATACGGTGCTTTCTATCGCCAATAACAAAGAGAACAAGGTACAAATTAATTTGTTTTCTTCGCAAAAGCCGTTTATTAAATGATTCGGAATAAAACTCAGTCTGAAAGCGAACCTTTCGTAAATTTTTTTATACGTGAAAAGCTCAAGTGAAGTTTTCCGTCCGTTTTACAGAGTGCACTCCCTCACAGCCTTGCCAAGGACTCGGTCCGCGTGCACACTTCAAGGATTTTGGAACTGCAATGCTGACTTTATTTAGGATAGCAACAGGAGATAATTGGAATGGAATATTAGAGGTAAAGGAAACAAATAATTTGCAAATAACACATTAGTTTCTAAAAAGGTGATGCGTGTATCTGACTGAAACAGAGTCATATCACTTTCCACTTTGTGTTTATGAAGCTAAGCAAGCAGGCCCTCATTATTAGCAGCGCTTCGGTTAGAGCATTTCTTCGCCCGCGGGAAAGTATGAGGAGGAGGCGAGCGGTCTGCAAGGAGTTCAGGGGTCTATTAGAGCCAGACCCCTGACAAACATCTCCCCGATTCGTCTCAAATTTTTCCGGGGGCAGAAAAATTAACGCGCGTTCCTGCAGCGCTGACGATGAGGAACTGCTAGAAATGTGTAGTGTAAAGGATAAAAAGGATTCGGCTGAATTTAAACACCAGATTTGCCCAGAACTTAATTTCTGAATTATTTCTCTTTTAAGGACACTTTACGACTGAATTGTTCCGAGTCTGCAGAATGTGAAAAGTGCTGTTTTGTTAGCCATTGCATAGCGTCGCTGTTCTTTGTGACGTTCGTGCTGGTGGCGCAGTTTGTACTGATCAACGTTGTCATAGCTGTTCTTATGAAGCATCTGAAAGAATCTAAGGAAAAGATTGCGGCAAATATGGCCGCTAAGGACTTGGAGAAGAAATTGAAACTTCTGACTACAACAGCGAAGAATTTCATCCTGGCTAAAGCTAAGAGAAATGATCTGTCTATCTCAAGGCGACATTCCGTAGTACAGCTCGGCTTAGGAGGAATAGAACTGACTCAGCTCAAACATTGTACCCCTACCAAAAATATTGATTCGTCTTTTCGCGCAGAGTTTGCCAAGGCCGATACAATTTTCCAGGAATTTTTGCTTTTACATGAAAATCTGCAAAAAGTGAAAATGACGATCTGCCGCACTGCGTCACACAACATTGAGGTCACGCCAACTCCTGTCACGCCATCTCTTCGTCAAAGACGAAATAGTTTCTGCGGGGTTAGAGAGCTTCACGACTCAAAACCTAATTTAGCGAAATTTACTGTATATAAATCTGGAGCCAAGCTTTAACCTTATACTGGTTTGTATTTGTAATGAAGAAAGTGTTACACGCAGGATAGACTAAAGTTCTTTAACCTTCTCTGTGTATCACTGTCAAAAATAAGTTATTCATTTTTCGAGGAAAAAATATTTAATTCTTGTCAGGACAAAGATTAAATCGCCAAAAAGATATCTTAAGAATGTATAATAGAATTATAAGGTGAAAAAAAATTTAAAACACGCTATTTTTACAAATTCTTATGTAACTGAGAGTGTTTTATTATTATATGTACATAAATCGATAGGCTGTGTATATAATTGGAATACACATAAATAAAGTGACAAGCAGGCTCTTCTAGTTAAGCAACCAGGCCTTTTGTTTTGTTTAGACTCCCTCGAGGATGACGGGAATTAGCGAAACATATCGTGGGCGTGGCTCAAATGTCTTCGATATTCAACAAATTTTGGCCTATTTTCGTACAAAGAAATTATCTGGAATAATAACGATTCATTCGACCACACGCCTACTCACCTTCAGTTTAATGACCTGTTTTGAGCTCTTGGCACCACCATCGTTTTCGCTGTTTACAGTTTGGAACAATAATTTAGGTTAATTCTATTTACAAGTAACACATGCTGACGTTTTTACGAAATGAGATTGCGAATTTAGCTCCTTCTGAATGGGGAAAATTTTGTCTCAGTAAATTTTTTTTCATAATACATTTAGAGATTGTCCTAGCTATTATTGAAAGAGTTGATTTTGAAAGCTTCTGATCTTCCGCCGCGTTGCGTAAAAAAAAAAAATACAAATTACCGAATATAGCGCATTTCACGTTTCATGATGAATATTTCCTTATTATGTCTTTCAGCAACTGAGTAAGATAACAGCTTTCACGAATATTTATTTTCGACAGCATGGACAGAAATACTCATTTCAAAAAATAAACAAACATGTACCTTGCTACAATCGATTTAATTAAAGCATGTTGAAAAAAACTTGATGGCTCCTACTATTTTGGACTTCACGGGTCGTCCACATGTGTCTGGTTTGTATGGAGTTTTATAGGAATTGAGATTTTAATTGCATCTACAGGTACAAAGAAAAAGTGCGATTTGGTTTCACTCGAGCTTAGTAGAAATTTAGTAATTTATTATGATGATTATGATAATCCGTGAAAATTCAGTTTGTCTTGTCTAGTGATAAACACCTGCTAAAAGTATTCATTGTCATGGCAACTAAAATTGCGAAACGGATTTAACATGGCACGTAATTAAAAACATTCAAGACTGCCAAAAGTTGGTAGAATTGAGGTCCCTAGAACACTCTCGACGTCAACAGCGGTTGCACTCATTACTTCGTTTTGAGAACTTTTAAAGCATCTTCAAAATGGACCAGATTGAAGCTTTTCTGCACAATATCTCACGGATTAGAAAAAGAGAAAGTCAATTACCTTCCTCCAACGCTTGTACCAATTAGCGTTAGTGAAACTCTTAAATCAATGTATTCAATGTTTTTTATATCCGAAGATCGACGAAGACACACAACAATAATTACCTCGCACGTTTTAAGGAGCGTTTGCATAAGCTTGACTTTAGCTCGTCTTCTTGCTTTCTACCGCACAGAGTGAATGGCCTTCTCAGATACATAACGGTATACTGTTTACATTCAGAAGAATGTATCTCAGAAAAAGCGAAATTGTTAATGATGTGTTTTCCCATACACTTGGAGGCCTTAGACAGCCGATCTCGAATGGTTTTATGGTTCAAGGAACAGCGATACGGAGCAAAAGAAATATGCAACAATTATCACATTCAAAAGGAAGTGATAGAGTTGTAAAAGGAAAGGAGATTTCTATCAGGCCAGCACAGGAGAAATCGTCGCAAGAAAATTTCGTCTGTAATAAACCGTTTTCTCCTCGATTAAGGGTGAAAATTAACAATAAAACCGAAAGACGGCAGGAAGGCAATAATACTCAAATAAATGAAACGTCAGAGATGTCAATAAAATCATCAACTGAAATTTTCTCCACAGAACTGCAAAGAACACAGTTTGGGCTCAGATTATTGAGGAATCAAAAAGAGTCTGCTCTACACAATTTGGCAACGAAATACAAAAGCGAAGCCGATAGTCGAACGGAAACACCAGGTGTATGTAGAAGTCGCGTCGACTCTCCTTCACAAAGAAAGAGCATTGCAAGAACGAGAAGTCAATCGACAAACGATATATCAACTTTGTCACTGAATAATGAAAGGATAAAAACAGATGGCTGTCAACAAACCGAAGACAAACTTTACTGGAGCGGTGGAACATGTGAACAAAACGTGAATTTAAAGCGGTCATGTAGCGCGAATAGGGAAGAAAAGAGAATCGAAATCAAAGGGAAAAGGTATGGTGCGGGTAGCGCAGGAAGGATTAAGGCCTTACACTGTGCCTTGAGTCGAAAACGTGACGCTGCGGATCAAAAAATACCGGACGAGGACTACCAAAGGATAGATTATGAATATTTTCTCAAATTAAAGGCATTTTCTCGTCTTTCTCGACTTTGTGATGACTCTGTTATCGATGCAGTAGCGAAAGAGAACTCAGCACACAGTATCGAAAAAATCAGTCTCCCTCCAGTTATTGGATCGAAATGGAAACTCAAAGATCGTTTTGTTTCTGGGCTGACTTTCAATCCGCCGACAGCCGTATTAAGAGAATACACAAGAATTTCTCAAGCACGAGTTGTGGATTTCTCTGACTCGTCCCTTGGCGGCCAGGTACTTTAAATGAAAACCATCAGCAACAATTTTTTCCAGCTGACAAACCTTTTTATTGCTACTTGTGCTTGTTAAAGGCTGAAATTGCATGTTCAACGACAGCTGACTTGCGCTTCAAATTGAAACTTGTAGCTGATATATTTATTTATGTTACAAATTAGTCTTCATTTGTATTCAGCACCGGGAAATTAGTCCATCTGTTGCCTAAATAAGGCTGATTTTGTAGCCATACTCGATTTTAAAATTTGTGTTTTCGGTTTACTTGGAATGTGTTAGAAGTGGATGTTGTTTTTTTGAAATGCCGTGGTTTCAAGCACTATGAAAGAGTTGCGCCTGCTTAACTTTAGAGACCTACAGAAGGAAGACTTTCGAATAAAACCTACCTGAACATAACTTATTTTTGAGAAAGAAATATCCCAGTACCGCATCAAAAACGCCGTAACTGAGGTAGCTTCATTCCCCAAATTAAAGGACTTTGGAAAATCAACTTGTGAAGAATTCCAGTGAATAATATTCCAATTGCTTCCGCACAGATAAGAAAAAACTCACCTATCGATATCTCAGTTTTATTCCGTGAGGGGACGCAAATCGTCTGCACTGTAAGTACATATCAAGCTCTGTAGGTGAATTAATCCCATTTTAATCCCATCCGATCTCACAATTTACGAAAACTTCATTATTCTTGTGAAAAATGATAGCCGTCTTATTGAAACTTGATGACAAGTATAAGCCGGCAAAGAAAACAGTGCAAAAGCAATTATCTGTCACATCGATGTCAGCAGCAACAGGATTATGACACCTTACAGTCCCCATACATTTTCTTAGACTAAAAGTCTAAGAAAATGTAGGGGACTCTCAGGGATACTTACAGTACAGACGATTTGCGTCCCCTCATATGTTTGAGCTTGAAGATGTTGTTATTCTTAATTTTTTACACAATACCAGGCCATTTTTTCCTTTCCTTTTTTTATCGATTGGTAACACAGCCATCCAGTTCAATCATTGCCTAGGCAAAAGGCAAAATTGACTTTACCAGCTGCTGTTGTATTGTTACAGAAGCTCCCCTCAAGTTCTTCACAGTGATCATATTTATATATATAATAAAGCGACAGTGTCTTAGAATTCAACTTCTGCGGAAGTCGAACAACATAATTATTGGGAATTTTTCTTCAAAATAACATAATTAGGTTAAGGTTAATTTTTCATCGGTTAAATTTTGCGAGGAAAATTCAGCGTTCAGAGTTGCGTTAAAATCAATAAAGTTGAACGCTAATGATTGAAGGCGGAAACGCTCCGGCGACTTCTTTCCGACGATCTACTTTTGTTTCTATTTTCAACAAAAGCTTCATTTCTATATGATGTATCGTGAAGTTCTCTATCTACGCGTTGCGAAGTTTCCGCCGTCTTTGGCGCAACAAGGTTCCTTTTACGAAGCGGCCGACCACACCACAGTAAGGTCTTCAACCTCTTGCTAAACGGAACACCATGCAAGCTGTACACAATAGGGTTGATGCAAGAATTGAATATAAGAAGCAGAATTACATGCTGAATTACTGGCCAGTCCTTTTCCACGAACTGAACTGGAGAAGAAGAAATACGATGCTCTTTGGGATCCAGGCTAAGATATAAATCATACTGATGATGAAAGCCATTCGGGTGACTTTTCTCCTGTTGAAAATGGAGAAGATTATGAATTTAAAAAGCAGATGAGATTATGGTGACTGGCGTTGCAATACCAGATCGTTAAGCTGTAGAAATCTAACATTAAGATGTTGGTAGATCGAGCAAGGCCTCTTTCGCTTGCTTCCAACAGACTTTGCATTTGTCTATTTATCATCTTTTTTTTTATTTTTAATTTGATTATAATAAATACATCACGTATGCAAAGAACTTAAATATACTGAATTTTAAGGAACTCCTTAAGTTAGCGCCAAAAGGATGGATGCGATGAACAAAGGAAAAAAGAAGATCCAAGCAGATAAATCCTTCCATGATCCAATCTCTTGTTAACGCTGGCCACGAACCCTGAGAAAATGAAGTGGAAAATGAACTAGCTGTGAACGAGTCTCTGTCTCCGACGACCTTCGGACTTCTCGAATGTTTCCGTATGCCCCGCACGAATTTGTCGCTGCTTCGTAGATAGTGCACACCCTAGTAATCTTGGTCGTGAGGATAAGTGCTCATTTCCAGGATTTAAGAATGCAGCAAAGACATCAATAGAGTGGTCAGTATATATATTGTCCGATGGGTTAAATTGGGGAAGAGAGGTGTGTGCAAACTCAAAACAAAAAAATATACATTCTTTGTTAAATTTTGCGCTATATTTACAGCATTATGTTTTATATCAGAACCTCTTTATTAATTCACACCGCCTCTGGTGCTGATCCACAATGTCCCACTTTATCAAACTTATCAGATTTCTGCCATCCTCTTGGGAAGCTAGGTTGTAAATAAATGAAACCATTTTAAGCAACAGCAAAAAAATTATCTTTACATATGAAACATGAGAGCTGAGAGCAGAAAGGTTAAGTAGAAATATTCTCCCGTCCTTGATTCCATTTCGATCAAGCCACCATTATAAATTTTCCAACCTCATTAGCTAAGCGAGAAATACTGGGTCGAGTTCGTAGCATCCACCATCTTGGACACGACAAAGTAGTGTAGGTTTCACTCTGTATTTCGTGTTTTGGCTCCAGCAATTCAAACATGAGTCGCAAACAAACTCCAAGTGAGTTCCTAAAGCAAATCATAGGCCGTCCTGTTGTGGTGAAGCTCAATAATGGCGTTGATTACCGAGGTAAACGAGATTTGTTTTTAATCGCACATTGAAGTGTTTTATGATGCATGTGTAGCATCTAGAATAACAGCGTTCAAATTCAGAAAAAAATTAACGTTTTTGTGATATTTTATAATATCTCACATATATCGAAGTTATCCTTATTACTCATCCCGTACACTCTCAACAGCTTGTGGCTCACTTTTTTGCATCTGGCCTGTTCTATTTAATTTCAGGATGTAAATTAATTATAAAAACCCTCTAATGAATTAAAAAACAAAACAAAACAAAAAGAGAGAAAAAAAAGTAAGGCCAGCTACAATTATCACTGTTTGCTTGATGTCTAATATTGTCAATTTCAACAGTTTTCTTATTTCAGTATCACTCTTAGGTTCAATTCTTTTGAGAATTAATTAAATTCTTTCTGAAAGATTCATGCCTCTTCAGAGAAGAATTTGTAAGTTCAGATTCTTTGTTCTCAGAGAAGAACTGTGATTGTTAGGAGAAGAAATCAGTTTCTGGAGGAAAGAACTGTGGTCCACCCTCTAAGGTTAAGGTTATGTAAGGAATTCCTATGAAAAGAAAATCATTTATTTCAGATTTTAGTTGGAAGAGTCCTGGATTTTTTTTTTCAAAAGAAAACAAAATGCTTTTGACAAGAACCAGGCATTAAGGTATTCTTCTGAAAAGAAACATTGCTTACCTTGAAAGATGTATTATTTGATTCATTACAGCAGAATCTCACATTTCACAAGTTTATCAGAAGAATTACTCTTCTTCTCTGAAGACCCAATATTTGTTTGGAAGATCATCATTTTGTGATTCTTCTTTAGGGAATATCTCCCCTTCACTCAAGAAAGGGTATTTGTCTTTTGAAATAATAGTAAAGATCTTTATTCTTCTCCAGAGGTTGACCTTGCTTTCATTGGTAAATACTCAAATACAAAATGATTTTTGTTGGAAAAATCTTTGTGCTCCTCTAAAGACTGATCATTCTGTTGAGTAGATTTATCTCAAATGGGTTTTTTTAATCAATAAAACAATTGCTTTTTTTTCACCTAGCAGATTAAATATTAGAAATAATTAAACATCTTTGTGTTGTAATAAATTTATCATGAGCTAAATAGGACAGAGCTGAGTAAAGCCTCTGCCTGTCACAACACTTGTGATGCCTGAACAACCATTTTGGTAAAAACAAGAGAGTGGTAATTTTTAAGACAAGCAACTTTATGTTGATGAGTATTTTTGAAGCGCACATATTTCCCTAGAAGTAGCAAAACCTAAAAAAATATATCTTTGTGATCAAACTATAACATTTTTGGGCAGAATTACAACAAATATTCTAAGATTAAGCCATGGTGTTTCTCAGATAATTTGTGGCTCTTTAAAAGGACATTCTATGGTTATACTTTTTTCCTCATGGCAAGACCTTAGTGCAGTCTAATATGAAGTTTATGTATGGACCTAAAATTCACCCACTCACTCACATATTCACCTACCCCATTCTAATCTTTTAGACTTTTAATTTTTTTTTATTAAAAGTAGGATTTAACCATTATATCCCCTGCTTCCCCTTTTGGGTTCTCTGCTGTCCCCAAAGTTGGGCTATTGTATATTCTGTTCAAATATGTGGGGGGTGGGACAAAGGCCAAAATTTTTCCCAGAGTACATCAAGTTGAACATAATTGAAAATGGTGTCTTTCATGTTGGGCCTTTGCTAAAATGATAAAGGTGTGTTTTCCTTCTTTTTGCTCCATGCTTGAGCAAACTACACCTTTGTACATATACTATAGACCTCACAAATGAAGAGCAAACCTGGAGAAGATTACTCAACTGAGAGAAATAGGCTTTCATAAGTATCAAAATTGACAATGACAACAGTTGCAACAATCTATTTGTGAAAAATATTTTGTGTATAGCAGAAGCAATTTAAACTCTTGTTTTCAGATTGATTTTTGCTTATCTGCTTGGTTGTCATTTGGCTATATTTCAAAAATATTTAGCAGCTGATTTGAGCTTTTATGGATTTCATTGGATTTGACCAGTTTCTATTTGTTACACAGTTACCTTGTAAGCTATTTGTCCAGCTATGTGAATCTTATGAGTCAGATTTTTTGTGTGCTGTTGAATTTGGTTACTTCCTTGTGCAATATTAAACATGTCCATCATTCTCCCATATTTTTTTCCTGTTTGGCCATCAATTTATTTGACTTTTAAAAAAGGTTGTGTTGAAGCCTCGCCATTAGGATATTGTTAGGTATATTTCTACTGTTAGCACTGCAGCAAAAGCTTTTAAAGTTAGTAATAAAAAGGTAGTTTAAGGGCAAGTCACAAAATATTGGAGATGGCAAACGGCTAAAGTTCTCATCACCCAGTTGAATAATTAAGACATTCCATGAGGTAGCTCCAAGGAGCCTTTGATTGACATAATGTCTATTGGTGTTTTTCACTGTCATGCAATTGAAATCTAAAGTCAAAAGTACTGAATGCCCAACTCCAAGAGAGCTATTGTCGGTAGAATATAGATATACAACTTGCCCCAAGTTTCAGGAGTGTAGGGTCTTATGTGTAACACAAACATTTGTTGTCTTGTTTCACCACTAAAATGATTAATATTTATCCACTGTGAACTCACAAATGTTCATCTAAACACATTTGATTAAATGATCAGATAACAAAATGTTACACTTTAAAATCATATTTTTCATACGAAGCAGCCTCTCAGGCAGCTATTCCTACATTGAATAAATATGAAATTTGAATGGCTCTATTTTCAAAACGGAGAACCCCACATTGCTGAAACTGCTTTCTAAAAGGTTAATGTTTAGCAGAAATTTTGTAAAACTGCAGCAATAGCCCCTGTCATTTTGAATTTTTGTTATTAATGTTACATGAAAACCAAGGATACTTGATATGTCTCAGTCTGGGCAGAAAAACTGCAATTTTTCCAAAATTTCACAATTTTACTATTAATGATATAGTGTTGCTATGGTTTCACATCTGAGTTTGGAAAAGTCTTTGATCTGCATGAGTGGTTTTATCTCTATTGTTTATAGTCATACTTTAATTTAAGGTTTTTATGTTTGCAGAGAGGTACATAACTATTGCTATCTGTGTTTTCTTGCAGGAGTGCTTGCCTGCCTTGATGGTTACATGAACATTGCTCTAGAACAAACAGAGGAGTACGCTAACGGGCAGGTAAGGAAAATTTCATTTACATATGCAAGTTCTCATATTTAAGATAAGTGTTACTGTAGTTCTTGAACTGTTTTAGTTCATATTTAAAATGACAAAACTAAAAAAACTTCTACAAATTTTTTATATAATTAAACCATTTGAGCATGTTGTAGATTTGAGGACTTGTAATCCTTTTGACAAGGTGGCATATAATATTATCCTTGAATTTCATCATATTTATAGAAATTGTAGCATTATTACCAAATTATCAAAATGCCAAAACATGATAGGGAAAAAAAATGTTCATACAACAATGACATGTAGAGTAGATGAAGATAATACCATTGTGGGTGTGATGGCCTAATTGAATTAACATCGGTTTGCACCATTGTAAATCAGTATTGTAAGGGACTTTCAAAAGCAGGATCAAACAAAGTTATTGGCAATCTGATGATTTTAGGTAGGAGAGGATAAGCTTTAGGACTTGAGCTGATTTCACACTTGTTCTCCTGAAGGCTCCATCACTTAATTAAAATTGTTATCAAGCTGTTTTTCAATGTTAAATCCTAAGGGAACCCCTGTACCTTGTTCTTCTGCCCCAGCCCTCCCTCCTAGTTTCACAATAGAACTTTCAAAACATTACTGTCTAAAATGAACTTTTATCCTGTGGCTTGTGAGGCATCCTTTCTTCAATTGGACTTCCAATAAGGAGGAAGGATGAATTCACTCAGAAGTAATTAACATGTAACTTGTCCTTATAATATCAATTTTGTTATCTGGCAAATGGATAATGAGAATACTCAAATTTTTCAAAGGTAGAAGATGTTATCTTGATTTACACTGAAACACCAAATTATTGATTGTAAACTAATTTACCATGAAATATGTGGTAGCTAGAGGGGAGAATTAACAATCTTGGGAGTTTAAGGGTGAAAAAAAAGGAATTCTTTGACCACGAAGGAAATGTTAGGTGTTCAAAAATTTCTATAGGTAAGTTGGTTAACAAACATTGCAGGGTAACTGGATTCTTTCTGGAGTCTATTGCTTAGTTTCAACTGATATTTTGATGTGCAGCATGCCAATTAATTTGATGTATTCACTTATTTTTCAGTTGAAAAACAAATATGGCGATGCTTTTTTGAGAGGAAACAATGGTATGTAGCTGTCAGGATCTTTTACCCCATTCCCACCAAAGCTCAAACACGTTTAAAAGCTGTTTTATCAAAGCAGGTCTGAAATTTTGATCCCGATAGAAGCTGCATAAACTGCTGTTTGTCAGCTTCAAATTAAACATATTGAAAATAAAAGGTTTAACTTGACTTCTTGAACCCTATGGAAAATTCAGTAAATTTCTAGTACTCTGTTTCTGATTTTCATTCAGTTAAACAAGCTTTGCTGGTGTGAATGGGGTATAAGTCTGTTGAAAGGACACTCCTCAATTTTGAAAGTAAAAATTGACTGAGAGGGAGAATGTAATAGACCACTGATTTTTTCAAAAGGATACAACAACAACAGAAAGTATTAACCCTTAAACTCCCATGAGTGACCAAGACAGAATTTCTCCTTACAGTAACAATACAACATCAGCCAGATAAGTGATGAGAGTGAAAAAAAATATTAATTTGGGGATAATTAGTTGATCCAGTACTAAATTCTCTGAACTAACACTGTAAGAACTGTATGGTTGACAGTAAGGAGAATGACAAATTTGATCTGGGAGTTAAAGGGTTAAACTGGTGAAATAAGTATGTAAACAATGGTAAAGTTTGGCTTAGCACTACTATGTGTTTTGTTTTTTTGTATCCAATATGATTTCCCTTTTGTTCATGTTCTACCACTCTTTAAGCAGCAAGAATTTACATTAAAACTCTTTATTCATGGTGTCCACCATTTAACCCTTTCACTTGTAAGATCTCATTGGTAATTCTCCTTAGTGACTGCTATACAATTATTGTAATGTCAGTTCAGAGAATTTGGTATTAAATCAACTAATGATCCCCTAATTGACATTTTTCTTTATTCTCATTACTTCTCTGCTTGATATTGTGATGATGTTGTAAGGAGAAATTCTACCGTGGTCACTCGTGGAGGTTAAAGGGTTAACCCTTTAATTCCTAAGATCTCATTAAGAATTCTCCTTACAGTCTGCCAAATGATTCTCATTATGTTAGTTTGGAGAATTTGGTATTGCATCAATTAGTAGTTCCATAATTGGTATTTTTCTTTATTCTCATCACTTGTCTGCACAATATTGTAGAGATATAGTAGGGAGATATTCTTTCTTGATCACGCACGGATTTAAAGGGTTAAGTTAGGTACGTTACTGATGTTCTGTATTCCCTTTTCAGTGTTGTACATCAGTACACAAAAGACAAGCCGAAGATGACAACTAGAGGGTGTATAAAGGAAAAAATCAGACCGCATGATCCCACAAAAAGTGTAGTTGTTAGTCTGCTCAGAATTCCCTGTAAATAGCCGATGTTTTCGTATTTTCTAATAAACTTTTCTTTGCCACGTGGCAGAAATTTCTTCTTGATCTTGCTTAACTTCTGATATTATTTTTCAACTGTCAATCAACACCAAGGACGATCTCTCTTGATTGATCGAATACCTTTCCTTTTCCTATTCTCTGATTGGTTAAGGGAGCACTTGTGCTTTTGACCGGGTTGAAATTCGCCACCATGATAAATATAAACAGTCTGTGAACTGTTGAAGTAAGTTAGTTGAAAGACAGAGTTAACGATTTTACTGATCATTCTACTATCGTCAGCAGTTTAAAAGATTGAAGTGAAAGTTGAGCCTTTTTCTGTCGAGATAATTTAGATTGAAAGAAACTGAGGCCGATACGAATGGAAGATTGAAATCTGCGAGGGCTGATAGGTTTGAACTTACAGATTGCTACTGGTGATAGCCCTCCTCGAAAAGTTATGTAGACTTTTGATGCAGCTTTTCACGTTTTTTCGGATGATCAGACGGAAATGCTGGATTTTTTTTCAAAAAAAAAGTGTGACAGTGTGTTCAGTGGACTGGTCACGTTCGTCGGTCAAAGATGAACATCGATCCCTTACACCGTCATTCCTCCTATTCGAATGATCAGACAACGATAGAACTCTTGAAATAGAACATGGAGTCTGTTTGCTTTACATTGGATCTGTGTAGGAAGTAAGAAGCTCAATTTAATTCAGTGAAAGCGTCAAACCCGTTATCTTTGGATGAATGAAACGGGAAAGACTTCTCCAGTCACTTCGATGGATCTACACGCAACTGAGTAGGAAAACTATAAAAAATCTGCAAAGGCACAATTATCTTTATCCAAGAAGAGACGGAGCCTAATCTAGTCATAGACAAAGCTGACATTTTTCGCCAGCACACTTGATTTATGGTATTTTAGCAACAGTTGGTGATGTGGTGAATGATTCTCAAGTCAATTTCCTTTTTTTCGCTTGGAATTTTTATGTTGGTTACTTTTCGAAGGGAAATTAAAAACTTTCAAAGTTTTCAGTTAGAAATTTTTGCAAAATTTGAGTTTTTATTAGATTTATTATCAGATTTCTGCAAAACTTGCCGTGCACGAGCTATCGAAGGTTTCCTTGCTCTGTATGACGAAAAACTCGTAGGAAATGGTTTCCATGGATTTTGGCTCAAAACAAAATCATTTTCTTCAGCTATCGGTGCGGTCAGTATCGAGATTCGAAGCATTGGAATTTTGGATTATTTCACAGTCTAATTTGAGAAAAACTATCTGAAACAAACCAAAAAAATTAAATACTATAGAAAACCAAAACGCAACAACAGCAACAAAAAAAAACACTATTTGAGTAGGAGTTTTCATCAAGCGAGAGAAAACCGCGGGTGAGACGCGATGGCTTCATGGCTTCACCCCGAAAAGAAAAGTCACCAAAATCAAGTTCCTCCTCTGCAGAAAAAATCAAGGATACCAGTCAGAATGACTCGCCTGAGCAGAGAGAGTGACGGAGGATCTTTGTCAGAGAACGAAGCCGCTAACAAAGCGCGGCTACAGAGAATTTCAGTTAGCAAACTTCAAAACAAGCGGCCATCGCGGATTCCGATTGTAGTGGATGAGAGGAAGAACAACGTTAACACTAAAGGTAATCTAACCAAGAATGTCAAAACAACTCGAGGAGAAATGCCTCTTGGAAAAAATTCAGGTATGTGTTTCAGCATTTGGCTAGCTTCCCTTTTTCATTCATTGCATAAAAACTGAAGAGATCTTAGAAAACGGTTCAAGTGAAAGGCTGGAATTATAGTAAATCGACTGTATTACACCATACGCTGTAGGCGAGATGCGCAGTAGTTGAGATCGGTTGGATTAAATGTTTACGGTAACCATTTCATACAGGACTGAAAAAGAATGACTTTATTCCAATGTTCTTCGATTTATTAAACTTGATGAGTAAGACTTGTTTATAACTTGTGTCCTTCATTGTACAAAAGATTGTTATGAATGATCTCTTTTTCACCACTTTTCTATTCATTTGTTCATTTAGCTCTTAATTTCATATCTATTCTGTTATTTTCATTTATTTGCTTTCACTTCGGTTTCCTGGATAAAAGCATTTTTCAAGTCGTTGAGATTTTGACCCGAAACTGGAGAGAGGCCGCTATAGGCCGCTCACAGAAGTCATCTGCCATCTCCTTAAATTCAAGCCGTTACCTAGTTGATGCTCATTTGCACAGACTAGGGGCAGGTTTGTGCAGTAACAGCTCCACGACTTTTTCTAAGGAAATTATATGAGTCTCTGATTTTTCTAAGGGGTCACTAATTGGCAATTTTGATTTAGTCACAGGTATTAACCTTCAAGAAACTCAAGAAAAACACGGCAAGAACAGAGCAATCTCCATTATTTCAACTACGGCTAAATATGGCAGTTATAGGCGCGTTAAGAAAACGACGCCAAACGTTAGGCGACGTGTACCACGACAACTTACACCCATAGAAACAGAGCCGAAACAGGTAACTTTGAATAACATCTATTATTTGAAGCGATTCTGCGAATCCAGAAATTAAGTTTCTGAGAGGAGAAGCAACTTAGTCGTAAACGGAATCACGCATTCTAATCGCGACTTGTCACTCGTGGTGATCATGATTTCTGGCTTCGTTTTTGCCCGTTTTCCCTATCATAGTGATATTCAACAACTCCAAGGAAAACAACGCATTTTATTCTTAATTAAACAGGTCTGTAACGATGAGAAAGAACCACGTGAAGAAGGCTCGGCTAATGAGGTATCATCCTCAGCCAGAACTGTAGAAGTAACGCCAGACTTTGAGTGTAACGTTGCACCTGTGCGCGGGGAAGAGCTCCATATGGGAACTGAAGCAGATTTCAGTGACAGTGGGTTTGGCTACGACTTTGAGAGTCAGTCAAAATCTTCAGACAAGAAGGCAATTCCCAATGTGGGAATTTCATATCTGAGGCCAGTGGGGTAGGGTATAAACATGTTACAATTTAAACAATAAAAAATTAAGAAAAAAACAAGTACCGGTAATAGTAGCAGGCAGTGCACAGATATCTTTCAGTCCATCTATTGTTCTAAGAAGGTTTTTTTTCCTAAGCTTTTCTTTTGCATTTGCTGCATTGCAATCTACCTGTGAGATCACTTGATCGCTTATGACCCAAAGGTCGTTTCTTATTTCAAATTGTTTCGATATACTTTACGTACTACTACTATATGTAGTTCCAGAACTACCAAGAATTGAAGCGCAAAAGTTATTTGCGTCTTAATACTCTATTTTTCAAGGTATCAGGAAAATTGGCAGTGGTTGGCTGCCAGAGATCTTATTTGGATTAAATGATCTCAGAGCTTTCAATCCGTAAAGATTTTGCTCAGTTTTAAATTTCTTCTAGGTAATTTCCTGAGTTAACGATTTTTGATGAAGGGTAATATATAAACTAATGAGCAAGTTGTCGGGGAGGGGGGTTACCATTAGAGAATTCGATGCAGTTGATCGATATGAATGCATTTTTCGCAGGGAGAGAGAGGAAATGGACGATAACATCGCGAAAGATGACAACGCCGTTACAAGTGCGGCACAAAATATCAGACTTGAACCAGAGTTTGAATTAGATAGCAAAATAGATGCCGACGAATGCAGCGACTTAACAGGATACAAGCGATCGGTTGCAGTAGTCATAAACATTTCTGGATATTTATTCCAACAAGAGTTGTCCAAGGCTTTGGAAACTTCTATACCTAACAGTAAAAAAGAGTCTGCATCGCAATCGGAAGAAAAGTTCACAGAAGATGAACCAAAGCTCCACAAAGAAAACGTCGAAATGGAATTGAAAAAACTTAAAACGGAAAATACCGAGCTCGAAACGCAAATGAGCGTCATGACTGAGGAGCTTGAGAAGTACCGAAAGAGGATAGAAACTTTGCAGGCCGACCTGGATGAGAGCAAAGTTGAAGTAAAGCGACTACAATTTAAGGAAGAATACAAAGAAAGAGAACTGGCAAATTTAAAACGTGATTTTCAGAGCAAGGAGCGAAAATGGGAAGAAGGAAATGAACACGTGGAAAAGGTTACGGCGGAAGTAAGAGATCTATGGGACGATGTCGATTACTTGGAGGAAAGCTTAAAGAACAGTCAAGATAGGAACGAAGATCTGACGTTTGAGGTTGATGAGCTGACGATAATGATGCAGGAAATGAAGAGAGAATATCGGATAGAACATAGTCGCGGTGGATGCGGACATCTACGAGAGGAAGTAGAGTTACTGAACGGATCCCTGGAATTGAAGGAACAGCGAGTTGTTCTGTTAGAGAGCCAAATTGACGCTTTTGAAGCAGAAAGAAAAGGATTATTGAATAATGTTGATTACTTGGAGGAAAACTTAAAGAACAGTCAAGAAAGGAATGAAATTCTGACATTTGAGGTTGATGAGCTGACGATAATGATGCAGGAAATGAAGAGAGAATATCGGATAGAACATAGTCGCGGTGGATGCGGACATCTACGCGAGGAAGTAGAGTTACTGAACGGATCCCTGGAATTGAAGGAACAGCGAGTTGTTCTGTTAGAGAGCCAAATTGACGCTTTTGAAGCAGAAAGAAAAGAACTATTGAGTAATGTTGAATACTTGAAGGAAAGCTTAAAGAACAGTCAAGAAAGAAATGAAGATCTGACGTTTGAGGTTGATGAGCTGACGATAATGATGCAGGAAATGAGGAGAGAATATCGGATGGAACACTGTAGCGGTGGATGCGGACACCTACGCGAGGAAGTAGAGTTACTAAATGGGTCCCTAGAGCTGAATGCACAGCGAATAGTCATGTTAGAGAGCCAGGTGGACGCGTTTAAATCAGAACGCTCTAGCTTTACAAATGCTGCACAGAGCATGAAAAGAGAAATGGAGTTTCTTAATAACGAAAAGGCGATGACGAAGACGCAGTTGCATGAACTGAAACGTGAAACATCAAAGAATATTAGCGATCTTCAAGATGAAATTACAAAGTTACAAGAAGAAAAGTCCACCTCGTCCTCCGAAATGCCAAAGGAATCAGGAAAAGATAACCAGTTGTGTGAGATAACATGTGAAAAATCATGGATTACAAGAAAACTTGAAGATCATATAACAAGATTAAGAAGAGAGAACTGTTCTTTAACCGCAAGAGTTTCAAAGGCATACGAAAAGGATGTCCAGTTGATTGAACTAAAAGAAAAAGTGGAACTAAATAAGTATCAGTTGAAAAGTTTGACTGAGGCGGCGAAGGCGTCTTTGAACAGCAAAGAGAAAGAAGTGGAGGAAGCTTACCGCGTCATAAAGAAGCAAGACGAAACGATCAAAAATCTAATCGAAGAGATAAGGCAGGAAAGGTGTGACAGGGGCCGCCTCGAACTACAGTCTGAAAAAATCAAAGAACTTGAAGCTCAAGTACAAAGAATGGAGGGCATAAAAAGAAACACACTTCACTCAGAGGATGCCTTGGTGCTTGAAGTGAGAGAAGAAAGGTCAGAAAAAGAGCATTTGAAAAAGGCTGTGGAAGCTAAAAAGTGTAGTTCTCATACAGCGAAAGAGCTTTACATGAGAATTGGACATCTAGAGAATCAGCTACGCAAGAGGGATGACCTAACAAATGCTACTCTTACTTCTCTAAAAGAAAACAAGAGCTCACTAAAGAAAGCTAATGCCACCATCGATTTGCTGACTGAACAGTTGGAACGGGAAAAGTCGGATAAAGAAACTCTAAGAAGGGCTTTCGAAGTGTATGAGAGCAACTCCCATACCGGAAAAGAAAAGACTGAGAAAATGGAAAAACTAGAGGAGCAGTTACAAGAGATGGATGATCTACGAGAGAAGACTGTTATGTCTCTTAAAGAGAAAGAAAGGTCATTGAAGGAGGCTCGTGATGAGATCAAAGAGTTAACTCAACAAATAGCACATGAAAAGTCGGACAAAAAGTATTTCAAGAAGAAGTTTAAGGCTAGTGAGGGCATCGCTAGTAGACTGAATCTCGTTCAAAAAGGGACTAAGAGACATACACAGAAGAAGGGTTCTATAACGGCACACGTGGGAAAAAGGCTGAAGAGCTTGGTACATAGACAAACGGAAGTGAAAGGAAAAGAAGCCAATACAGGGCGTGTGTCAGACAAATTAAGGGAAGATTTGATTGAAAGAGGAGAATCAATGGAAGGTTTAAGAAGTAACTTTCATCATAGTGCGGAGGAATTCTTGTCCATGCGAAGGCAGCTTGAAGACAGTCAATTTGAAAATGCCGACCTCAAACAGCGTCTTGGAGACCAGGATGACAAAGTTAAAACGCTTGAAATAACTATCAAAAAACTTGAGGAAGATCTTCATAAGACGCACGAATACCTAGATGAAAGAGAAGCCGGCCTTGATGACGCGAATGAAACATTGCAAATGAAATGCTCGCTTCTCACAACCTTGGGAGCCAAATTATGTCTGAGGAGCAAAGAGTTGACTCAAGCAAACAAGGACAAAGGCTTAGAGATAACTCGCATTGAGACCACACTTAGAGAAGTGAAAAAAAAGTTAGACATTGCTGTATCCATCATCGAGAAGCAAAATGAACAATGTGCTAACCTTAAGACTTGTGCAATGAGAAAAACCCGAGATGCGGAAGAGATGCAAGACGAATTGAAACGCTTGTCAACTCAACTTGAATGTGCCAGGAACGAGAAGGAAAACTTACAACGAGCATTGTTAACTGCTACAGTGCCTCTCGAAAACAGGAGGTTCTTCGCAGAAAAAGAACAGAAGGCTCTACAAGTGAAAGTAAACTCTGGTTTGAAAGAATTGAATACCAAAAGTAAACAATTTTGGGACATGGAGATGGACCTTCTGGAGGCTGCAGCTCGGGTCTCTGTACTTGGAGATGAAAAACCAGAGCAAGAGGGAAACATAGCAGCCTTTAAAGGAAAAGTATCACGAGACCTTGACCTATCAGAGGAGGGACAGTACGTGGAAAGTGAAAAGGAGAGTCCGCTCCTATTGACAATTGGCTCAGCAGAACATGAGATGGCTAAGCTGACAAATGAGAATCATAGGCAGTTCGGCAATGAGTTATTGCACGATGGGCTCGAAAACAAGTCTTCTGAGTCAACAAGTGAGGTGAGATAATTTCCTTGCAAAGTGCAAGAGCAATGCGAAAGCGCGAGACGATGGACACGGAAACCACAATCATTTGGGGCTGTCGCCTTCAAATCTGTGCACTTTTGGATTAAATTGATTTGTTGAAATTTTGACATGCATATACTCAAGCGTTAATTGTTTTTTTTGCGCATCTTCAGGAAGGAACGTTTAGCATCCTGGAAACCAGGAGAGTAACAACTTTATACAAAGTAACACTTTTGGCAGATGAAAATTGTCAGGAGGACACTAAGAATAAATGGTCAGTGAGGTTTTATTGTTTCTAGAATATTATAAAGTAGTTTTAGGAGGAGCTTTAATCCTCGTTGTAACTGCTTCAGAATTTATCTTTTTTTGTCGCCCTTCACTGTTGCTAACTCGCAAATGTGACCGCACGGAGAAGGCTTGGTTGTGACGAAGGGGTTGATGGTCAGATAAAACACAAGGAAGATTTTAGCCAGCGAATAGAGATCCCTTTTGATCACACTTTTCTTTCAGTAAAACAAACAAGTTTGATAAAATAGACAGATATTAAATTTTAAAAATAGGCCTGGGATCCTCATGCATCCTATAATTAACTAATGCGATAATAACGGGATTCTCGCCATGCATATGAATAAACTATTATCTTCCGTTGTTTCTTTACTTTCCTCAACCCTTACCCTGTCATCTTTTCGTCTGTAATTTAGTAATAAAATTGTTTCCTACTTTTAATTACAGGGCGAATACTTCTGGGATGGAGGAGCGTTTTCAAACAAGGGGAGATCCACACTTTAACCGCGCCAGTACTGAGGCTGAGGTTGACCATTCCATGCACAGATCACCTAATATAGTTTCAGTCATCCACTGCAATGGTTAAAGTTTTGCAGGAAGTCTATATCGGCAAACTGAGCGAAGTGTGATGATATAAGATATTTATTTTTCATCATCATTGAAAATTTTACTAGCAATATTGATAATGTTAAAGGTTTTTTTTTCGAAAGGGTATGCTTGCCTTATGTAAATAAATGACTGTATTTTCTTAGCACTCGTGCTTTGACATTAATTGTAAATATATTGAAATACCTAAAAAAGTAATTGATCTTTGTTTTGTGTTATGGAAGGGAACAGTAAAGAATTGGCGAAGGAGCAATCTTCTCATTACAAATCACAGGCCCCTATTTGGAATCTACATGGGTCTTCCCAAACTCCTCCCGTCCTTGCAATACTCGGTTTGGAGCTCTTTAAATTTTGAATGAATTGAAGGGTGTTATTAGTGTTGCAAAGGTAGCGCGTAGTAGAGACAAAGCAAATGCATACACCAACACAAGCAAGAGGTGAGCATCGGAAGGTCTTCTTTTCAACAGCCAAACTCAAAAGTTGCCATTTTCCCCCTTACTGTTTAAATACATGACGCTTTCGACATCGCCGCACATGAACCACGTGACCTCAGTCATCGGAGCCCCAAATATAAAGGTCCTAGTTCAAGGGGGGGGGGGGGGAAAAAAGAACAATGCCTCTTAAGTTGCTGATGGAACCCATAACTGACAATGTTCCCTGCTCTATTCACTTAAATTCGTTCTCTTTTGAATCATGAACGAGAGAGTAGGAAACCAAAAAATTAAGTGTTGTGCCTCTTTCCATTTCCTTTGCGCCTTTCCTGGTAGAAATGCTTTCCCGTCCTCGGCCGCCTTTAGAATTTTACCAAATAATAAAATGCTGAACAAGAAAATCAAAAAATCATTCATCGAAAATCATTACTTTGCTTAAGGCCTTTTTGATCGATAACCTTTTTATCCTTGTGGTTGCTCTTTTAGCGAAGGTTGAAAAGATCAGCAAGTTTCATTTACTTTCTGCTTCGACTGCTATGTCGAATATCCGTTGCTTTCAGAATTTATCCTTGACTTACATCTTGTGATTAAAAGGTATTTTCCTGATACAATAGCGTGTTTCTTTTGTCATCATTGATTAGACTTTGCCCTATTAAATGATCTTTTCCAGTAAACAACCTAAGATGAACGACATAGAGAAAAAATTATCTCAGTGGTTGCCGATATGCCATATTCAAAATCACCTCATCATGGCCTCAGCCGCGCGCGCTACGAAATTAAAAAACAAAACTTTTTCTTGTAAAATTTGTAATGTGGTCAGCGTAAAAGAGAAACTTAGGAAAAAAATTTTGTCTCTGAAAAGACGGAATTTATTTACCGTTTGAATCAGCAAACTGTTTTCAACAGAGCCGAAGAAATAATTTTTTTTCTGTGCTTGCAGCTACGCTACAGGTGACAACAATTGTTTTATAATGACCTCTCCGGACGCGTACAGAAAAAAAAACCTTCCTTACGGAAAAATTTAAGGTGTGTGATCGGCAAGTCATTCAAATGGAGCTTTCTTTGGCAAAAAAAAACGTGTCACCCATGCAGGCCTAGACAGAGAAAAATTTTAACTCATATGCAAATGTTAAAGAAAAGCAAAGAGGTGTTGCCGAGGGAGAATATGGAACAATGAACGTTCATTGTTGTATGCATTCATTTCGCGCCTTTGAATGAAAGCTCCTTGAATTCCAATAACCTTTTTTACTATGCAGCTTAGCCGATCTGATCATTTTCAAATTTTCAACGGTGATGTCTTAGTTTCTGAAACTGAAAAACTGAGTACGGTCTCACGAAATCTTTCATGTTACTATTACATTTCTAAGATGTCTTAATTATTGCTCGTGGAATACAGTTAAAATTATCGCGCAGTCCCTAACAGCCAAGATGAGACTTCCAAGAGCTTTGTCAAAAACTTTTATGGTAAAACTGCAGCAAACTGATCACACTTCGGAGGATCGCTTCACCAAGATATCAACAACTCACAACTCTAAACAACCTTGGGCTGGTGTGAATTGTTTGATAAAATGGTTGACACGAGAGGAGAAAGACCCTGACGTTGAACTCTGGACCTCCAGGTTACAACATGGTAAAAGACACAACAGTATAAGTTATTAGGAAGTAGCGACGTGATTAAATTTTACACCAAAGGAATAGAAGGCTAGTGTTATACATAGATGGGCAGGGGGTTCGCACAATGACTTTACGATTCAATGTTTGTCGCCTAATACGTATTCATTCCTATATTTCGATATCATTAGAAATATCATTACCTAAATCTTATTTTACACAAAATCACCAATGTTTTATCAGCAACTCAGTAGACGTATGCGAATGACGAAACATCGTTTATCTTGTCTCTCTTTAATGTCTACAACATTTCATGAAAGTGCATAGGTACAATTGTGATGGATTAAAGGTTATTTTTCACAAATGTAACTTTCTTCCATTTTGTTGAAGGTTATCAGTAATAAGATACAGCCGGTTCTAGTTGGAACAGAGCCACTGAATGTGTGCGTGATTACCAAAGCGGGCACTCTTCATATGGAAAGGTAGCGACCGAGGTTAATGTTCTTGGTCATTCGAACAACTGAAGCTCTTCAGTCTGTGCTATTTATTTTCCTTGTGGATTGTTGGAAGTTATGAACTGCGAGAGAGAGAGAGAAAGAGAGAGATTGGGACTCAATGTACCACGGATGTGCTCCTGAAGAAAGCCAAAAGGACCCAATAGTAAGTTTTTTCTTAAAGAAGGAGCTAGCTTCAGAAACCGTGTAAATTTTATCTCTGCGCAAAAAAAAAACCTTACAAAAAATGTAAACCTATAATTGCGTTTTTAACTTCAAAAGAGTAACCTATTAGTTCTAAATTTGTCTTTAAATTAGCTAAATATTCTGCTTCGGAGTTAGGATATGGACACCTCTAAAGTTGCAGTAGAGACATTATTTGTAATAATGTAATGATCAGTGGCGAACATAGAATATATATTTATACAGACTACAGTCAAATTTCCAATAATTGCCCTTTCGTAAGCGGACAGTTCTACCTACGGACACTTTTTTCAATTCTTGTTGTGCCTCCTGGTCAGACTCTGTATTTATACATTCCCGTAAGCAGACATTCTCTCGTAAGTGGAAGCGGACACTTTTGATTACAAAAATTTAATTTTTTTCTTTTGTTCAAGCTTTCTCGTAGGCGGACACCCCATGCAAACTAATTGATTCTCAGCAGTGAAATTTGTCTTTAATATGCAAATCAACAAAAAAACCTTTGACAGGGCAATAGAACAGCGGGGATCGGTTTTGCCAAATCTCCATTTGTCCGCAAGAAAGCAACCTGTCTATTCTTATGACATCATTACCACTCGCCCGTAAGCAGACATCCACCTTATTTTTTCTCTGGTGTCCGCTCGCATGATTCACGTAGAGGGACAATTCTACCAACGGACACTATTTTAATTCCCGAGGATGTCCGCTCACGAGAGAGTTTATTGTATACATTTCTTGAGAAGAAAGAAAAGAAATAAAAATTAGCGTTAAAATCCTTTTTCAGTCAATACAATATAGAGTGCAAAGAAAAAAACAAAACACAACATTTTCATGAATTAACCTTAGTTGCACCTTACTGATCAAATGAAGCACTGTTTGGACTGACAGTTAAATAAACTTTGCTGATGAACATACTTTCCCTCTATTTCTAATTCCTAGAAATTTTTCCATACAGTTCATCTCAAGGAGCCACAGTAGTCTCTCAAATGTTTAGTATTAATTGTTTACAACAGAGGGAAAGAGAGTTTAAGAGATAACAAATTTTTGTGGAAGTCTTTCAGCACACGTCATTTACCTCAAGCAATCTTCGTTTCCATCTTTAGTATCGTGTTTTTGTAAGAGGCATTTCCCCACGGACAAGTTGGATCACGAAACACTAAAGGTACCTTATATGTAATGGTGAAAGAAATAGAATTTCAATCTGAGACTTGTCAAAAGTGTCAAGTGAAAATTTCTGGTCGACTTTCATGAGGATTCAAACCTCAGATCTAGCTATTTTGCTGTTAAAGACCATAAGGATTCAAACCTTAGACCTTAAAACTTCACCATCTGCTCTACAAGCCGGGCAGAAGAAGAAATTTGGGTAGAACATTTGTGAGGATTCAAACCTCATTCAAAATCATTACACAATGCTTTTACGGCAGAGGAGAAAGACAACGTAAATTTACAAGAGGATTCAAACCTCAGACTTTGCAATATCGGTATCAAATGCTCTACCAGTTGAGCTGAGATTGAAAGGTGTTGGTCGACCCTTGGTAAGAAATTACACGTTAGACATGTAAAATGAAAGTTTCTGGTCGACTTTCATGAGGATTCAAACCTCTGATCTACCGATTTTGCTGTTAGATACTCCACCTGCTGACGTATACATTTATACACGCACATGTTTAT